AATCCAGCCTCTAGTGGCTGTCTCATTGAATTCAGGCGGTTCATTGACAGCCACTAGAGGCACTTCTCACTGTGATTTTCACAGTGGGAAGACGCCAACGTCCATAGGAAAGCATTGAGAATGCTTTCCTATGGACTGACTGAATGTGCGCCCGGCTCTTGCCGCGCATGTGCATTCAGCCAAAGAGGGAGGAGAGTCCCCAGCGCCGGAGTAAGGTAAGTGTTTAACCCCTTCCTCCCCTTAGAGCCTGCCGGGAGTGGGACCCTGAGGGTGGGGGGGGGACCTAAAGACTTAGTGCCAGGAAAACTAGTTTGTTTTCCTGGCATTATAGTTGTCCTTTAAAGCATCATTTAAAAAAAATGTTTCAAAATCTGTCATTTGCAGAACTGTTTGGGGCATATTTGCTAAATTGGAATCTGCAGAAAATTTAAGAAATTTGTAAATTTTAGGTTGAAATAAAAAAAACTGGGAAAAAATGTTTACAATTACTGTAATGTCTGAGAGTGATGGGTGCGATCCTGCACAAATGATCTGAACATGGCACACCGCTGGGGATGGCCAGCTTCATGCGTGGTTCAGTTTCTCGTAATGGTTTATGTTTTTGGTAAGAGAACATACATGTTCTTTCTTGTAAATTTGACTCTCTGTGTTTGCAGTTATCCCAGTATGACTCCTAAACACAAAGATACCAACACGGCCGGTAACGACGTCTTCCACAAATTCTCTGCCTACATCAAGAACCAGCTTAGTTCCCAGGACAGCCGTAAGTAGTGCATCCCGCACCTCCTGGGGGGCTTTTATTAAAGTGACAGCAAACATGCACTGTACCTCTCCAATGTTCCCAAGTCCGATGCAGCGTTCATACCAAAAATGCCATTATCTTGTCTGCTGTCCACTTTCGGACGGCCAGAGATTGAGCTTGGTTGAACTCATTGTGCCACGATTCCATACTCTGTCTCGGGTTAAACCCCGGTGGAAGCCTGCCTGTTAGTGGAACGGGATTGAGGTAGCAACTAGGAAAGCGTCAATAAAGAAAATCTCAACTAGATCCAGCTAATAATTGGATTATTATAACCAGGCTGAGAGCGTGCGTGTGTGTAGTAGGGGGTCAGCCCAGGAATCATCAGAATGACTGCATGGGGGCCAAGTTTTGGGTGTTGGAGACAATTCTGAGTTTTCTCAATCTATGCAAAACAGACCAGAGAGAGGGGACCATACCTAAAGCTTCACAGCACTATAACCACAACAATGAGCTGTAATCATACAATAAGCTGTAGTGGTTATGGTGCTGATTATGACTTTTTGCAAATTGTTTATTTCACTTACTGTTTTATCTTAAGAGAACTGTGGCATTCAGTAATTTCAATGTTCAGTTTATAGAGAGCTGCAGGGTTCAGAGAGCACTCTAATGACAGCTAAGGTGTTCACTCCCTATGAAAGCTATGGAGAGCTGCGGAGTTCAGTTCCCCGTACAATCTACGGAGAGCTGCGGGGTTCCCCGTACAATCTACAGAGAGCTGCGGGGGCTCCCCGTACAATCTACAGAGAGCTGCGGGGGCTCCCCGTACAATCTACAGAGAGCTGCGGGGGCTCCCCGTACAATCTACAGAGAGCTGCGGGGGCTCCCCGTACAATCTACAGAGAGCTGCGGGGGCTCCCCGTACAATCTACAGAGAGCTAGGGAGATACAATCTACAGAGAGCTGCGGGGGCTCCCCGTACAATCTACAGAGAGCTGCGGGGGCTCCCCGTACAATCTACAGAGAGCTGCGGGGGCTCCCCGTACAATCTACAGAGAGCTGCGGGGGCTCCCCGTACAATCTACAGAGAGCTGCGGGGGCTCCCCGTACAATCTACAGAGAGCTGCGGGGTTCAGTTTACAATCTACAGAGAGCTGCGGGGTTCAGTGTACAATCTACAGAGAGCTGTGGTTCCAAAACCCAGTCTGTAGGTTTAGAACACATCAGATGTGTAACTCAGTCTATACAGAGGTATTTATTTTATTGCGTTAACGAAAGTGAAAGTCTGGGTTCTCTGTGCAAGACCTCTTACATCCGCATCATGCAAGCGGAACTAGTGTTTTGGATGCAAACTGTCAGTTAAAGTTCAGATTCCACGTTATCATCAGAAATGCAGTAGCAATTAATAAAAAAATCCTATATAAAAATGATTCTCAATGTAAGCTTTAGCAGTCTATACCATTAGTCCATAGTACCACCAGTACTTCAAAATACAATTCTTTTTTCGTTAATAAAAGGGATTAATATTCTAATAATATATTGACATTAAACAATAGAGCCATTATTTACAAATTCAGCAACACATGGACCCCAGTCCGAGTAAAATATCTATCCCATAAAAACACCAACAACACGTGTACAAAACTACCACCCAGTTAAATCATCTAGTTCAAATAAACACCCATTCCTTAGCAATATTACTTTATCATATGAAAAAAAGGAAACGTAACACATGCCACAACTTAGCCAATCACATCTACCATACACACAAAACACAATCTGCAACACACCGACCAATAACAAAGTGCAAAATGTGAGCACATAAACCATGTATACAAATACATCATGCAATGTAACGTTAAATCCTGGTATCGGTCTTCCGTTTAAAGAGTCTCATTAGAGAGAAACTAGATTTCTACCCATTAAACCAGGGTCAATTCAATGTGCTGCCCACACTGAAAGCTTACTGGCACAATTCCAGCTCTATAGGTCTAGGGCTATAACTACCACGATCTAAGGACAGTATAGGACTGTAGTTAAATAACTGGAAACATACCATCTCTTGACCCCGATGTAAATCTGGAATGTGTGGCATGATTTCTCTATTCACAGAAACTGACAAAAAACTCTTACTCCCCAATTGTAGACGTTGAGAATAATTTCCTGCGCTCACTGGTGCGGTTAGACAAATACCTCAAGACACCATTGCCATACGAAGAGAAGATGAATCCCGAACTGAAAGTCTCGAGCAGGAAGTTCCTGGATGGCGATAAACTGACGCTAGCAGACTGCAACCTCTTACCCAAACTGCACATCATCAACGTGAGTGACTCAACCTTCCAGTTAAGCACTGCAGCGGAAAACTTTGCCCTTATCTTGCATTCTGCTTTTTTAAATTGTTGAAGGAAAAAAAATGGTAAAAATTAAGTTAAACGGACAGTCCAGGCACCAAAACAGCTTCATCTAAAAGAAGTTGTCATGGTGCCAGAAGGACCTCAGAGGCCATCTGACCTCAAGACGTTAAACCATTCTTGAACGGTTTAACCCCAACAGCGATGTCTGCTACCTTCCCCGGCTGATCTGGCTTCTGAAATTTCAGATTCAGGAAGTGCGGAGTGCCGCCAGGCAAGAGTGCTGCTGATTGGCTGAGAGTGGTCAGCTGACATCTTTTCCAAGCCGGTTTTGTGAATGGGGAGCCACTCAGTTAGATGAAGTTGTATAGTAGTTACAATCCGTTTGAATCTCACAGTCACAACTAGAAAGTATCTAAATCCTACTGAATTTAGTGAATAAACATAGGTTTTGAATCTCTGTTAATGTTATTTGCATTGTAAACCATCAATCCAATTTATGTAAAAAACAACCAGGACTGCTACAAATATACTGGTACATTATTAAACGGACACTCTAGAATCTTTTCATGTCATTGAAGTGGTTATAGCCCTCTGGCCCTGTACCTCCATTCAGCATTGACTCGTTTTTGAGCAGTTTAACATTAAATAAGGCTCCCTGGTTTTCCACAGCTCCACCCCCGCAGGATTTGTGGCTAAGGCATAGATTACACACTTCCTTTTACACACACTAATTCATATATGCAATGGGCGCTGTGATAGGCTGAATGTAGTCAGCTGACACTCTAAGCCAATAGCAGCCACCCATTGCTACTCAGATTAATGCTTCCTCATTAGCCCAACCAGCACAGAAGGAAGGGGCTTCTGGGGACTCTCATTGAAGTGAAAACCCACCATTTAGGTGCCTTGCCACCCTCCCCTTAGTCCTCTCAGAATGGGTTAAAACTCACCCTATTTCCAGCTCTCCACGGGTCTGTCGGCGCTGGCCACACCCCCTTGGTGACATCATCAAAATTGCAAGCATTGGATTGGCTAAAATCGGCAAGAGGGCAGGCCATTGAATCAACGCATATCTATGAGGAAAATTCAGCGTCTCCATGCAGAGCGTGGGGACGCTGAACGGGAGGGCTGCCTACTGTGCAGCAGTGCCCCAGGAAGCACCTCTAGTGGCCATCTGAGGAGTGGCCACTTAGAGGTATTCCTAGGGGCAATGTAAACACTGCCTTTTCTCTGAAAAGGCAGTGTTTACATGAAAATGCCTGACGGCAATGATTATACACACCAGAACAACTACATTAAGCTGTAGTTGTTCTGGTGACTAGAGTGTCCCTTTAAAAACAGCTTAATGCTGAATGTAAGGATGGCACCAGAGCACTCCAGACACCATAACCACTTCAATGAGATAACCCAGTTACAGTGCCCCTTTGAGTATTATTATTTTTTAAACCCTGCACAGATTACAAAAGACAAGGAGATTCAAAAGCATGTTACAACCTCTACAGATAGTTTAAAGCATAATGTTCTTTATTGATAATTTAGCCAAAGGAAGAAAAAAAGAAAAGTGAAACCTAAAAGAATTTCACCTGCCTGCTCACCTAGTCTGTCTCTTTCCTTCTACATTAAACAGATTGTGTGCAAACATTACCGCAAGTTTGAGATTCCAGCGGAACTTATGGGTCTGAGAAGGTATCTCGACAACGCCGCACAGCTCAAGGATTTTACGTATACCTGTCCAAACGAAAAGGAAATCCTTCTGTCTTACAGTTCCGTGGTCAAGCCGATGAATCAGTGAGATTGGATGTGGCTTCCCCTTCTCCAAAAATGTGGTGCAACAGGAGTGAAAGAAAATGCAGCGTTGTGATCAATTTAAAAACTATTTCAGCGGAACTGCTCGGTCCTCCCACTACTTGTCCATCAGCCATCAGCCTGGAGGCTAAGCGGCTGCTGAAAGAAATGACATAATACATGAAATAATGCACACCATAAACAAACAAACAAACAAACATTCTTATACACACCTAAAGTAAAAGCCAAAAAAAAAAAAAATCTACAGGTATCTACCCTCCAGGAACTAGCGAACAATCCGGCCGTATTGTCACACGAGATGAAGTGGACATATTCCCTTATGCAGAAGTATATTTGAAGAGAAAGGTAGACGCAGCAGAATTCTAGATCTGGAGAGAATCCTGCCCTGCCCACAACGCATTTTACATTCAACTAATACCACAAAGTGCATGTCTCATATCACTGTCATTTAATGTCCCGCATACCCCAGCTGACCAGTTTAAAACCCATCAATATCTTGTAGACATGACACATAATATTACATATTGCTAAATAAATATATAAAAAATCCAGTTCATTCTCCTTCACATAAAATAAAATTCTTTAAAACCTAGCAGTATTTCCAATACAAATTAAAAGTATTCAGTGCAGAAAAAAAAAGCCAAAGGGGGGGGAATTTTACAATGGCAAAATGAGTAGGTTCATTAATAAGTTCATTCTTTCAAATTTTCCTTTTCAAATCAGAAAGAAGAGGTAAACACCCACCAGGAAACCTTCATACGATGTGATCAAACATGGCAGGGGTTACATTTATTTAATGACCGTTTATTATTATATAAGCTTTACTATCCTTGTTAATTTAAAAGTGTCATGATTTTTCATGCATTTAACAATTTTTGCTGTAAATAAAGCTTTTTTTTTGTCATTAAACAGTCTTGTTGAATTGTTGGATGTTGTTTAATGGGTCTTTTAATAAAAGGACAAAAGTCAATTATTCTGGGGGTCCTATAATGAATCATAAGGTGAATTATTCTGGGGGTCCTATAATGAATCATAAGGTGAATTATTCTTGGGGTCCTATAATGAATCATAAGGTGAATTATTCTGGGGGTCTTATAATGAATCATAAGGTGAATTATTCTTGGGGTCCTAAATTGAATCATAAGGTGAATTATCAGGGGGGTCCTATAATGAATCATAAGGTGAATTATTCTAGGGGTCCCTATAATGAATCATAAGGTGAATTATTCTAGGGGTCCTATAATGAATCATAAGGTGAATTATTCTAGGGGTCCTATAATGAATCATAAGGTGAATTATTCTAGGGGTCCTATAATGAATCGTAAGGTGAATTATCAGGGGGGTCCTATAATGAATCATAATGTGAATTATTCTAGGGGTCCTATAATGAATCATAATGTGAATTATTCTAGGGGTCCTATAATGAATCATAAGGTGAATTATTCTGGGGGTTCTATAATGAATCATAAGGTGAATTATTCTAGGGGGTCCTATAATGAATCATAAGGTGAATTATTCTAGGGGTCCTATAATGAATGATAAGGTGAATTATTCTGGGGTGGTCCTATAATGAATCATAAGGTGAATTATTCTAGGGGGTCCTATAATGAATCATAAGGTGAATTATTCTAGGGGTCCTATAATGAATCGTAAGGTGAATTATCAGGGGGGTCCTATAATGAATCATAATGTGAATTATTCTAGGGGTCCTATAATGAATCATAATGTGAATTATTCTAGGGGTCCTATAATGAATCATAAGGTGAATTATTCTGGGGGTTCTATAATGAATCATAAGGTGAATTATTCTAGGGGGTCCTATAATGAATCATAAGGTGAATTATTCTAGGGGTCCTATAATGAATGATAAGGTGAATTATTCTGGGGTGGTCCTATAATGAATCATAAGGTGAATTATTCTAGGGGGTCCTATAATGAATCATAAGGTGAATTATTCTAGGGGTCCTATAATGAATCGTAAGGTGAATTATTCTGGGGTGGTCCTATAATGAATCGTAAGGTGAATTATTCTGGGGTGGTCCTATAATGAATCATAAGGTGAATTATTCTGGGGGTCCTATAATGAATGACGAGGTGAAATATCCTGAGTTCTATAATAAAGCATGAGTTTGCACATGGTGTTCAGGTACCAGAAGGAATAATTATTTTTTATTTTCTCACCTCTCCTGGGTGGTATGGTTATTCTTCATTCTCGGGTCCTCTACCAGAGACCTGGGAGTCTGAGAGTATTGCACAATAGCTTAGCTGTTCCTAGAACTGTATCTTCTGGCCAGCGATCTCAGATGTCCCACCTGGAATCTGTTGAAACCACTCGCCCAACTTGGGAGTCACAGCTCCTATCACAACTGTGACTACTACTGCCTTGACTTTCCACATCCTTTCTATTTGTACTTTCAGTCCTTGGTATTTGTCCACCTTCTCATGTTCCTTCTTCTTGATGTTATAGTCATTGGGTATAGCTACACCAACCACGACTGCAGTCTTCCGTTCCTTGTCTACCACAACAATGTTGGGTTGGTTGGCCAGCATGTGCTTGTCTGTCTGGATCATGAAGTCTTACAGGATCTTAGCCCTGCCATTCTCAACTATCCTTTGTGGTATCTGCCATCTGTTCTTAGGCAGGTCCAATCCATATTCTGTGCAGATGTTTCGGTACACAATCCCCGCAACTTGGTTGTGTCTCTCCACGTATGCTGTGCCTGCTAACATCTTGCCTCTGGCCACTAGCTGCTGGACTGTCTCAGAGGCTTCTTTGCACAGTATGCACCTTAGGTCTTGCGTGGTGTGGTAGACTCCAGCTTCTATTGACCTGGTGCTGAGTGACTGTTCCTGTGCTGCTAGGATTAGTGCCTCAGTGCTGTCTTTCAGTCTTGCCTTTTCCAACGTGTTTATATGTTTAAAGGCCGTAGGCCTGTATTTGTGGGAGGAGTTAGCGTTCCTATAAAACCCTACACCCCCCTTCTTACCTTTGCCGTGGCGATCAGTTCACCAGTTTCCTCGGCAACCTGCACTTCTGGTTCCAGCCTCCGTTTGTAAGTTTGCGACTGTTTTCAGCGTCCTCGGAGTGTCATCACTACACCGTTCGCAGAGTTTCACATAAAATTACAGACAAATCACCTCTCGCTCAAAAGACACGAACGGATCCTCGGGTAAATGGTGAAGATAGCCGCGTTCGGGCTATTCCCGCCATTAGAGCATATCACAGGAATACTCTCTGTAACGAAGTGCCCTTCGCCACTTGTGCCTGGAGGGGACTACTGGCTAGTCTCCTGTCTTCCGACTATGGCCCATGTGCTGATAGCAGTATTTTCCCCTGCAGAAAGGTTTATTTGTGTATTTCTGCCGGGGCGTTCTGGACTTTCAGTATGGTAGTAGTGCTATCCCAGATGGCTATGCCATGGAGCCTATTTGTGTAACAAAAGACTATGGAAAAGACTTTGGCTCCATGGCGATTGAATTGTATGTATGTGATCTGAGCGCCATTCAATAATAATGTGCACTCAGATCTAAGCTATCTGGGGATATGTTGCATGTATATGTTTTATGTCTTTTTGTAACCATGTGGTTAATGGAGTCTTGCCTCTGTCCTGGGAGATAATTTGATTACTTCCCAATTATCTCCAGGATGGAGAGAAGGGATTGTGATGTCACTGTGGGAGTGTTTTGTTTGTATTGTCTGTGATTGGTTATACTGGGTCCCACCCTATGGGATGTCCCCTTGCATGGGGACTTGCATAAAAGCCAGTGTGTGGTCATTAAAACCAGATCATCTTGTACCTTTCTTGAAGCCTTGACTCATGTTTGGGGGAAGGGATACCTACACTCTGGGGATTGCTATAATCACTTACTCCCCAGAGTAAGCTCTTGCAATAGCTTGATTTGTTCCTGCAACGCTCTCTGGATTTAGGAGAGGTTCACCCACTGGGAGCTGGATCCTGGTCGTGGATCCAGGGTGGGTGGAGACGGCGAGACCCCAGCGCAGCTGAATCGCTGGAAGTGGGGTCTGCAGTGCTGATGGTGTCGGTTGGAGTCCTCAGCGAGCACTAGGCACATCGATTGGCGGTGGTACTCAGTCGGAGTGCCAGCGTTCCGTCACAATCTCCATACTTGTGTTCGGGGACAATCATATGAACGATTTTGGTTCTTTATCACGTTCACTGTTCAAGGTCCATTCGTTTAATAGCTACCTTTTTGCATACCTTGCTTATTTGCTTAGTCCGTTTACATTCAGGCATTTCAGTTCGTATGGAAGGGACATTGTTAATTTAGTATTTTTTACAATAATCATGTATAATCTGGCTAATTGTTCATTCGGCGGTTCCCCTAAATATTTCAAATCAAGCTTGGGTATTAGACACAATTAGGTTAAGTAACATTACTGGTTATCATCTATATAGGTTTCACATCAGGAGCAGGGTAATTATTCTACCTTGTATGTTATTTTTAGTACAATACTTTACATGTATTAGAACTACATAGTCGTTAAATTATGCTTTGTTATGGCATAAATACACTTAAGATGAGGTGACTTTCATGGCTTATGTATTTAATTTTTCTATGCTTTTCATCAGGCACTTATAAGGATACTCTACAATTGTTGACCATGCTAGACCTTAATTTCAAATATCCTGAGGGTCATAATATCCTACAGGCCTATGTTGCCTGTTTGTTTATTTGCTTACTGTTTTCCAGTAAGGTATAAAAAATAAAATAAAAGTTTCTCGCTACTATTAGCCTCAACACGGCCACGCTTCGTCCATAAGGAGTAATCGGGAACAGGGCTTGATTCCTGCCTTACCTCGTTAGGCCACGGCTTTACTCGACCAATCCATCATACGATCTTATCTTAACTTTCACTACCTGATAACATACGATCTTGTTCTATGTCCACTGTTCTGCTGGTCTCTGATTTAGTCACAATTACTAACTTCCTCCTTTCCCTCGGCTATCACCACTCCAAATATCATGGCATCAACATGGGACTATTCCCAGGAGATCCCCAGGATCTTGGCTGAACTGTGCCGAAGGGGCATCCCCTTCCCAGCCATGGCAAGAAAAGCTGAACTCTTCAAGCTGCTGACAGCTCATCCTGAGGATCCTGGGTTGGGTCCCAGCTCACGGGGGCACAACTCAAATATACAAGGAACTTTAGACACCATTTTGTCGTCTCTGCAGTCCATAAAATGATAAACTGAAAAAAATTAGAAAACGCCAGCTCGGCTCAGACAGATCCACCTCCCGTAGGATCTACACAGGCACTCACACCTCCCAGCAAACAGGGTAGGACTCCTGCTTCACCTTTTACTCTACCCACGTAATTACCCCAACACACATGGTCGCCCCCTGCTCTCCACAAAGATATTCTAGATGAGAAAGACGTAAATCTAGTCTCTGTTAAATCTCTTCACAGGATGTTGTCGAAAACAGAAAGTACAATTACAGCGACTTACTAGATTAGACTAAACAAAAAACTCACCATTCCTGAATTTGTCTTAGCCTTTGGTCTATATAGGGAAGATGTACAGGTGATACTCGAAAGATTAGAATATCGTGCAAAAGTTGATTTATTTCAGTAATGCAATGTAAAAGGGGACCATTGCAGGTGTTATGGCTTACTTAGCTGATTAGAGTGGGACACTGTGAGCCTAGAATATGGCACCTTTTCACAATATTCTAATTTACTGAGATTGTGGATTTGGGGTTTTCATGAGCTGTAAGCCATGATCATCGCACTTATGACAAATCACAGCTTGTACTATCTTGCTTTGCATGTAATGCGTCCATCTCATATATTAGTTTCCCCTTTTATGTTGCATTACTGAAATAAATTAACTTTTGCATAATATTCTAATTTTTCAAGTATCACTTGTATGTTCTGTTTATCCACAGGGCCGTGAAGAACTTGACCTCTACATGGACAAATTGGTGGACTTGGGCCATAAGTGCAGGGGTTTTATGTTTTATGATTATCACAAGTCCGTGTCAGCAAAAGCAGCAGCAGCCCTGGCCCAATTTAACATCCGTACCGACTCGAGCCAGTTGGACACAGAGCTCTTTTTTCAGACATTTTGCAGGCTTGGTTCCCCCATCTTGTGCAGTCTGTTCATCCATCTCCCATACCACCAATTTGTGCCCCTCAGAAGCAGACCCCTCCACATATTCGAGTCAACCAGTTGGGTCTAGCAAGCCTGACCAGCGCAGCCTTAAAGATAAGCTCGGACCACCCATTGTTTTCCTGAAGGAGGCACAATTCTATAACTATTTTAATGCAGGAGTGTGTAGTTTCAGTGCCTGCAGATTACTGCACGTTTGTTCTATATGCTTTAAGGCACATACTAGATCCATGTGCCCTTCAAAACTGAACCCCAGGCAATGACTAACTGAGGTAAAGATAGACAAATTGGCATACCACTTGAAAACTCACCCTTCCCCTCACTTGGTGGAATACATAATTCACAAGTTTTCACAAGGTTTCCACGCTGGGCTAGTGGCACACTGGTACTTCAGAATGTCCCAACCTCCTTTCCGTTGTGTATGACCCACTAACAGTTGATGATCTTATTGGTAAAGAAGTTCCAAAGGGTTCGTGTTAGGCCCCCTTTTTCTCCACTTCTTCCTGGCGCACTAATCCGATTGGTATCGCCACCAGCAAATACTCGAATAAAAAACAGTTAACCCCCTAAGGACCAAACTTCTGGAATTAAAGGGAATCATGACATGTCACGTGTCCTTAAAGGGTTAATCACTGACCTATTGGCACCTCAGTCATCTACAAACCCAAGCCTAAACTCTCTCATACCATCCTCTCTCATACCATCCTCTGAATTCTCTCTACACCACACCACTGTAGATAGTGCCATACAGGCAATCCTGAAGGCTGGTAGAGCTGCATGGCTTAGCAAGACCGATATCACCAATGCTTTCAAGTTGCTACCTATTCATCCCTCGTTATGGTATGTTCACTGGGTTAAGTGGAGAGAGAAATATTTTTGCTACTAGAAATCACTTTTCAGTGCAAAAAGTAGCCAAAAATATTTTGACATGTTTTCCGAGACTCTTTGCTGGCTTCTCCTAAACATTGTGAGGTGTCCCACGGTTATACACTATCTGGACGATTTTCTAATGGTGGAAGATAGCAGTAGCACTCCTCTAAGCTTAAAAAGCACAGCAGCACTATTTTCAACTCCAGGCGTTCCACTTTCCCAAGACAAAACCAGTGAATCCACCACCAGACTTATTTTTCTAGGTACCACGCTGGACTTCAATTCCATGCAGTCAAGTCTCCCCGAGTATAAACTTCTACACGTTAGCAAAGAGTTGGAAAAGTTCTTAAAATTAGGGAATTTTACACGGAAGACCTACAATTTATATGGGGGTTATTAAACTTTGACTTGCATATTATCCGCAGGAGAGATCTTTTATATCTAGACTGCTACGCCTATTACTAGGTCTGCCTGATGGCAGTGTTATTCGTTGAGATCATCCGGCTAGAGCAGATCTGGTTATGTGACAAGAGTTCCTCGCACACTGGAATGGGATTTCGATGTTCATCACTCCATTGTCCAACCAGTCCCCAGTCCTTTGGACAGATGCAGCTGCCAACACCAGGTTCACGGCAATTTACAAAAATCACTGGTTGAGAGATTACTGGGCAAAAGAGACGCTCAAACTGACTTCCTTTCGCAAATGTTCACTTTATTTGAAATCTACCCGATAGCGGCTGCATTTACATGGAGTTGGAGCAGCCGACTCCGCCGTCACGCTGGAGCCCGCTGGGATTGTGCCCATGTGGAGAAGCTGAACTGACCAGCTGCCCCCCCAACCCCCGCAGAGCAGCTTAGGTACTCACCTGCAGATTCCGCTGCACAGCGCCACCATGCTGCAGCCTGCAGAGGGAGGCCCGCCTGGACAGCGTCAGGACCACAGAGGAATCTGGGGGAGGTGGAAGTCACGACCATTCTGGGAGGTCAGGGAGCCGGTCACTGGGAAAGCGAGGTAGGCTGTGTCTGAAATGGCTGGGGATTTGAATGTTGCGCCCCCTTGATCTGGCGGCCGCCTGGACGTGCCAGCCCTGAACATAATCAGATCACTGACAGTTTAACATACAGACAATAAAAGGGGCTGATTTACTAAACTCCAAATTAAAGGAAAATTAAATGTAAACAGCAAGAAATGGGGCAAAATATCCAGGCTAAGACTACAGTCAGGTTGTATATTTTGCCTAAATGTTGACATTCAGACATTTTGCTGTAAACACTGTCTTTTCAGAGAAAATGCAGAGTTTACATTACAGCCTAGGTAAACCTCCACAGCCACTTATCAAATGGCTGCTAGAGTTGCTTCCTGGGGCAGTGCTGCACAGTGTGACTGCCATTCAGGGTCTCCTTCCTCTGCATACAGACACTGAATGTTCCTCATAGAGGTGTATTGATTTGATGAATCTCTACGAGGATATGCCGATTGGCCAGGGCTCTGTTTGTGTTGCTTTAATGAATATCTCAATGTTTCCACAGTAACAGCCAATCTCAATTATTTGTAAGAAGATTGAGAAACAAGGGACTTTGATCAGTTCCAAAAAGATGGTCACGAACTTAGTGGGTCCCATTATGTATAGAGAAAATACATTTAAAAAAACCCAAAAACTCAAAGACATATAAATGGCTTTTAATAATGCAAAATCGGGTACAAGGACTTCCATAAAAGTATACAAAACGTACTGCACCTTTTAAAAAAAAAAATTAAATTAAAAACAGTTTGCGAATATCTTAAAAACACGCTATGTGATGCTCTGCTTCACAGTTACTCGCCCCAGGGCTTACAGAGGAGGCAAGCCTTTCATGTTACACTCCGTGTGAACAAATGTCTTGGACGGCAACAGACTGCAAACCAGGCACCTCATCTAGCATTGTGCCTACAGCGCAGGGATCCCACACACACACACATCACACACAGCTAGCAGCATTGGAGTAGAGTCTAGCACTTATCTTACAGAAACGTCTGACAATTGAGTAGTCAGTAGGTGGCGCTGCTGCTTTGAGATCTTCAGAATACATTATGAGGTCTGATATTCAGGTGTTCTTGTGATTATCACGATTCATCAAAATCCACCCCTGTGGCAGCCTTTTTGCTGGAATAAAATAAGGTGTAAAGTGAATGCATTGCCACCGGCAATGTAAGGTAAGGACATCTGGCAAAACAGGAAGTGTCGAAACATACCTTTTGCATCCAGGGTTGACCAATGACTCCCCCGGCAATCTCTTCTTGGTGGGGACACCATAACATCTCCGCCGCACCTCTACATCTGAACGGTGGAAAACAAGATGCTAATGTCACATAGGGAGTAATATCTATACAGAATATATACCTCTATGGTCAGTGCTGTATGCTGGCCTGGAGACACATGCACGAAATTCAGTTTACTAGGGAGTTGGAGAAAATTGATTCATTGAAAGCAATTCACATACAGCAACGGAGTGATACTCCGATAGACTCAATTTAATTATGAAACACACAATTAACAACATTTGATTCCATAATCACGTATCAAGTTTTAAGAGATTATGAACTGCTCGGCTTCCCCTGGTTTATAGACAACTCTCCTGTCTCTAAACTTTAGATTTAGTTTTCTTCAGAAAATGCATTTTAATACACTATAGTTAGTGTTTATACTATCATCACCATGGGCAGAGGCGGAACTAGAAACCACGGGGCACCAATGCAAAAATTGCATTGGTGCCCCTGTACTTCTATCCCCCCCACCCTTCCCCGTAAGTCTACCACCCCCCTCCCATATGTTCCAGCCCCCTCACACATGCAAACAGATACACATACAGACGTACACACAACTTTCCCTGGGGTCCAGTGGCTCAGCCTGATGGGAGTCAGAGTTTCCACTGACTCCTTCCTCTCCTTCCTCCCGCGCAGCTCCTGCTTGTTGCTGGGATGAAGTGACCAGGGCAGTCACTTTCTCAAAGCTTCTGACATCAGAGGGGGCCCGGTTGCGCTGTTAAAGCGCTGATCGGGCCCCCTGGAAATACATAGCATCAAGTGGCCCTAACAGCATGGGCCACCCGATGGGCCCCATTCAATGCGGCCCCTGGCAGTTAAGCCGTGCAGGCTAGGGCATCATTATTTAGCCTGCGGGACACGCGGTTGCTGTAGGGCAGCCGGGCCCCCTTAAGTGACGGGTTCTGCCACTGACCTTGGGTTCTGCAGAGCTTTGTTACTTGGGGCTGAATAACCATCAGCAGATGCAAGTAGTACCTGCTGCCCACTAGTGTAACTCCCACTGATCATGGACAGACTTATGTCCCATGCTTCCCTAAGAATCACTAGTAAGAACCCCAATACCAATGCCTAGTCATAAAAAAACAAAACAAAAAAAAAAAAACACATGTAAACTTAAATAAGATTGGTAGTGTATGGTGAACGATGTATTGGTGCAAAATAATACCATCTCAGAGTTCAAGATCCATTCATGGAACACTTCGGAGTTTTTAAAGGAACACTATATAGTCACCAGAACAACTACAGCTTATTGTATTTGATTTGGTGAGTAGAATCATTACCTTTAGGGATTTTCATGCAAACACTGTCTTTTCAGAGAAAAGAAAAACATTGCCCCCTAGGGATACCTCCCGTGGCCGGTCCTCAGATGACCACTTCCTGGGGCAGTGCTGCACAGTGTGATTGCCGTTCAGTGTCTCCACCCTCTGCATGTAAACTCTGTATTTTCCTCATAGAGATGCATTGATAAAAAATGGCTTTTGGCCCCATCCCATCCTGACTCCTTCAGCCAATCCAAAGCATTAAATTCCGATGTCACCACGGAGATCAATTGGGGCGGGGCCAGCGCGGCACTGGATATAAGGTGAGTTTTAACCCCTTTTAAGGGGGATGGCAAGCCACCTAAATGGTGGTTTTAACACTATGTGGTCAGGAATACATGTTTGTATTTCTGACCCTATAGTGTTCCTTTAATATTTGAGGTATTCAAAAACCTCCTTGGGTACAGAAACTCGAGAAATTATATTTCCACAACATTCCCACAGTTCTCAGCTTGACATGCAAATGAGCCCAGGCAGGCATTCTGTTTCAGAATTCACATTCTGAATTTCACCAGATGCCGTTAGCAATGAACACTGTTTTAAATACAGCTTTTTAAAAATCATGATGCCCGTCTGTGCTCATTTGAATGTTGAGTTGGGAATTCAGTGAAACACACTGTCTGTGCTCATTTGCATATAAGAAATACACACCCATGCAGCTAGACGGATTAGCCAATGGGTGAGAGACTTACCTGGAATATGCATGAAGTTATTACGGAGAGCTGGCTTCACAGGGCTGACTGATGTGGTGACACTGCCCTCTGCTGGTAGAAGAGTAAGAATACATCATTATTACTGCTACACCTACAATGATTAGGACTGCAGGAGTAATTGTTAGAATCAGCAGCGTAGCTACCGCATCTGGCCCGGGGCACGCAGGCTGACAACTTACTTGTGATAGTGGAAAACTGGCAAAGAACAGGTCAAAATAGCCCATACAAAATTAGAAGACTCTCCAGTTCCCTCATCTTTTCTCCACAATTCCCAGTTTTGGCAGACCCTGACCAGACCTTTACCTCTCTGTAGCTTCTCCATATCGGTCAACTGATCGGCCAAACTGAAAACCAGGGTCTGAAGGTGCATCCTCGTCTCTGAGATAGGCAACTTGAAAAGGTCAAGAATCACATTCCCAGAAATCAACTGGAGGGTCAGGGTAACCAGGCTGCCTTGTACGTCCAGGAGAGGGGGCGTGCGCCCCAACACTTCACTAAGAGAAATCACAAACCAGAATATGAGCATACGCTGCGTTAATCGACCAAACATAAGGCAGATATCTCTGAGCACTTGGGGTAAGAGGAAGGAAAATGGGGTAAGGGGTACGATTTGTTTTTAATCGATGCTGAAGAAACAGTGAAAAGTTTAAGGGAATAAAATATAAAAGAACAAGCAAAGAAAAAAATTGATTATGATTATGGCATTAGATTAATCTAATTAGTGATGGTCAACATGCAGCCATAACATGCCTTGCAGTCTGAACCAGACTCCTTACCGAAGGCTTTCTAAGCCGTCCGAGGAATTGCTCAAAGTGCTGGCAGTGTTCTGAAAGCATAAAAATACATCATTAATGCCTTTATCGTAGCCAGTCCTCCGCTTTCTTATTTTGGAAGCACCATAAAATATTTTATGTTAATTACAAAAACTCAGACTATCACAATGGTGTTTGATAAAATGAATTCTAATGGACTGAAAATGACTTTCCTGTCCCAAAGAACATGCATTTTCAGTAGTTAGCGACAGATTAATATCAGCGCTACTGAATATGTTGGCTCCAAAATATACCATTTGAAAACTGATCAGTCTCTCTGCTTGATGAGGTCATACCACCCTCTAGTGGTAAAAGAGAAAACATAACTGCAAACTGTTGTATGAGTATTGTATTTATATATCGAATGTGTTACTGCCCAAGGCATCCTGACGTTAGATATTGGATGGGCATGATGGTATCAGGGGTGGAGGTAGTTATGAATGCTTTAGAACAGCATTTCCCAATTGGTGTTCCGCGGAACTGGGGCTCGCGGAACACCAACTGGGGTTCTGTCAAAAGTAAAAAAATAATTTAAAAAAGGCCGCGGGCGGCGAGGGAGCAGTGATCTCCTTGCTCAGCGACCTTGCGCGCACATTAGTGATGCTGGGGCTGTCATATGACGTCTCTCTGGCTCCGGCATCACGAAGAGGCGCGCGACGGAGCGGAGCAGGGAGATCACTGCTCCCTCGACGCCCGCACGCCAGCAGCCCCACTGGACCCCAGGGACCATTCACCAGCCCCCTACTGGACCCCAGGGACCACTCGCCAACCGCCCAGCAGCCCCACTGAACCCTAAAGGTAGGGGGGCTGGGTGGAGAAAAATGTAAAAAGTTGGTGTCTGTTAGGGAGTTTGTGTTTGTGTGTCTGTCAAAGAGTATTTGTGTGTTTGTCAGTGAGAGTGAATGTCTTTGTCAGTGAGAATGTATCTGTTCTTGCCAGTGAGAGTGTATATGTTTGAATGTGTGTCTGTAAAAGAGTATATGTGTGTTTTTCAGTGAGAGTGTATGTGTGTCTGAGTGTCAAGGTTTGTGTACGTGTGTGTGTGTGTGTGTGCGCGCGCGCCAAAGAATTCACAAAGAATTACTAGCCAGTTTCCACATAAAAAAATAAAATAAAGTAGAATCCTGTAGGGATTTCTAAGATCCCCATATTACTATAAGGGAGGTTTAAAAATCTAATCAGCCTACTAAACATTAAAAACCTAGTGACTAGAAAAGGCCCCATCACCTGTGAAAAATCGGGGGGGAGGACGAACACTTGGTTGTCAGAGCACTAAGAACGGTTGGTTAACTAGCCAATCAGAGAGCTCTTGGTCATATTGCAAAGTGTGGGAAATATTTGCACGCTTTGTGAAACCGGTCATAGTTAGAAGCACTCATTCTGCGGTGAGCCCTCCATGGGTGAAGATGTATTATTTTCGAACTTTAGTGGACAACCCTGTAAAAATATTTATAAAAACTTTCAGATGGTATAGGGACATTCCTTTAAAATGGAAAATCAGCCTGTAAATAAGTAAAAAATATTGGGGGTTAATTCTACGAAGACCGTAGCGGACACATGATTTGGTAATTATCTCTAGTACACAATTAAAACTTTCTATGGACTCGGCTAAGGAATTTGAATCTTGCAAAATGGAAATTTAAGAGCAAATTGCCTACATGCAATCTCATATCTAATATGTTTTCTACTACAGCCATTTACACAGGGAGCTCGGGGTACGTGGCGGACGGCTTTTAAGGTTGTTTGATCCTTACCCACTGTTCCTGGGCCTCCTTTGTCACATCCGCTTTCCAAACATCAATACCGTTCGTTACACTGAAAGAAGAAGATAATGAAAGTTATTTAACCAAATCACAAATAATGCTGTGCGCCCCAAAAGAGACATATTTCAGGAATGTCTATGACACGTCATCTCTCAGAAAACATTTCACAGTAAAAGAGGATTTGCTTCAACAAAGCACAAGCAACATCCAGAATGTCATACACTAAAGCAGGATTACAGACAAGTTGGCGCACAATAAACAAGACATGACTTACTGCTGTCTCAAGTTACTACATGGCAGGAGGCGATAAACAGAAGGATGTGATGGAAGATTTGTAGTGATATGAGATAACCCAGTTACAGTCCATGTGAAATACTAAATAGATGTATAAGGAGACCAAGTGAAGGACAAGACATTATGTTTTTGTGTGCGGTCAGTGTTCTCCAACAGTCGGTGCCACATAGATTTGGAAAGATCCAGAACCTCTATGGAGACAGATAGTGGGTTAGAGGTTGGTGTCTATTAATTGGTGGGATTTTAGAGAGTGTTTGAAGCTGTGCAGAATGGTAAGGGAAACTAGAGCAGTTTATTCACTAAGCACAGAATTGTAGGGAGTTGGAAACTGAATTGCAAAACTTAGGTAAAAAAAAAATATATATACAGGGAGTGCAGAATTATTAGGCAAGTTGTATTTTTGAGGATTAATTTTATTATTGAACAACAACCATGTTCTCAATGAACCCAACAAACTCAATATCAAAGCTGAATATTTTTGGAAGTAGTTTTTAGTTTGTTTTTAGTTATAGCTATGTTAGGGGGATATCTGTGTGTGCAGGTGACTATTACTGTGCATAATTATTAGGCAACTTAACAAAAAACAAATATATACCCATTTCAATTATTTATTATTACCAGTGAAACCAATATAACATCTCAACATTCACAAATATACATTTCTGACATTCAAAAACAAAACAAAAACAAATCAGTGACCAATATAGCCACCTTTCTTTGCAAGGACACTCAAAAGCCTGCCATCCATGGATTCTGTCAGTGTTTTGATCTGTTCACCATCAACATTGCGTGCAGCAGCAACCACAGCCTCCCAGACACTGTTCAGAGAGGTGTACTGTTTTCCCTCCTTGTAAATCTCACATTTGATGATGGACCACAGGTTCTCAATGGGGTTCAGATCAGGTGAACAAGGAGGCCATGTCATTAGATTTTCTTCTTTTATACCCTTTCTTGCCAGCCACGCTGTGGAGTACTTGGACGCGTGTGATGGAGCATTGTCCTGCATGAAAATCATGTTTTTCTTGAAGGATGCAGACTTCTTCCTGTACCACTGCTTGAAGAAGGTGTCTTCCAGGAACTGGCAGTAGGACTGGGAGTTGAGCTTGACTCCATCCTCAACCCGAAAAGGCCCCACAAGCTCATCTTTGATGATACCAGCCCAAACCAGTACTCCACCTCCACCTTGCTGGCGTCTGAGTCGGACTGGAGCTCTCTGCCCTTTACCAATCCAGCCACGGGCCCATCCATCTGGCCCATCAAGACTCACTCTCATTTCATCAGTCCATAAAACCTTAGAAAAATCAGTCTTGAGATATTTCTTGGCCCAGTCTTGACGTTTCAGCTTGTGTGTCTTGTTCAGTGGTGGTCGTCTTTCAGCCTTTCTTACCTTGGCCATGTCTCTGAGTATTGCACACCTTGTGCTTTTGGGCACTCCAGTGATGTTGCAGCTCTGAAATATGGCCAAACTGGTGGCAAGTGGCATCGTGGCAGCTGCACGCTTGACTTTTCTCAGTTCATGGGCAGTTATTTTGCGCCTTGGTTTTTCCACACGCTTCTTGCGACCCTGTTGACTATTTTGAATGAAACGCTTGATTGTTCGATGATCACGCTTCAGAAGCTTTGCAATTTTAAGAGTGCTGCATCCCTCTGCAAGATATCTCACTATTTTTGACTTTTCTGAGCCTGTCAAGTCCTTCTTTTGACCCATTTTGCCAAAGGAAAGGAAGTTGCCTAATAATTATGCACACCTGATATAGGGTGTTGATGTCATTAGACCACACCCCTTCTCATTACAGAGATGCACATCACCTAATATGCTTAATTGGTAGTAGGCTTTCGAGCCTATACAGCTTGGAATAAGACAACATGCATAAAGAGGATGATGTGGTCAAAATACTCATTTGCCTAATAATTCTGCACTCCCTGTATTTTTGGAAAAATTGTTACAGTCACAGTTTGACTATTTTAGCGTGAATTCTGCAATTAATTACAATCTCATATAAATTATAATAAACTCCAATGTATAGGGATTGCATGAAGACAGGATTCTAAGGTGGCACAACATGGGAGACCCCTTGGAAACTGGAGTGAGAGACAGTGAGGATATAACTGGTAGTATGGGAGACCTCCTGGAGATAGGAGTGAGACAGTGAGCTCGATGGAAGCAACAATCCCTTATTACTAAAGTGCTGCTCACATACTACTTAGCATTAAAACCCATAATCCCTCACCAAATGGAATTATGACAGCTGTAGTCTCAGAGCACCATAAGAGACCACATCCTTAGTGTCCCAGTACAAGACAGTCACAGTGTCACAAAACAGAGCAAACCGTTTCCTGTTTGCATGCCATGAAGAGGGGTAAACAAATGTATGCAGGAGGGATGCACTTCACAGCCTGATGGCACACACACGCACAGAGGCAAACACTACCTTAGAGACACAGTCAAAAACATAGAGCAAACACGCAGAGCTACAACGCACATACAGAAAGTCACAGAGAGACACTTCGATACTAAGACAAAGACACAAACACACACAGAGGCAAGGATTACCTTATGGAGACACCGACACACAGAGCCACAGACAGACACACAGAGCCACAAACAGACCCTGAGATACTGAGATGGAAATACACAAAGCAACAACACAAATACCGAGACACAGACACACTACATACTAAGAAGCAGACAAACCACACATAACCACAGACACCCACTGAGAGGTAGCTGCACATGCAGACATACTTTCATATACAGAAACCCATGTTAGCAGACATTCCCCTGCCCCAAACAGAGAGACAGAGACACAGTGATACACAATGCCCCAGCTTACAATAAGTCCAAGCTGCCAGTCTCTTGGCTCTGCTGCCGGCCATGGCACAGGTAGCGCTGACCATCATGTCTCAGGGAGCACAGAGTCACATGGCTCTGCCGCTTGGAATCCATGGTGTATTCACTTCCTGATAGAGGCGGAGCTCACAGCAGCTGTATTGCTTGTGGGTGGAGCTTCTATAACCCCCCTGGGATGTTAACCCTGAATGTAACAAAAACATTCCAATAAACAGCGACCAATCAATTACAATACAGGAAAATAATCACCTTACAAATTCTATGTATATTATGTATTACACAATATACAGAGCGAGGAGAGAGTCCCCCCTGTATCTATATTACACAATATGCAGAGCGAGGAGAGAGTCCCCCCTGTATCTATATTACACAATATGCAGAGCGAGGAGAGAGTCCCCCCTGTATCTATATTACACAATATACAGAGCGAGGAGAGAGTCCCCCCTGTATCTATATTACACAATATACAGAGCGAGGAGAGAGTCCCCCCTGTATCTATATTACACAATATACAGAGCGAGGAGAGAGTCCCCCCTGTATCTATATTACACAATATACAGAGCGAGGAGAGAGCCCCCCCTGTATCTATATTACACAATATACAGAGCGAGGAGAGAGCCCCCCCTGTATCTATATTACGCAATATGCAGAGCGAAGGGAGAGTCCCCCTGTATCTATATTACACAATATACAGAGCGAGTCCCCCTGTATCTATATTACACAATATACAGAGCGAGGAGAGAGTCCCCCTGTATCTGTATCCCTATCTATTACAATATACAGATATGGCGAGGAGAGCCCCCCCTGTATCTATGGGATCTATATTACACAGAGCGAGGGAGAGTCCCCCTGTATCTATATTACACAATATACAGAGCGAGGAGAGAGTCCCCCCTGTATCTATATTACGCAATATGCAGAGCGAAGGGAGAGTCCCCCTGTATCTATATTACACAATATACAGAGCGAGGAGAGAGTCCCCCCTGTATCTATATTACACAATATACAGAGCGAGGAGAGAGACCCCCCTGTATCTATATTACACAATATACAGAGCGAGGAGAGAGTCCCCCTGTATCTATATTACACAATATACAGAGCGAGGAGAGAGTCCCCCCTGTATCTATATTACACAATATACAGAGCGAGGAGAGAGTCCCCCCTGTATCTATATTACACAATATACAGAGCGAGGAGAGAGTCCCCCCTGTATCTATATTACACAATATACAGAGCGAGGAGAGAGTCCCCCCTGTATCTATATTACACAATATACAGAGCGAGGAGAGAGTCCCCCTGTATCTATATTACACAATATACAGAGCGAGGAGAGAGTCCCCCCTGTATCTATATTACACAATATACAGAGCGAGGAGAGAGTCCCCCCTGTATCTATATTACACAATATACAGAGCGAGGAGAGAGTCCCCCCTGTATCTATATTACACAATATACAGAGCGAGGAGAGAGCCCCCCCTGTATCTATATTACACAATATACAGAGCGAGGAGAGAGTCCCTCCTGTATCTATATTACGCAATATGCAGAGCGAAGGGAGAGTCCCCCTGTATATATATTACACAATATACAGAGCGAGGAGAGAGTCATTTAATGACTGATAACAGGGTGTGTGTTAGTGTAGAAACTCTGTTTGCAGGATTATATCAAGTGTTCAGAGATAATCTATTCAGCTAAAACCTGACAACGTCCATATACAGAGAGTATTGCTCTGAGTTGCAGCACATTTAGCTGGACAGGTAATTTAATTTAACAGAAAAGCCCCCAGACATCCAGCTGCAGGTGCATGGGACTCTGCAATACGGGATGCTCTGCACCCTGACAGCTCCCCTCTGCCTGGTTAATAAATCCCTTTATTTAACCTTGAAGGAGGGTGTGTGAGATGTAAACAATTTATTTACCAGATTTCTTCCCTTTTCTCTCTGCATGACAATCGTTTCAAAACAGTGGCAACACTACAGCAGGAGAGGAGTATTCAAGCTGAGCCGATCCGTGCCTCCAGGAGGAAGGTCTCTGCCTTGATTGGAGAACAAAGAAAGAAACATTTATCTTTCCACGCAACAAAAGAATAAAAACAACAAGGGGATAGAATCTAACATTGACAGAGAACTGGGAAGAGGTCGGAGCTGAGACAGGAGCGGGTAAGTGGCATTTTAAACTGCATTGTGCATTTCACAAAACATTATTTGTTAGCTAACAATGTAAAACAAAAACAAAATTATTATTTTTAGGGACACTTTTTTTATACCATGTAAAGAATTCCAGGATAAAAAAAAAAAAAAAAAAGTTACAAACCCCCCCCACCCCCCAAAAAAAACTTTTCGCAACTTGTAAAGTCGATTATTATGCGTGATCACAAGAATTTGTACTGAAAGACTTATTAACCACCTGACAGTAGAAAACCAAACCAATTATGGAACATTATGAAACCAATATTACATATTTTAAAATAAAATTTAAATAATAAAAATATTCTCTGCCCAGGGCAAGAGCAATTAAAGAAAGCTTTGAGAAACTGTTGCCAATCGTGTTTGTTAAAGCTCTGCTTTCCGTAAATATTGTTGAACACGTGTTGGTTCTTTGTCTGCTGGGTTTTTCCAAATTATCAATCAAATAATTTCTCCCCCTCCCAGTAACCATTCTGCCTAAATCTGCCTAAACAATACTGGCCAGATACTCTGATCTTGCGCCTAATTCGGGGAGAGAAAGGTCAAAAATAACAATATTAGCATTTAAATAAAAAGCAGAAGTATGGATCATTTATAAGCTGTAAAGACAAACTTAGCAGCAAGACAGAATTATTACAACAATTGTAATGTTGGGAGCCATAGCTACAGACACTTTTGGGATTTATTCAGCTTTACCACAGTGCAGGTACCTCTCCCAACCCAGGTGCTCCTGCTAATTAGTGATAAGTATGCAATGCCTTTAATACCTTAAGTGAGCTCAGTCCCTCACACTCACTAACAGGGTTATTTACAAAAGTGTCAGTTTTCAGAAATTCAATACAAATTTCACATTCTAAGTCGAGCAGCCAAACTGGGGAAAAACACCTAGGACTTCGAGACTTTCCATTTTAGGTATTGTGGCCTAAAATCTGAAAATCACACAGAAATACTCCCAGATCAAAGTTTAGCGAATAACTCTTAAAAGTCTGAATTCAAAGTGAATTTCTAATTTTAGTCCATACTGGGGAAACTCTCCAAATCCGCTATGTTTTCAGTTCTGCTCTTTTGACCTCAAATTTAAAATTTTGCTTTGAATTCCTTACAATCAAGAATTTACACTTTAGTCAATAATTATTATAGCTCAAACACCCAGCTTTGTATGTCTGAATTGCTGACAATGCACACCTTGGGAGTAATAACCCAGTAAGTAATTAGAACGATAATTACTAAACTGACACACGCATTACATTCATATAATCAGAAGTAGTTTAATCCATTTAATAATGTATTGTAAATATGTAATTAAATAAAACTAATACTAACCTTTGTGCGAACACTAGAATATTACACAATATACATATATTACAGCATAAAATAAACACATTGAAATTTGCACAACCTTCCCACGTGCAAATCTCACATAGAACCGAAAGAACACTTGATATGTGATTTTAGATTGCATGACTGTCACGGGTGGCAGTCTGAAGACCAGCACCCCTGAGTGCCTGATGATGGGAGTCTTAGCGTGGAAATGGACTATCAAGACCTGGTGCAGGGTAACCACATGCCCCCTGGTTTTGAGCACCAGCATTTGTGCGGCCACATACCAGGGGCCTGATGCAGCTTCTGCGGATCCCTCCGCAGAAAAAAAACAGGATGTGACAATGACATCCCGTTCACGGTAAATCCATATTTAGTGCTGTAAATAAATAACGGATATTGGCAGTATTTAACGAATCATAACAGCTCACTCACACTGTCCTGCGCCTATATATCGGCTCAAATATTACACCATAACCTAAAGCACTTGGCATAAAACTTTTCCTTTCTGTATCTCCTACAACAGATGCAAGAAAGATAGAATGAATACGATGTCACATAAAACGTTAATACAAATCAAAATTAAAAGGGAGGTTTTTTTTTTTTTTAAATGCACTGATGGTAACGGAGGGAAGTGTTGGGGATCGAGAGGAGAGAAGGAAGAAGATGGTCACGTCAGTCGGCAGCACAAAATATGCACATAATTGACATTTAGTTGACATTTTAGATCAGTCCTGTCCAGGTGCACTGTGCTACAGTTAAACGCCTCATTGCTTTGTTTTAATCTTACAGATGGTACAGTCTTTAGGGCTTGGTGTCAGAAAAAGAAATGGAGAGTCGCCTGGCCCAGCTGCTGTCCCCACTACCGCATGTGGTACAGCAAGGGGTAGAGGAGATTATGAACGAGGCCCAGGTACACCGGAAGCAGCTGCTGGATGCTCTGTTAAGAGACACAAGGTGCAGCCAGTACCTAACCACGCTGGGTAAACTGCTGCTGGCCTCGGACCTCAGGTAAGGTATAAACACACCTCTCGTATAGCTGCACAACACAGACAAACGTGACTGTCTGACACACTGTAAATAATAAGATACATTAGGAAGTGTCACAAGAGACCAACCACAAGAGTAACTAACTTACAGTTACTGAGTTTTCTTTGTTGAGTTTTTGTGCAGCAGTTAAGTCATATGTATCCTTCTAACTTACTGGTTGCCAGTACGTGTACAATGTACTGGTGCACGAACTGTCTCTGAAAACATTCAAATCAAGGTACAAAACCTCCAGGTAACACAGCATTGTTGAATTACGCTGATCAGATAAGGAGCAGCCTGGTTATTATTAGGGGAGGCGAGGTTGACCCCAGAGAGAACACTTAATAAACAAACACTCAGGAAATCTCACCAAGAAGTTGACCCAAGGAGGGAGTGCATTATGAAACAGCAGAACCCAATGTGTATGGATCACGGCAAAGCGACGATCAGGATGGATCTGCTGAGTAAACACATCCTTTAACTTGCATGACAGACACTCAGCAACCGAGCCTTAAATAAATTGTAGGTTAAATAACATGTATAGCAAAGTAAACAGGGCAAGCCAATGGGCAGGCGGAAAGACTTGCCAAGTGCTGCCAACACTTAACATTGATAGTCACGCCGGCTTACATAAAAAGGATTGGACATTAAGATGTAAAGTAGCAAACTGTGCTGTTTGAGAGGCACAACATTGAGTGACAACGACGCTTTGAACTCACCACAGAATGTTGGTTACTAGTAAAACAACCTGCAGAGAGAAAGGGGTTTTGGGTGCAAATAAAAAGAGGTAAATAGGTAATCGCTAGGAGATATCCACGCTACGGCAATGTAGCTACTATAGACTACATTTTCCATCATTCCCAGTCACCAGCATTTCCAGCCTAACGTTACAGATTACATTGCATTGGTATAGCTCTGATTTCCCCACACAGGTCCTTTATACTACAGCGTGCTGTGTATGTTCAGCTTGAGGCCTTATACCATGCGCCATGCGTTCGTTGTCACTGTGGTAGAATCCCACGTCAACACACAGCACAGGGCGAGAACTAGATCTTACAGAATCGACGATGTGACCTAGGGGACAATTCGCAGAGATCAATCTCGCGAGAAGTATTTTGAAATGGCCCGATTTTCATGCAGACGTATTTCACACACCATGATGGCCCTCTATAAAGCAAAATTCTAAGGCAAACGTGGCGCAATCACTAGGAAAATCGACATCCCTCATTCTGCAGATGGAGCAGGGGAGGTTAGAATTAAGAAGGGCATGGGGCTGTTTCACAGAAAAATTGGAAGGATGTGGGACCTGCTAACAATTAAAATATGTCTTCTAAGTTCCAAGTCAGGTCAGCATTAAAAATGTAATGTACCGGCTGAAGGTGAAATTCCAGCAAACAAATTTTAGATGTTATCTCTGAACTGGATGCAGGTGTCAACTCCTACAATGCTCAGAACTCCTTGCGCATGCAAGCACGCTATCCATTATCTGACACCATGCACAGCATGCAAAAGGTCGCACCTACTGCAACCATAATATCTGCAGGATTTCCAGCGTTACGGCAAAGACACAGACGTTTAAACTAAAAGTGTTTCTTAATAATTTTTCTATGTGTTTCAATGTAATGCATTTTCAAAACACACAACACAGGCATAAACTGCTTCACGCCATTAAGATCGAAGTTCACAGATCTCACAGAATGGAACTGTCAGACATTGATGGTCTCTCTCCAGATTTGCATGAACGGGAAATAAAAACAGAGACAGACTAACTTTGTTCTGTGTTTATTAAAACCCCACTAGATACTCTGTCAAAGGTCACTAAACCGTATATTCCAGTACAATAGCAATCAGGTGAATAGAGTTTATTGTGTCTTGGTCACAGCGAAGCACTTTTTAAACAAATAAAGATCCTACAACCAACACATTGATCACAGCTCTAGGATTCCGAGAGTCTAGTGGTATTCTTGTTCGGAGTAACCATTTAGGAGGAGATTAGCTGAAGGCTCTGTGTACGCTAAGAGCTGCACGTCAATAACAAGCCCTTTTTTTCTGCTTATCTCCATATTGACAAGGCTCATGTCGGGGAGGGGGCCAAGTAATCCACGTGCTGGCAGGCTCCAGACTGGCTTGGTTTAGTTACAACCGTTACCCAGCAACCGATGATCCAAAACGGGCTTGTGGTGTTTACAGGACGTACTGCTGAGCTTTGTGCCAACATTGGAGGGGGCGCACCCCTCCTGCACACACATCCATCACCACCAAGTGACTCCCACAAGTACAGCTATACATCTGAACTTCACAAAACAAACACACATTTAAAGGACAACTGTACTCACACAATATTTAATAAAATAAGCCTTTCATCACATTTTCAAATAAAATTGTATTTTTTTAAAATGAAGTATATGTTAAAAAAAAAAAAAAAGACAAAAGCTCATCCCTGCCTTTAGTCTATGACGACGTATATAGCTTCAGCCATATACGTACACCTCGGGTCGGACAGTGCTTGAAAACTGACAGTTAGTCTCTATGGTCTTTCCTGTCTCTGTGGAGGGAGTGAAGCAAGGAAAACCATAAAGACTAACTGACCGTTTGTCTGACCCAAGGTGTATGTCTATGGCTGTAGGATCCCGTCATATACTAATGTGAGGAATGGGGTTCTCTCTTTTTTTACATTTACTTTAATTTTAAAAAAAATAAAAAAAATTGGGGGGATCCAGGCTTGACAAAGACCATCTAGGTCGAAATGTTGTGATTTGGCTGTGGGTTTAATAAATTGCCTTTTTTGTATTTTGGAGTGCCTGGACCTTTCTACAATTGTTTCATTAAGCATCTGGTTTCTTGGTACTGAGATCGGGCCTGGTTGCACCCAGATTCATACTGATAAAAGGGATTTAGTGCAGTTCCACATCGATGATCTTATAACATTGGCATATACATGAACTCGCACATGTATGTATACCTGGCATGCACCTGATCATTTTGTGCATGATGATCTCCGTGCAGTCTCCAGCCTCCACAATTCAGCTGCTTTCTATAGAGTAATAGAAGATATTTAGTGCTCAGAGGGACTTTCCACTTGCATGGGATTCTGTAACTTCATGTAGTAAAATACGGATTAATCTAACCCAACCAATGATTAAAGAGGTTCTATCGCATTGTTAGGGGAAGTTTCATGGGAGGGTAAATTCCCCCTTAGTCCCTAACCTTAAACGTTGCAGTTCCACTGGCGTGACGGGTACATTTTGATATTTAACAGATGGGAATACATTATACAAGACGTGTCCTGTGTATAAAATTAAGTCTTCTAGAGTTTGGGCCATTGGGAGTTCTCAAATCAGTATCTCAGAGTTATTCACTATGCCAGAAATTCAAAAGAAATTTCAAATTTAAGGCTAGAATCGCTGGAAATATGTTACAAGCCAGTTTTGTTTTGATTCTGAATATTTGAAATCCACATTTCATGGAATAAATCTGTATGTTTCCAGATAACGTAACAATTTGAGATCATGGCTTGTGGTGTGGGTCTCGTTCTGCAGGTTGTGTAGCAGTGTAGCCTTTATCTTGGGAACCGTGGCAGAAGACCCCACAATATGCACGCTACTGGTGGATCTTGCAGAACACTCAACAGATTGGGACCTGCTGGGGAGACTGAGCTCCATGCTGTTGTGGGAGGACATGGAGGCTGTAATGAACGCTGCTGGGGCCTTGGGAACTCTAGTAAGTATTTTACCTGCTGTATCAATCAATGACAGGGTCACTGGCGCTCCGAGTAAGGGGGCTACAAACATTAAACAGCAAAGCAGACATACAACATCAATTGCTAACATAGGCTCCTAGCTTTTGTAGCAAGCATTGCGCAGAAACGTCCATTTTCTAGACGTTGCGGAAAAGCGCTCCTCATTCTGCAGAAGCAGAGAGCGAGGTAAGCGGAAAGCAGCGATGTCGAGCACCATATGGACCAACTAGGTGGTTAAACTCTTGAAAAACGGCTTAACCCCCTGAAGGTACGATGCCACCCACCCACTCTGGAAACAGCATGACAATCTCAATGCGTTGAAGCTGTTATGAGAGTGGGAGTGTTATTTTAAATGAAGGGAGCATCTCCTTAGGAATGTACTCCATGGTGATAATGGAGCAAACATCATGACTATTAATCTTTGCTTTGCCAAATCATGCAATCTCCTGTTTGCATGTGAATCTGTGAAAAGCTCATCTCAATGCGACCGGGATTTGCTGCCCTGAAAATCAGAATTTAAACTTGGAATAAAATAAAAAAGGAAATACATTTAAGTACAAGGGAAAATAATGGGCATATTAGATATTTCATGTTTTTATGGCCTGTTTTAGGATATAGGTCCAGTGACAGTCACGTCATCATGCTATCCCTTTAATTATGGACTAATGCATGATGTGGGACAGCAGAAAATATTTAATTATATCTCATGTAGTCTACAATGAAATCCCCATTAATATATTGATTTATTTGTATTTATTGTATAGCCATTGGACAACGCTGCAGACCATGCTGGCGTTTTCGTAATAATAATGCAAACCTGCAGTTCTCGATATTAATAAAAATATTTGCAATAACGTTGACATATATGTGGATTCTAACCATCATGTTCTCCAATACCTGTAGGCCGAGCACAGCCAAGGGCGTCAATGGATCCTCGCATTTCCGAACTCTAACGCTATCATTGAGAACATTGCAGACCTGCTGGAATCTCCCAGTGATTGGACGGCCAGTAACTGCGCACTGGTTCTGGCCCGGATCTGCATGTGCCAGAAGGGCTGTAACAGAATTCTGGACCATCCCAAATCAGATGGAGTGCTCCGAAAGCTTATAGCGTCACTGCATGTTGACGAAGCAGGTTAGAGAACCGCACATTATTGTCCATTATATATCCATGAACTTAAAACTTTGCAGTTTGTGCTAAAAGGATAAAATATAAATAAAAAACAGACAAAAACTAAATATTTTTGTCATAAAATGTCAAATATTTTTTTCAGGACTTTACTGTAATAGGTGCTATTTTTTCATTATATACCATCTATTCTTTTCCATGCACAATTTCAATATAATGCCTTTCTAGGACAATTCAATTTTGTATTATGAACAAGACACCATAATACAGATATTTGGTAACAGGAATTAAGAGAAGATCTCAGCCAAGATAATGGTATGTGCAATCAGCAGCTAACAATGAGGCTGATTGTTTCAGTCACTTAGTCTAGATTGACCACAGTCACAGATCTTCTCACATCTTGGGCCCTGGGATCCTTCTACCTGCTAGGTGTTATGTTTAACTCTTCCCTCTCCAGGCTGCGGGTTGAATGCTGCCTTTGCTCTTGGACGTCTTTGTGACACAGATACCGGGAGGAAACGGGTGCTCGGGCTACGAGAGGCTGAAGACATGGTGAGAAAAAAAACAAAAAACATGATAAAACATTCAAACTTTCAAACATACAATGACTTGCATGTGATAACCAAGACCAACCCAAGGTACAGTCTGTTATTGCTTTATCAGGTGCAGGGTGAAGGCCAGATGATATGGCCTATCCAAAACATGTTTATTAATCCAGTTTTGCATTATGATAATCTCCATTCACTAGCTGACCTATCTATATCGCAATCATTCCAGGTGTCTGCTTTGGAAGAAATTATGTCAGGTGAGGATGCAGGAGGGAGTCGGAATGCCTGTTTTGCCATCGCTTGCCTAGCAACGGACCAAGCAGGCCATGAATACGTTTTGAAGAATCCATCCTTCCCTCAGATTGTAGACACCCTGTGTTGCCTACTTCAGTCTGAGGAGCAAGAGTCCAGCTGGTTTGCAGCAATGTATGTTCCACACACCCACAACTAGAGCTCTTTAACAGGCTTCGTAACAAGTTAAATAGAACTTTTCACCGTTTGGGTCCTAATACACCAACCAAATATGTACACACATAACATACCAGTGATTGAAGGGGGATAAATACATGTACATGACGAGTACCTCCATCTAGAGTTGGATTTATACCATACAACGTTTGGTAAAGTACTTGACTAACCCCCACCCATTAACAGCTCCATGCATTGGTCCACAGTAAGCAATGAATGTTGTGCTTTATATTTGGAACACGGATTGGCTGATCAACAGACTGGTTCTGGAGTATTATTTAACGGTGGGAATTTTACTTACAACCTTCTCTCTTCTCCATATAGGACTGTGAAGGTATTGTCCAGTTATTCTCATGGAGTGGTGAGACTGCGCCAACACCATTTACTGGAGAAAACGCTAAAGGTAGGGGCAACACAGGGAGTGCCTCCAAGCCCCGTAACCACTACATCCTGCTCTCCGTATGCCTTGGCTCTGTCCCTGAGTGAATTGGTAAACCATTTAAGGATGGTCTGACAACTTACGTGGGTCACACGGGCCAGAACTTGCAGCCTGCATCCGGCTTTTTCATTGAATTGAAGCAGGTCCGATACAGGACTGTGTTTATCGGTTGAGAACACACAGCTAGCACTTTCAGCCAATGAGGTCTTGCACAACGATGTTTAGCTTAGTGGAGATAGCTGTAGTGGTTATGGTGCTTGGAGTGTTTCTTTAATATAAGTGACAATGCACACGCAGAGGACTGAATACGATTTGTGCACTGTGAAGGCCAAACATGGCTGCCAAATGTATTCGTCGGAAGTAACAACATCTCTCCAGATATTGCTTTCACCTAATCCCACTTATAATATAAAAGATGCACATCACAACAATTTATTATAAGAAAAATCACTTTTATTTATTCAGCAAATTATTCAATCATATTATCAAATCCAAAATAACAAACCGATAGAATCATGACAAGGCTTCACCAAAAACACAGCACTTAACAATCCCTCGAGAAAACTTGATAAAAGTTTTAGCCAGTCTTAGCCAGTCTATCAAGGCTGTCTGGCTAAGAGTTGCAGGAGTTCATCTGGAGAACTGTAAAAGGCTGGCTTTGCCTACAGGTCTTTTAAAAAGCTATCGTTTTGGCAGCCAAACTGCCAGCTCTCATCTCCAGACAAAATGGTCTCGTAAATAATTGGCAGAGATCAGTGTGGGAGTCTGAGACAGACGTTCTGTATCACCATGGAAGACATTGCCAGGGTTACTCAGAGACCGAGGGCGCTGATATCTCCAGGAGACAATAGTAATAAAAGGATCCTTTTATTCTGAAAACTAATGGAGGAAACATTTGTCTCTTAATACTTCGTGGCTCAACTTTCATCGAGCTTCAGAGTGAGACGTCTTCTCAAAGAATAAAAAAGGAGAAATAGGTGAACTGGCTCCTCCGTGAAAAACTGCACAGAATTTTAAAAAATTGCTATTTTTGAAATACAACAAAAACTAACATAAAAAGAAAAAAAATTCAATGAATAATAGAACTTATAGCATGCAATTTGCTAAGTACAAGCTTGTAGTATGTCTTACACTTTAAAGAACAAAATCTGAGCACAAATTCTTAGATCATATTTAGATCATAAATGTATTGTATCAGATATACTGAAGGCTCGCACATAGATTGCTGTATTTTGAAAGTTATATTACTGGGCACTATTGGATCATCTTCTCTAAACATGACTTAGAGAATATTCCCCCTCGCTGCCTATATGGAGAAGCCCTTCATGTATAGGGTCTGGGGTCTATATGTGTGATAAATAGTGTGATATTGTGTTACTATTAGGGGACACTAATTGTGTACACACGGTTTCCTTTTCAGAGGATATTGGCTTCTCACATGACTGGTAAGGACCTGCTTGAAGAGGTACAAACCACACTCAAAAATCTACAGCGACTTCCCCAGCCATCCTGTCCCAGAGCCAAGGTCACAGAGTCGAGGTCCATATGGATTGATTGGGAGGAATATAAACCAAACAGTGGGTTACCAGTTACATACAGGTGGGCAAAGACATTTCAAATCAGGCTTGTGGTAATTATTTTGCTGTGTATTCCTAGACTGCATGCCTCCCATCTCCGTAACTTCTGCTTAGATGGCTCCATCTTGCTGCTCTTTCCATTCCCAATCTACACCTTTGTCAGGCTTTCTTCTTTACATCCACGATTATTATTATTATTATTATTATTACTGGAATTTATATAGTGCCAGCATATTCCGCAGCGCTTTATAATTTTATCAAAGGGGGAGATACAATTGTGCTGATTATAATAACCAAGTACAGTACGCTGTGCCCTAAATAGCAGTCCAATGCCTATCCCAGGGCCACACAGAACTATTCTATCTAGATATATCCAATCCCTTACATATTCCACTTTGACAGGGAAGGAGGAGATCCCAGGCATTGCTTTACCTGAAAGGTAACAAAACATTTAACCCCAAAGTCTGCAACCCAGCGCTCGATCGCTCTGCATCTGCATGTCCGCCCAATGTCCATAGCGTAACTCAGGTAGCCGGAGTGTAAAGAAAGTTCTATACCCAAAGAATAGTATAACAACAACTCCTTCCAAGCTAGGAAGCCAAGCCCACTAGTATTCCAGGTTATGCAACCTCTTGTTTGTGATAAAATAGTTATTTGACACTACACTAAGGCAGCCATGTTGTCCTTCTGTTCACAGTCTGTTTGATGGTGAAAGATTGCTCTATCGAGGCACATCCTGCTCTTATCAGATCACAGATTCCAAAGCTGGTCACCAATATCATCTTAAAGTGGTTATGGAAACCCCTGGAGACCGCAGTCCAGACAGCCCAGTGACCGTCATGACCATGGACGAACCATTGCCAGGCCCTCCTATGGACTTGCATATTACAGGCCGTACAGCTACAAAAATAAAACTTAATTGGTCTCCACCATCTGAGGCTAGTACATTGATAAAAGGTTATATCGTGTACAAGGAGGACAGTCCTGTGGAGACAACATCTGAGTTAAGCTGTATAGTAGGAGGTTTGTTACCATTATCAAGTTATAATTTTAGTGTTTGTGCATTCTCATCAAGAGGCCAGGGGCAAAAGTCATCCATAGCCGCTAAGACGATGGACAAAGGAGATCATGCCCCAGGCAAACTTACTCTATATGTCATTGGACGGAGTGAGATCTTTATCACTTGGGAGGTACCCAGAGACTCTGCTGGGAAATTTTTCAATTATGAACTGTGCATGAACGGAAAGCCAGTCTATTTGGGCACTGAACGCTCTTACACTGCCCGTCGCCTTATACCCAATACAGAATACACCTGCAGAGTCTGTGCCATCACTAGTGAAGGGCGCTTTGAGAGTCGGCCGGTCACTAAACGCACTGCCAAGGATGAATATAGCAATCTCAGCAAGTAAGTAACAATGAAATATACCTCAACACTCTATGGTATATAATGCAGTATAAGGGACGGTGTATGGAACTCACTTGTTCAGGTTTACAACATTGCAATTTGGAGTTGTCTCTTTAATAGATTTATTATTTTTAACTTTTTTATTCATTCTGTTTATTTTAACACTGCTTATCATATGAGTATAAGCAGTAATCCATCCAGTTGCAATCCTTTCTCATCCACTTTACGTACTACACACAGGGATTAGCGAATGCTTTGAAACATGATCTCAGAATTAGGAATTAAGATCTTGGGTCTGGGTTACAAACACAGATACTCTATTGCAGGGTTTAAAATCTGTAACTAGCCAGGCTTTAAAAGTTACTTGCCACAGGAAGCCATAGCAAACCCACCAGGAGTGAACCTCTACTCGCCAGGTCTGAATTCCCACTCACCAGTGGCATTTGGAAAATGGAAATTTTGATTATTACTCTGACAGCCACAGAAAGTCGCGCTCTGCATTACCCAGACAGTTTGAATACTGACTTACAGCGTTGGGCCAAGTGGTAGGCTGGGAGGACATAGTCAGGACCTAGGGATGTACAACTGCAGACACATAATTTAGACGTACAGATTTTAAAGGAAAGCTATTGGTACACAGACCACCCCTACAAGTACCACCAAGTGGTTCAGCACTTTCCAAAATATATGTCAGTACTGAAGAAAAGGTTGGCTCAAAAATTCCAATAGAGGAAAAAAGGTTCCAGACAGAAGAAATAGCACTTTTACATCTCGCTGAGCTTTATATCTATTGAGCTCAAGGACATAAAGATTTGACTAACGAGCCCCTGCACGCTAGTCTTCTCTTGCTCACAATAAGATGTTGAGGAATTTCAGCCTAATCATTAAAATAAATTCATGGCTTGTATATATGTATAAAGAGGGTATGAACATTCATAAATATGGACACAGTATATAAACGTACATTGACATGGTCACAAAAAATTAACACTTGTCCTAATGAATCTAGAAACCATGTTACAGCTGAGAGCAACCAACTTCTTATCTCCTCACCACCCCGTGATAGCCACAATCCCACCCAGAGACAGAAGAAGACAGATGGCCCGGCCAAAAACTGTCCTGATAAAAGCCACCACATACGCCTGCTGCTGAGTCGCCAGACAAGCAAAACAAATGACAAGACGAGTCAGGCTCCGAACTCAAGGTAAAATTTACCTTCCAGGTGCAAGAGCGTTAAGGGTTGAATCGAGCCATATCTTCATGGTACAGGCTGATTAGCCCTGGAGTGACACCCACCAGTGGGTTACCAAATATTCCATTCATTATACTAGACTTCTCCTGTTTCATTTTAGAAGAGGCTCCCAGATATCCTGGTCTACAGAATCAAGTGACGATAATATAGGAACGCTGGAATTCCAGGTCAGTATGTATAGTATCTCTGGTCAAGCAGATATATTGCATTTTCCATGATATTTAGATCCATTTGGAAAATGTCATTTTTATATCCTTCTCAAATTAAAATCAGAACAATGTGGCAAGTCTGCTAAGAGAAATTAAAATTATTACAGTAATGCAGGGACATTATGCGGGTAGGTTTTCCCAGATATCTCAGTGCACAGACCTTATGACAGCAGCCACACGAAAGGAGTTTGATGTGACGGTGACACAAGTGAGAGCAAATCAACATAGACTGTCCAGTAGCTTTCTTATCTGTCCACTGACGGCTTGTACCATCTCATAACCCAGAAGGCTTCAACGTGCGACCCAGCAGCCAGGCACATGGAGGAAGCACCTCAACGCAGAAAAGGCAACTTTTCTCAAAAAGAAATTGGAACCAGTAAAGAAACCCCCCAGACAATTAACACAGGAGCCTCTCCGAAGGTAAAAACAGCGGGAGTGCCCTGAGTACAGCAAGATAGGGGGGATAAGAAAAAGGACAGGACATACCAAAAATAAGGAGAGGAAGGACGATAAAGGGGCAATATGTAGGACAGTACAGCTATAGTGGGGCAATAAGGAGGAAAGCAGAGCATTACTAGGTAATGGGGATTAGAGTAGAGTAAGAATGGGGCAGCAGGTAAGAGTATACACTGATAACGGGGAGGCAGTGAGGAAGAGGGTAAAGAGTCTAAAGAGCAATGAAGAGGAATGTACGGGATAAAATAGACTTTAGGAAGGCCAGTACAAAAATGGGTCGCAAGAGTATTCAGAGAACGGACAGCAGCTAAAATAGCCTGCCCTTTGTTGGGTCCCCGCTCAGAACTCAAGCTGGTTTTAGCTCATCTTGTGCCATTACAGAGAGAACATATCTGAAGCATATCAGACTGGTCCCACCCATATGGGCAGTCCAGATCCGAAGTGCCAGCAAGTTCTCTCTGCACAAGAGATACAGCAACCCCAGACGATCATTCAGCCTTGTTAGGCATCATCAGTGAGGCATAGCTGATATCTCTCTAGGCACCGTGAGCAAGGGGTCCACGTCTGGATTACCCTTTAAACTTATGGAGAGCAAAACACGGGTCGCAAGAGTATTCTGAGAACGGACAGCAGCCAAAATAAAACAGTAAGTTGAGCTGCTGCCATTCTTAAAGGATCACTTTAGGGTCAGGAACACAAACATGTATTCCTGACCCTATAGTTTTAAAACCACCATCTAGCCCCCCTGGGCCCCTCATGCCTCCATAAATATAGCAAAATCTTACTGTACTCAAGCCTGTATATCTGCATGCTGTTTGCCTCAGAAAAACAAGCAGTCTGCTGAAATCATCAGAAGTGGTAGCCTGATCCAATCACAATGCTTCCCCATAGGATTGGCTGAGACTGACAAAGAGGCAGATCAGGGGCAGAACCAGCACAATTCAAACACAGCCCTGGCCAATCAGCATCTCCTCATAGAGATTAATTGAATCAATAAATCTCTATGAGGAAAGTTCAGTGTCTGCATGCAGAGGGAGGAGATACTGAATGTTTGGATGCATTTTAGGCAGCCATGACCCAGGAAGGATCTCTAACATCTGAGGAGTGGCCAGTGAAGTTTTCACTATGCTGTAATGTTAACACTGCATTTTCTCTGAAAAGACAGTGTTTACAGCAAAAAGCCTGAAGGTAATGATTCTACTCACCAGAACAAATTCAATAAGCTCTAGTTGTTCTGGTGACTATAGTATCCCTTTAATCATTTTCTATTTTTGTGCAGCCATCCCAGCAGTTGGCGGTGAAGGCAACAGATGATAAATGCCCCAAACCAGCTCATCCTGGCTCTGACAACAAGAAGCCACAGAGTGCCTACGGTCTAAGGCTCCTGCCTGTGGCATCGCTTCAAAGCCTGGTACCGGAACACTTTCTCCTCCACCAAACCAAGATGGAGGCTGAGCTTCTGCAATCAACATTTGGACATAAGCAAGAGCAGAAAATGTAAGTCCAAACCAGCACCCCTAAATACAGAAATACGGTCTTCCGTTCTATTGCCCCAATAGATTTACTACAAAAAAACAACATAGTGTTCCCAATTGGTCAACAACAAGCGAAAAAAACAGATTTAAAAAAAAATAAACTAACTTCTTAATCAATATTCTATCTTTAATTTTTTTTTCCAGACATGAGTGCCCACCAACGTCTGATAAGGAAAAATCTCTGTGTCGCAGAAAAACATTACAGCCATTAAAAGGTAAGTAAAAGACTCTAAGAGCTCCTGCAATACAGAGCACAAACAAGCTACCACATATCGACCCTTTAACGCTAGCAACTCATGGTCCCCGGGGATCCACTCACGATATCATGAGTAACAGAACGGTACCGGTCCGGCACCAATGCGTTGCGGAACGACCCATACCAACCATGCGGCCTACAATGGAGCGGAGCCTGAGGTCTGGGGGAGGCGGCCGATCTCCCGGCATGGGACCCGCTCACATGCGTGAACTCAGCACAACCCTGCTACACCCCTCTGGACCGGCAGGGGATATCCCGGTCCTCGCTGGGGACGATCACCCCCACACCAACATCTGACCAAGCGACTAAACCCAAAGCAATACGGACATATCCAGGCCCACACAAGATGGCGGCACTGACATGGGATGCACGACCCGCCTGCACCTCAGCGGCCCCAACTGCTACCACCCGGCAGGGTGCAACCCCTCGTTTGGACACTGACAATACCGGCCGCGCCGCAGATTGGGAGGCAGGATGCCGAAAAGGGACACGGGCGGAGTGCCCCTCCGTGGCCCATGGGGGAGAGGACATCAACCCACAAGCACACCAAGCAGAACCTACCTGCATGCAACTCACCAAACCCAAGCCCGTCTGACCGGCGCGGCACGAAGCACCAGCTCCAGGATCACGCTGCACACCAAGAGGCCGCACAAGAGACAACCTCGCCGACAACCGCAAGAGCTGGAATCGGGCCCAGGATCTCCGCCGACGGGGCCGGCTGCGCCGGCAATCGAGACATTCCCACACTGGGCATCGGCTGAAATGCCTTGCACCCTGCCCCACAGCTGACAGATCTTGAACTGATCCGTGTGGGCACACTCCTCGGCTGTCCCAGCTGCTGCCGGCATACCCTGATACCTTGTTGGGTTGGTAACCCTTGCATCACTGAACTCTCTTGTATCTGGCATGGGGAGACTTTTGCCAATGTTATAGTGTATTAGTTGGTACATGTTCACTGTAATCTACGTTTAGTTTAACTCTCACTGCTTGTTTTATGCCCTGCTCGGATGACTCACACATGGGCGCGATCACCCAGAGACAGGGATATACACGATAGCCTGCTAAAACTATAGTGAGCCTGTTCTAAGTATCCCTACCCACCACACTTAATGAGTTACCTCGGTCACCCTAAGCAGGTCTCCTTCATTGACCCAAGACCGTAAATATATGGGATCATTGTGGTCTGCCTCCCTAGCGACCCTCATTAAAGAACCTAATGACATCCTTTACGTTATGCAACCACCCCACCTGCATTAGCACAGATTCAGAATACCATATCTGTATTCCACCTAGTACCTCACTGTAATCGTTAAGCGCTGCAGGAAACACCTTTGGGGCAAGCGACACTAAGCTAAATTGATGCAAATGTTTATACTTACCTTACATATGTTTGAATGATCAGAAACTTTAGCATAAAATCATATCTCTTCTCTTGACATAACGTTTCAGTTTTCGCCTGTCTTTAATATAAAAATGTGCTGTTTAGTTGTATGCCATACCAAATTCATTGCTACTACCCAGCTTGCTATTGCTGTTGTGACATCGCAAGAAAATGTTCACCGTCTTTTCATGCACGAGAAAAATAAAGAATAATAAAAAAAAAAAAAAGGTAAGTAAAAGAGGCCACCAAATTAAGGACAATAAATCTGTTCTCCGCACTGTACACCAATCTTGATACTTGTTAGAACCCTCGCATATCATCACTCTACTGCAAGCATATCAAATGATCTTGGCAGAAGAATTGGAACGGAGAATTAATCCAAATATGGATTTGTTTTTGGCAGATCCCACGCTGAGGTTTAGACACCAAAACCTGAGAGTCAGTGCATGGGATATTACCGGTGCCTTGAAATCTGGAGAAAGAAGGCGACATAGTTTTTCTGGCAGATCTTCTCAGACATCTTCTGAAGAAGAAAAAATTCAACCAGTGACTATAAGCTTCCTGTGCAAAGATAGGCTCTTCTCAAAGCCAGGTGGTAAGACCTATAACAACACGAATATTGTTCTAACGGAGGAAGTAGATGATTCAAAATGGATTTACAGGAGTATTATATGTATGCTCAGACAGGTAATACTGTATCAATCTTACAGTGAATAAAACTATTCTGGAAACAAGCAATATCAGATGTTGTAGACAAACATTGCTTCTATCTCCTGTAGTGTCTCAAGCGAGACAGAATGTAAAATGGCCAGGATAAACATTCTCACCACTACACCATGAAATGTCTTGTTACATTGTAATAAAATATAACCAAAATAAAATCACCATCAGAAGCCAATAACTGAGTCCCACTAGGTGTCCGTGAGATATATTTAAAACTCTTTACCTGCATTTCTTTAAAGGAGCCTTGGATTTTCACCATCAGTCTGTGCCCCAGTTTCACTCAGAGCTGTCTCGAATTCGGAGCTTCCAGCAGATGGAAAGGAAGGCACGGAAACCTTTTAAAGGACACAGGTGGGTGAAGGCTTGCAGGAGGAGGACAATGTCCTAATGTGCTAGAGAAACATAGCATGGTCAGTTCTCATTTAGAACGAAGCCAGTCAGGCACCATCTTCCCTCAGCATCATGGGTGTGCACAGCTGTACATGTAGTGTTTGTTTCTGGTTATGTATGCATTTGCATTTACTACATACAAAATATTTTTATCTGCATCACAAGTTTCGGAATGCTAACTTTATAAAGTAAAATGCATGTTTTCTGTGAACTGAAATATAACCCCTGTGTTATGATATGTTACAGGATTGGAGGCTCTCTGCCTGAACCTTTTCATAGGGACATTGTGGCTTTAGTTGGCGAATCTGGGATCACATTTCGTCTGCCACTTGAGCTCAACAATTCTCTTACTCAACAGAAAGTCAAACAGCACCTCTGACAGGGGGCGAAAAATCTTGAAAGAAGGATTGCTGTGGAGTTTGATTATAAGACGAAAAGACGGGGTCAAAAAATCTCAAAAGAAGGATTTTAGTCCAAAAGACTGGCATAAACCATTTTCACAAAGAGGATCCAACACTGTGTTTACTGTAGTTCTCCTTACAGTGGTGCACAATAAGCACCGCTCCAAAGCATTGCACAACCTCATTACAATATTAAACTAAGAGAATTAGACAATGATCTTCTGAAAGGTCATCGGACTTGGGAGGTCAGAATGGAACAAAGACAAAACTGTAAGGCATTGCCAACTGCTCAAACGTATTATTAAATCAACAATACCATGGAGCTGGGTAAAATAGTGTTCTTAACCACAAGATGCCATTTACAACCTCAACAACCTCCTATGTATACCACCTGTTGATGGACACAAATCACAGGTCTTCACTGATAATTTGTTCTGCAGTAACACATAGCCATCTGTTCTCGGAGACCTGAGATGAAAGTATGGAACAAAAGACTTTGAGAAATAAAAAGCACTTGGAGAATGAATTTAATTGGAGGAGGTAGTTTCACAGAGATTAATTACAGGGTCTTTGCTTAAAATCAAAAGAAAAAAAAAGGCCTTTCTACCTAGAACAACGATATTAGCTCTGTTTGGCAAGCCAGGTGTAAGTTTACAAATATCTGGCTCGCCAAAAGACAGCTTTTATCATTGGCCCAGCTTTGTGGAAATGTAGGTCACAGACATCTGCAAAGGCAGGGGTCGCCTCCATAGTACTATAATTACATGAAAAAAGCAGTGGGAAAAATTAATCTCTAAACTGTGACTACAGCAGACAGAAGGGTTTTTTTTTTTTTTTCCAAATCTAACGTTTTACCTAAATTTTGCCATTTTTAATTTCAATTCACTGCAATTTGGATATTGGTGAATACTTTTTAAGAATGTTTTTATACACTGTTTTTCTATGAAATGTTTAGAGATAGCATAACACATTCCAGATAAAGTCGTATGAATGTATATAATTATGTGCAAAACAAATAAGTGTCAATAAATGTCCCTGCTATCAGGCTGCAAAAGCAGTTCGAGAAATATTTTAGTGTAAAAAAAGGAGATAGTCACCCACCCCTGACATCACCAATGGACTATAAAACGCAGCAGCAGCTCCAGAATAATTTGATTGTTTGCGGGTTGATCAAAACAAATTTGGAATGTGAGCATACGTGTCTGAACCCTGTCAGTAATTATCTGCGTTACTGCTTTTTAAATAAACACATTGCCCACAGCTTGTCATATTTTTGTGAGAGTCCATTGATACACCATCTTGAACCTGAAAGTATATATTCTCTAAAACTCTAACGTGTGCGGATCCAGTGCAGTTTCTTTACTTATTACTTTAATCTCAGAGTGAAGCAGAATTACCAGAGTTTTGTAAGCAATCACACAACTTTGCTATGGCTAAAAAAAAACCTCGAACATGATGCAATACTCCATACATATATTAAGAGCGCTGAGATAAGGATCCCATGATATAGTGACAACATTAATACACCCTTTGTTGGTGCAACAAGTGTGAACACCCCATTTCTGGGTCTCAAAGATGGCTCTGTCGTTTTTTTTGTATCCCCACCTATTATTAAAGGCATGTTCCAGGCATCCACACGCATTGGGTGTAAATGAATACTGCAAGCACCACAAATACCCAGCCTGTAGTTGTTATGGTGCCAGGAGTGTCATGGCACCCTCCCAGGGTAAGTACAGTTCGCCGCTTTCCCTGGATTCAGAAGCTCCTACAAGGAGTTTTTTGTTAGCTCCACTGAGCTAAGCTCTGCCATGCAAGTCCGGCTCACTGCTAACACAGATGGTGAGCGCTTCCCTGCACCGTTGGGCTTAGTTCAGTGCATGACATTCCAGTTTTAAAGAAGGCGACGATGGGGACCAGATGTACCCCAGTTAGGGTGTCAAACCACTCTCAAACAGTTTGATTACTTACCCTGGGAGGCCACCAGGGCACTTCTGGCACTATAACCACTACAGCCGGCCACTTGGAACTCCAGACCCTACGCATTTTAGGTTCCTTTAACTTTTACAGCCAATGTTTATTGTTGCTTGGGGTGCCTATTTAGAGAATATGTGTTAAAAATATATCAAAGGTTTCCGCCTTCAAAAGTAATTTGAAAGACGCACTGCAGAATCCAGTAGCCTATTCTCTAAAGCACAGTCGTTATAATGCAGGGTCTGTGCTGTTATTGGTAGCTGCATACAGAGGAGCCATAGAATACCAGTGATACCAGGCTGTATGGAATAACATGGCCATTATTCAAAGTATAAACAGACCTGATTCCACCCTCAGCACTATATAATAATCACCTCATCCACCCTGAGCTCTCCAAATTGGAAACATGTGATAATACCCCAACAATAAACACTGTATAATAATCACCTCATCCACCCTGAGCTCTCCAAATTGGAAACATGTGATAATACCCCAACAATAAACACTGTATAATAATCACCTCATCCACCCTGAGCACTCCAAATTGGAAACATGTGATAATATCCAAACAATAAACACTGTATAATAATCACCTCATCCACCCTGAGCACTCCAAATTGGAAACATGTGATAATATCCAAACAATAAACACTGTATAATAATCACCTCATCCACCCTGAGCTCTCCAAATTGGAAACATGTGATAATATCCAACAATAAACACTGTATAATAATCACCTCATCCACCCTGAGCTCTCCAAATTGGAAACATGTGATAATATCCAAACAATAAACACTGTATAATAATCACCTCATCCACCCTGAGCTCTCCAAATTGGAAACATGTGATAATATCCAAACAATAAACACTGTATAATAATCACCTCATCCACCCTGAGCTCTCACCTCAAAAATTGGAAACATGTGATAATATCCCAACAATAAACACTGTATAATAATCACCTCATCCACCCTGAGCTCTCCAAATTGGAAACATGTGATAATATCCCAACAATAAACACTGTATAATAATCACCTCATCCACCCTGAGCTCTCCAAATTGGAAACATGTGATAATATCCAAACAATAAACACTGTATAATAATCACCTCATCCACCCTGAGCTCTCCAAATTGGAAACATGTGATAATATCCAAACAATAAACACTGTATAATAATCACCTCATCCACCCTGAGCACTCCAAATTGGAAACATGTGATAATATCCAAACAATAAACACTGTATAATAATCACCTCATCCACCCTGAGCTCTCCAAATTGGAAACATGTGATAATATCCCAACAATAAACACTGTATAATAATCACCTCATCCACCCTGAGCTCTCCAAATTGGAAACATGTGATAATATCCCAACAATAAACACTGTATAATAATCACCTCATCCACCCTGAGCTCTCCAAATTGGAAACATGTGATAATATCCAAACAATAAACACTGTATAATAATCACCTCATCCACCCTGAGCTCTCCAAATTGGAAACATGTGATAATATCCAAACAATAAACACTGGTATATGGAGCTCTCCAAATTGGAAACATGTGATAATATCCAAACAATAAACACTGTATAATAATCACTGAGCTAAATTGGAAACATATGTATAATAATCACCTCATCCACCCTGAGCTCTCCAAATTGGAAACATGTGATAATATCCAAACAATAAACACTGTATAATAATCACCTCATCCACCCTGAGCTCTCCAAATTGGAAACATGTGATAATATCCAAACAATAAACACTGTATAATAATCACCTCATCCACCCTGAGCTCTCCAAATTGGAAACATGTGATAATATCCCAACAATAAACACTGTATAATAATCACCTCATCCACCCTGAGCTCTCCAAATTGGAAACATGTGATAATATCCAAACAATAAACACTGTATAATAATCACCTCATCCACCCTGAGCTCTCCAAATTGGAAACATGTGATAATATCCCAACAATAAACACTGTATAATAATCACCTCATCCACCCTGAGCTCTCCAAATTGGAAACATGTGATAATATCCAAACAATAAACACTGTGTAATAATCACCTCATCCACCTGAGCACTCCAAATTGGAAACATGTGATAATATCCAAACAATAAACACTGTGTAATAATCACCTCATCCACCCTGAGCTCTCCAAATTGGAAACATGTGATAATACCCCAATAAACACTGTATAATAATCACCTCATCCACCCTGAGCTCTCCAAATTGGAAACATGTGATAATATCCAAACAATAAACACTGTATAATAATCACCTCATCCACCCTGAGCACTCCAAATTGGAAACATGTGATAATATCCAAACAATAAACACTGTATAATAATCACCTCATCCACCCTGAGCTCTCCAAATTGGAAACATGTGATAATATCCCAACAATAAACACTGTATAATAATCACCTCATCCACCCTGAGCTCTGCAAATTGGAAACATGTGATAATATCCAAACATAAACACTAAACACTGTATAATAATCACCTCATCCACCCTGAGCTCTCCAAATTGGAAACATGTGATAATATCCAAACAATAAACACTGTATAATAATCACCTCATCCACCCTGAGCTCTCCAAATTGGAAACATGTGATAATATCCCAACAATAAACACTGTATAATAATCACCTCATCCACCCTGAGCTCTCCAAATTGGAAACATGTGATAATATCCAAACAATAAACACTGTATAATAATCACCTCATCCACCCTGAGCACTCCAAATTGGAAACATGTGATAATATCCAAACAATAAACACTGTATAATAATCACCTCATCCACCCTGAGCTCTCCAAATTGGAAACATGTGATAATACCCCAACAATAAACACTGTATAATAATCACCTCATCCACCCTGAGCTCTCCAAATTGGAAACATGTGATAATATCCAAACAATAAACACTGTATAATAATCACCTCATCCACCCTGAGCTCTCCAAATTGGAAACATGTGATAATATCCCAACAATAAACACTGTATAATAATCACCTCATCCACCCTGAGCTCTCCAAATTGGAAACATGTGATAATATCCAAACAATAAACACTGTATAATAATCACCTCATCCACCCTGAGCACTCCAAATTGGAAACATGTGATAATATCCAAACAATAAACACTGTATAATAATCACCTCATCCACCCTGAGCTCTCCAAATTGGAAACATGTGATAATACCCCAACAATAAACACTGTATAATAATCACCTCATCCACCCTGAGCTCTCCAAATTGGAAACATGTGATAATACCCCAACAATAAACACTGTATAATAATCACCTCATCCACCCTGAGCTCTCCAAATTGGAAACATGTGATAATATCCAAACAATAAACACTGTGTAATAATCACCTCATCCACCCTGAGCACTCCAAATTGGAAACATGTGATAATATCCAAACAATAAACACTGTGTAATAATCACCTCATCCACCCTGAGCTCTCCAAATTGGAAACATGTGATAATACCCCAACAATAAACACTGTATAATAATCACCTCATCCACCCTGAGCTCTCCAAATTGGAAACATGTGATAATATCCAAACAATAAACACTGTATAATAATCACCTCATCCACCCTGGCCCCCATCTTCTCTCAGGTGGGGCCCCTCACTGTATGTCAAGCCTGCCCCCTGCTGGGCTCTGGGTGACATGGACATGGACCGGTATCTGAGAGTAGCAATATGGCGGCCAAGGGGACCTGACTGAGAGTAGCAATATGGCGGCCAAGAGGAAGTGGCTGTGAGTAGCAACATGGCGGCTGAGGGCAATCTCTGCTCAAATCAATATACAATCTATATTGTTGTGAGTAGCAATGTGGCGGGTGCAGCGAGCAGGGAGAATGTAACATGTTATGGTAGAGATGTTTTGGGAGGAGTAATATGGCGGCGCCCATTCTAACTCTAGACAGGCGCCATGTTGGAGCCCTCAGTCTGGAGTCACGTGATAACCCGGAAGCAGTCGGTGGGGAGGTCAGGGCAGTCAGTGTGTGGATCACTCTGTGTTGGAGGAGCTGGCAGTCACAGTAGGTAGGCTGTCTGTCTGTCTTGCTAATATAAAGTAATAATAATAATAATAAACAGACTGGAGCTCTGAATGTGGGTTTATTGGCAGCTTTGGGAACAATATAAACACAGCATGTAGCACAGTGTGGGGTATCCAGGGGCTGTAAGGGTGGATAATACATAGATTGGATATTAAAATAAAATAATAGAAACACTGAATGTCCTAACTGCAGTGTGAGCCCCAAATAGTGCTAACCCTGTGAGTGAGAATTATACAGGGTACCAATGGTACCAATGCCAAATATCAGAATAATGTCCACATTAAGGCACACCGGTATATAGAACTGACTGCTGAGTGTAAAGCTACAATGTAGGAGGTGGTAGGACTGTTGAATATATATATATAAAAAAAAAAACAACAGTTTATTATTGCAAAGGATAAAAATTAAGATAGCAGCACAGTTCACTAACTAGTCTCTAGAATTTTGAATAAGCAAGGCAACCTTTAAACCAGACTGTGGTGGATGAGGATGATAGTAGTGGATCTGTTCTCTGTATTCCGACCGCCAGTGAGGACGGCGTGCGTGTTACAGCAACCAGTTCTGTATACTGTTAGCCTTAACATATGTGGACATTATTCTGATATTTTATTCTTATGAAAGTATAGCATTTGGCATTGGTACCATGTACCCTGTATAATTCTCACTAACCGGGTTAGGGGCACCTACACCATACATTTTCACTTTGCACTAATTTGGGCTCACACTGCAGTTAGGACATTTAGTGTTTCTATTATCCTATTTTAATATAAAATATATTTATTATCCATCCTTTTTCCTGGATACTCTACACTATACTATTTGGTGTATTTTATATTGTATGTATTGTTAACACTATAGTGTTCCTTTAATATACATTAAAAAGGAGAATTTTCTTTTGGATGAACATTGCGTCAAGATTTTTGAAAGCTTCAGTTTGATGGACTTTCTGCAACGTGTGCTACTGTGTAATATTTCATCAGAAAGACCAACACACAGGCATCGTTACACCTTTCCAGATATCACACTAATGACACCTTAACACATACAGATAATATATTCTAATATGCCACTCATCTGACATTCTAGTTATCGTGTTTTATCATATGCTTACACAAAACAAGAGAGTGCAAAAGTTAAAACTGCCATGCCTGTGTTATTACTATTGCCATTTATATAGCACCAACAGATTCCATAGCGCTTTACAATATTATGAGAGGGGGGATTTAACTATAAATAGGACAATTACAAGAAAACTTACAGGAACAATAGGTTGAAGAGGGCCTTGCTCAAGCAAGCTTACGTTCTAATGGAGGTGGGGTGTAAAGCACATTAGGACTGGAAATATCAATCAGATAAGGTGGGAGTGAGGCAGAGCTGGAGGAGAGAGTAGAGTGCTGCCCTTTAGGGGAGAGCAAGGGACAGGTATGTAAGGTAAAGGTTACTCCCTTATGTTCTGAATGGCACTGTACACATCCGTGTACTCACTTGCATGCCCAATATAAAGATTGACAAAACAAAATAACTTGATGCATAGCATCTTTGTACACACTAATAACAAATGTAAAAAATGTAATCACTTTTCTAACCGTTTTCAAATAATTCTCCAGTTATCTTTTGTTAACTTTATTTCTTCTTTTTTTTTTTCTGTGCAGATCAGTATTGGTTACTAATTGAGTGGGTTGAAGCATGAATTGATTTGGAATAGTCATGGCTCGTTCTGCGTATTCAGTTTATCGGAGATTAAATGGTCTTTTCACTGTGTACAAACCCCCCAAAGTTAGCTGGAAGCTGGTCCGTGACATAGTGGAGACAAACCTACTAAAAGGTACGGAGAATGTACGACATCTTGCCTGAAATTGTAATGAGCCAGGTATTGGATTGTTAGTGGAGAGGTCAAGGGTGAGCCACAAATAGTTAAAGGGACACTATAGTCACCTGAACAACTTTAGCTTAATGAAGCAGTTTTGGTGTATAGAACATGCCCCCGCATCCTCACTGCTCAATCCTCTGCCATTTAGGAGTTAAATCCCTTTGTTTATGAACCCTAGTCACACCTCCCTGCATGTGACTTGCACAGCCTTCCATAAACACTTCCTGTAAAGAGAGCCCTATTTAGGCTTTCTTTATTGCAAGTTCTGTTTAATTAAGATTTTCTTATCCCCTGCTATGTTAATAGCTTGCTAGACCCTGCAAGAGCCTCCTGTATGTGATTAAAGTTCAATTTAGAGATTGAGATACAATTATTTAAGGTAAATTACATCTGTTTTTTTTCATGCAGGCTCTGTCAATCAAATCCAGGGGAGGTGTGGCTAGGGCTGCATAAACAGAAACAAAGTGATTTAACTCCTAAATGACAGTGAATTGAGTAGTGAAATTGCAGGGGAATGATCTATGCACTAAAACTGCTTTATTTAGCTAAAGTAATTTAGGTGACTATAGTGTTCCTTTAAAGTGCTCAGACCACTGCTTTCAAAAACATGTTTTTTAAAAAGACCACTGGGGAAATTGATATTTGCATACATATGTAGCTCCCAAAATTCTTCCCCACCACATTTTATTTGTGTTATTTAGACCTGAACTCCCTAGAACAGCGTGCACCTCGTCACCAAGTCCGATTTCTGCCTGCTGCTACAGAAGGTACCAATGGGGTACAGATAACCAGGGTTGCTACTGCCGTGCCCGTTTTGGCAGATCATGCACTGGGTAAGTGCCATGCAATGAATGTTTGCGTACATACTTTGAACTGTTGCGCTTACAGATATTTTTTGAAGCAATCATTGCAAACAGTCATTAATTTAGAATATGTTCGGTGGCTTACGATTCTATTTTGTGTCATTGTTTTGCCAGTGAAAGGAGAATCTTGCTCTCATCTTAAAGTCGGAGCTGGGCACAGGCTGGATGTTAGGTCATCTGGGGTCTTTGGTGAGTTAATCGTTTAATAAAACCAAACCTTGCTAATATTTTTTTATGTTTCTTTATTGCAGGTATGATACATCATGCACACAAGCTTTTATCTGTAAATTGTATGTTGGTGTGTGAGGGATTATCTGCTTGCGTCAGGAAAATTGCATTATCTGTAGTGTTAATGGATTGCACGAAGGCATTATAGACTTCTGTGATCACAGAGAAATATTGGTATTATGTATATCTATAAAACTCAAACAAATCTGTGCAGTGAGTGAATTACAAGATACAAACTGACACAGTGAGAGCGAGCGAAATAATTAGATATGTAAAAGGAAATTATAATAATTTTTTTTTTCTTTCTTCTCTATTCCAGTGTTGGGTGTTGGCCAAGGGAACCAGCTTTTAACAGATATGTACAGCAGCCATTGTACCAGGGTATGAAGCTATCTAAAACTGGGGTTCCTTTCTCATTTTAAATTGTGTGTATGTCAGGACAGGGTGTAAGGCAGGACTGATATTTTTTTTTTTTTTTTGACAATTTTTATTGTTTTCAACATATCATCAAGTGATAAGATTAGGAGGGGTACAGAAAGAAGAAAAGGGGAGGGGGGGGTGTCATCCAATATTTCTGAACCACACAAGTACATACAAGGTAGACATTAATCATCCCTTTGTACACTCTCCCCTATACCTACATGTTACTCTTCTTGGTTCTCTTCTGGTTGACCCTGGTATGCTTGGTCTGACCTCTATCTACCCTCACTGCACCCTTGTATGTTCCATTCCTATTTGCAGTGTGTCTGTCTCCCAGGCTTCCCAAGCCCCCTTATTTGTTACGGTAGGGAGGCATATGTTGGTGAAACGTTGTTCATATATTCTTTGGTTGTCTAGTTCTGAGAGAACCATCTCTATTGCTGGGGTTAGGCTAGTTTTTCAGTTTATTGCTACCACTCATTGTGCTGTAAGCAGCAGGTGATATGTGATTTTTCGAATGTGTGGCAGTGTTTCCGAAGGGGTAGAGAATAGCAAGTATGTGCGAGGGTCGTATTTTAGTTCTACGTGTGTAATTTCTAACAGTATTTTCCGCGTGTCTTCCCAGAACGGTTGAATCAGCGGGCATTGCCACCATGTGTGCAGTACAGTACCTACGTGAGAGGCACATCTCCAGCATTGTGGGGAGCTAATTGGGTAAAGTTTGTGCAGCCTCGCGGGCACTAAGTGCTATCTATATATCATTTTCGTATGTTGCTCTAGGAGAGTGGCCGATTTAAGTTTTTTTGGAGAGACGATGTCATTCCATGTTTGTTGGGAGATCACTTCTTTGAGGTCTAGTGCCCACTGTTTCGCAGGTGTGGTGTCAGGGAGTGGGGAGTATTCTAGGAGTAGTCTGTAACACATGGAGAGCGGCCTGCACGATTTATTTAGGCGCTTGTCCAGGCATATCTGTTCCCACAGTGTGGGGTTCTGTGTCTCTACTTCATGTGGTGTGGGGTCATGGGGTTCGTATTTGCGTAGGAAGGATTGGAGTTGTCTATGAACTGAGTGCAGCGTGGCGAAATCTGTTAGCTTAGTTCCCGTGTAGAAGTGGGTTAAGTTATGTAGGCCCTTTTCGTGCCATGGTGTAACATTGAACGTTGGGATACAATATGTTAAGGCTCACGTGGGCATGGCTTTAGATATTTGAGGGTTGGTGCTCAGTTTGGCTCTATGTGCATCCCATGTTTGCAGTAGTAATGACAGTTGGTTCGGCATGTCTGGTATTGCTGGCTGAAGTGTTGTGGGTATCCACAGAATATGTGAGATTTCGTATGGTTCTAGCAACCATGCCTCTAAGTTATCCATTGTGGCGGGGGTTGGTCTATAAGGTGTGGCAGTGCGGATGCTAGTATTGCTGCTTGGTAGTAGGAGCGAACGTCTGGGACTGCTAATCCTCCCTCCCTCAGTGGTGCTTTGAGGAGTTTCAGCGCCACCCTGGGTCTCCCATTCCCTCAAACGTATTCATGTCTTTCTGGATTGCTTTGAAATAGGATTGGGGGAGTTTTAGTGAGAGGGTCCGAAAGACATATTGCAACCGTGGAAGCACTGACATCTTCAGTGCCACTATTCTTTTGGTCCATGTAAGGAAGAGGGCCCCCCATGTCTTTAAGATTACTTTACAGTCATTCCAGACCCTGATATAGTTCCTAGTTGGGAGGTCTGAGGGTTTCCTGTTAAAGAGGAGTCCCAAATACTTTATATAGTCTGACCTCCACTCAAATGGATATGTCTTGCTCAGGGTCAACATCTGGGAGGCATGGAGTCCTATCCCCATTGCTTGAGTTTTCAATGCGTTTAACAAATAATACGATAGCTGGCCATAGTGTTTGATAGTCTGCATAAGGTTAGGGAGGGACTCAACAGGTTTCGTGATATATAGTAGTATATCGTCTGCGAAAGCACTGATTTTATATTCTGTATCTTTCACAGTAATGCCATGTATGAGAGGGTGCGCTCTGATGTTGCGTAGAAGGGGTTCTAGGCTCAGGACGTACAGTCGGGGTGATAGGGGGCATCCCTGTCTCGTCCCGTTGGTGATGCTAAAGGGGAGCGATTTAAATCCAGCTTGGAGGACCTGTGCTGATGGGGTAGAGTACAGTGCGAATGCCTGTTGCACGACTGGTGGGGGGAACCCATATGCCCGCAGTGTGCGTTCTAGGAAAGGCCAGCTGAGACGATCGAATGCCTTTTCGGCGTCTAGCGCAAGGAGCAGCCCATTGACCTTGTCCTTTCTGAGGCTCTCTAATAGCAGCGTCAGTTTGCGGGTGTTATCTAGCCCTTGCCTGCCTTTCACAAATCCTGTTTGGTTGTCGCCTATGAGTGTGGGCAAGAGATCGCTGAGTCTATTCACTAGGACTTTTGCTTATATCTTTGCATCCGTGTTTAATAACGATATGGGTCGGTAATTTTTGCATTGGTCTGGTGCTTTATCCGGTTTGGGCAAGGTTACTATGGTGGCCAGCAACATTTCATGTGGTAGTTAACCTGATTCGGAGGCTGAGTGATGCACCTTCAGGAGGTGCGGGACGAGTTCCTGAGCATATAGCTTGTAATAGGTGTTAGAGAGACCATCTGCTCCCGGTGCTTTACCCCTTGGTAATCCCGTTATCACGTTCAGCACTTCCTGTATTGTGATCGGTTTTAGCAGTTCGGCTGCTTGTGTCGGGTCTATTTGAGGGAGGTTAGCCTTTTGTAGGTAATTATCTATTTCGAGGCAGGACTGATTTTTATTACTGTGGTTGTGTGGTCCTGTTACATTCACTAACCCATTGTACAATACATCGTGTTTCACTGCTGCAAGGTCTGTACATTTCAGTGTAATTAAAATTATTTATATAACAAGAATATTGCTGTATGTGGTGCTAACTTCTTCACTGGATTAACAATGCATATTCGTATATCTATTCTCTCTTTTTTATACCGAGTCCATATTTCTGGGCTTATAGATACATTTGCTCTGTTTTCCCTTGTTTAGCAGCATGTTCCTCAGAGTAGGAACGGAATAAGGGCAATAGTTGCAGAGTCCATGATGTATTAAGGTTTTTGCCATTTATTTACATGAGTCTGACTGTGTATAGCAAAGTGATAGAATAATTGGCACATCACACAATATCGAAATCTATAGCCAGAGATACACTGATCAGCCACAATATTAAACCCACTGCCTGGTGAAGTGAATAACATTGATTATATTGTTACAATGGCCCCTGTCAAGGGGTGGGGGATATTAAGCAGCAAGTGAACAGTCAGTTCTTGAATTTCATGTGTTGAAAGCAGGAGAAATTGGCAAGTGAAAAGATCTGAGTGACTTTGGCAAGGGCGAAATAGAAATGCCTAGCCCACTGGGACAGAGCATTTCCACAATGGCAATGGTGTTCCCTGATGCCAGTAGCCTCCGAATTCCCCAAATCTCAATTATATTTAGCATCTGTGGGATGTGCTAGATCAGGGGTAGGCAACCTATGGCACTAGTGCCATGCACAGCACTCGAGGTGTCTTTGCACGGCACTCGAGGCTGCTAGAGCCAAACAGGCTCTGGCCTATCAGGAGTTCCAGTAAAACTTCAGATATCTGCTAATCCGAAAAGGTGGTGAAGTACAATCCTCAATTGCAGCACGTAGAGGAAGTAATCTCAGATCACTTCCTCCCAGCACTTGTGAATAGAAATCCACACTGTAGCAGAGCAGCCTGCAGCTGCTGTTGCAGCTCCTGTCCTTGACATGTACCTGGCCAGCCTGGTCCCCACTGGAACCCAGGGAAGCCACCCACACTGCTAGATATACAGAGAAATGCAGAATAACCCTCCCCTCATACAAATAATACGGACAGCCCACACACAAACATACAGGCAATCCACACAAACAAAACACTATTAACAATCCACATACATGCAATACCCCAAACAGCCACCACACACTACCAAACACACACTGTGACATATCCATCCACACACAATTCCACAAACAGCCACCATACACAGCCCGCATTCATATGTATCACACACAATACCATAAACTACTCATGAACATAAACAATATATTAGCTCATATACGCAGGGCCGTCTTTAACGCGGGGCAAACTGGGCAGCTGCACCGTGAGCCCTGCTGGCCTCAACTATTTCTAACCCTCTGGCCGGTAATCTGCACACTAAGGAGGCCCACTGGGTGGCCCATACACAAAGGACCACCCGGTGGGCTTCTGTCAGCAGGTCAGCGGCTTTAACAGCGCTAGTGGGCCCCTTGCTTTTCGGCAGCAGGCTGGGAGGAAGTTCCTCCCACGCGGGAAAGAAGAGTAGGCAGATTGGAGGGGGGCTGGCCGAGAGTGCTAGACCCCCAACTCCCAACACCTTCAGCCACCAGCAGGAAAGGTAGGAAACTGCAGGATGGGCTTTAAAGTGTATGTCTGTGTCAATATGTCTGTCAGTGTGTGTGTGTCAGTATGTTAGTGTGTCAGTATGTGTGTGTGTCATATCGGTGTGTCTGTGTGTCTGTGTCCGCATGTCTGTGTGTCAGTATGTCTGTGTGTGTATCTGTGTGCGCGTGCGCATTTTAGTGTGTGTATGTATATGTATATGTATATATATATATATATATATATATATATATCTGTGTGTGTGTATATGTGCATACATCTCGGCATTCACACACTAACACTACACACAAATACACCCCTGCATTCAAATTTCAATGCTACGTACAAACACATGTCTGTGTTACACACCAAAATTATATGTAAATACACCCCTGCATTCAAAAACCAACACTACACAAATACATGCTTGCAATCACGCCAACACCACATACAAACATATTCCATACAAAAACCTGTTTACCTTCAAACACACAAAAACTGCTTAGTGCTAAATACAGACCTGTAAACATGGGTAAATGGTAGAGCCCCAGCTGTCAATGCATTTCTGGAGTTGCCCGACAGATGGGGATCTACCTTTTAATCACCCGTGCAACAGGGAGACCCCCAAAGATTCTTGCACCTCTCTACTTTGGGTCCGCCACTGCGTTGGCGTGGAAGACTTGATTGCATGCCTGGGGAGGGGGGACTGGATCCAGGGGGCCCCAAGCAAATGCTTTGCCCAGGGTCCAGTCACTATTAAAGACGGCCCTGCATATACGCACAAATACGATACAAAGCAATTACAGTAAAAATAACACAAGCAGAATACAGCAGCATGCACACCTCTATTAAAAAAAAAAATAGGACCGACACGCTACGGCCATCACAATCCTATATCAGCACAGTGCTGCTAAAAGGTTGCCTACCCCTGTGCTAGAACAACAAATCCAATCCATGAAGGCCCTACCTCACAACCCGCAGGATTTAAAGGATCTGCTGCCAGATACCACAGAACACGTTCAGAAGTCTTGTGGAGTCCATGCATCGACAAATCAGAGCTGTAATGGCAGCATGAGGGGCACCTACCTGATATATGATATTAGGTGGGTTTTAATGTGGCTGATGTGGTGTACATGTAGCAATAGACAGAGAGATACAGACACAGAACATGACCTTTGTATCTTTATTTAAGTGTTTTGTTTAATGGTTTGTAATTTTTTAAATTTTATTTTTTACATTTGCAAAGGATTACACCGTTTCTGGTCTTTTTGGAAAAGCTACAGAAGATTTCTCAGACACTGGGAAGGTGATTGAGAAGACCACATACAGTAAGCGTTCTTCTCCCAGATCGTACAAACAAATGTCAAATCATAATCATTGCTGCAAACGTTGGCTGGCAGAATATGGTAGTTCAAGCTCTACCATATGGGGGAGCATCTAGCTGGGGTGCCCTGGCATACAGCCGCACGTTATTTAGTGATTCTAATCTGATCAGCTACCCATTAATTACAGCCAATTGACCAGCTGCATTCATGTCTATGTATTATTGCCTATTTTTTTCCATTTATTATTTTGAATTTAGCTCGGTGTAATTTTACATTCTTAGACCTGTTTCTCGATGTCTCGTAGGTCACATCACAAGAGACAAGTTTGAGCGGATTCTGGCTATGATCCAAGGAAGCAACCAAAAGGCCCTGCTCATGTATGTATTTAAAGAGAACACACCCGGTCACTAAGAAATATGGTGGGTGTGGGGTAAGATTTCTGTTCTAAAGATACAATACAGTCAGCTTAGTAGTCTAATCATTTTCTTTTCTTCCACGGCAATCCCGAGTTGTTACCAGTTTACGTTTACCTGTAATGTTAATTAAGGTTTGTACTGAGTAACATTCTGCAGCGTAGAATACGTTATATAACAGAAAATGTACAGAATGCGACAGATCAGAAACCTGTTTCTAAGTTGAGGACTAATTCAATGGGTAAAACCAGGAGAGCGATGTTTGGCTAGATTGGTAAAAACACATACAGAATATTGTTCCAATTAGTGGGTCATTAAAGAGATGATTTGTGAGCAAATAATGTACTTAACGTGGACAAGCTCCAAAATATTTTGTCTTCTAAATATTGACTTTAACCAGGATCTGGCACGTAATGAATCCATTATAACTTCGTATACAGTAATGATGCGTTCTCACTCTCAGGCATACTCACATGGATCTGAGGAGTCAGGAAGCCTACGAGCTAGCAGTGGAAGGCCGTCTGCGACCCATGGTGAAATCCCCTCCCATCATCCTCAGAATACGCTGTTTGGACCTCTCTCCACCACACTTCACATTAGGTATATTCTGTAATATCCTATCTTTCTGTAACAATGTTGGTCTAAAACTTGCAATTCTACACAAATATCCTGTTTGGTTACTAACTCTGCCTACGTTCCTTTCTTGTTCCTCTCTCTTTTTCGTATTACGTATTTTTTGCTCCCTGTATTCTCAGCAGATGAGATTTTGAGGTAATCTCACAGTAGAGAAAAACTTTGCAAAGTGCAGGATTTATTATCTTTGTAAAAGACATTTTAGATTTTGTTTATAGACAGTTTGTTGATTGCTATGTATTATATTTTTCCCAGTGTAGATTTTTTTTTTTCTACGATTAATAAATGAAATAAAGTGTGCTAGAGCAGTCATTTTTTGTTGCACAGATCAAAACTATTATTTATTTCCTTCCAACACAGAGATAGAATGTATGCACGAAACGCAGCAGTTTCTGCGTAAAATCGTTCACGAGATCGGCCTGGAGCTGCGTTCCTCTGCTGTATGCACTAAAGTGCGTCGCATCCGGGACGGACCTTTCACTGTCGATGGTGCTTTACTCCGAACACACTGGGATCTCCAGAGCATCTCCCAAGCCATAAGCGAGAACAGAGGTCAAGCTGCGGAACTGATGAAGACGACCATCTCAAATCTGGATCAGCAAAATCAGTATAGCGAGCCACAGACTACTGAGAGGGAGGAAGAGTTTCAGCAATAGACTTGTCCCAACTGACAATCCTCCCAATTCTTATATCTGCTCTACTATATGGACGCCCAGGTATAGTGTAGGATATCATCCTATGGCCCCAGGTGCCTCCATTCATTTATCTATACAGGAAAAGTCCTATAAAATCTGCAATCCGATTTCAAACTGTTTTCAAGGGCACCAAATCCCAACCTTCCCCTTTTGGTGATCATCCCACCAGGATCTTGTGCAATTTTTACAGCAATAAAAGTGTTAACTGGCATGGCCAAATTCCAGCTAAACATAAATGTACTGCACACTGACAGTAAAAAGGCTTAACCTTCCTCATATGACACCCCGGGCTAAGCGACCAGCTTTGCCACCTCGGAATCTTTTAGGTTTGTTTGTTTTACAAACCATAAAACCAGTTTGACAGGGACAGCACCATAACCACTTCAGTAAGCTGCCATGGTTAAACTAACTCGAGACAAGGACGCAAAATGCCAGAAATTTGCAATAATTTATTTTAAAATGATCTGGAATTTAAAATAATGCATTTATTAAATATTTCTTACATTCATTATAGCAATTTTATGTTTAACCCCTTAAGGACACATGACATGTGTGACATGTCATGATTCCCCTTTATTCCAGAAGTTTGGTCCTTAAGGGGTTAAAATAGGTTGTTTTTTTTTGTTTTGTTTTTTTAATATCCTATGTTTCAAATACATATTTATAATTCACTGAATATTCTCTCCCACTTCACAAAAAAACACACTTTTGGAAAAGTCTAGATTTAATAAAACATACTTTTTTTTGTAATATAAACAGTGGGGTTCTATTCGCTTGAAATTAGCACATTTTGCTGACCAGGTCCTTTGTGGCTTTTCTGCTATTTTGCTGAATATTAATGCAACCTTTTAATTAAGGATTAGAACCTAAAACAGGTCAGACTGCAAGTGATTGACAATCTTGGGGCGCTGTTCAAGCTAATTAAATTGTGTGAGATAGGTTGATGTGATCACGTTGCAGATGTGTACCACCGCAGCAAGTCTCTTTATTCCCACTTCCATTCTCCACGCTGGTGCTTGATGTAGAACACCTATTGGTATGAGTTCTGTTTAAGTTCCAGGAGCCAACAGGATTTGGTTCAGCCTTTGGTGGATGGAGGGGGCAGGATTCCAATCTCTTCTCGCAGGGTTTGCAAACTCTGCTCCCACCGTTTCTCATAGTAGAAGCTGAGAGTACAGTGAGCGTTGCGGCCACTTTGAACTGCCCAAGGAAGAAGCTCTATCAGGGCCTTCATTCTCCTAGAATCAGGGAGAAAAAAATCTGTGAGAGGCAGCTTATTGGGTGGAGTTGTATACTATAAACACAAGGTAGAGCTGCGTGTACAATATGTCTATTTTCCATAAAGTCTGGGAAATATCTGCAGCGATATTAAACACCGCACATCTTTTGTGAAACTCTGGCTCGAGCATTGAGTTTAATAAACTAGAACAGAGATAGGGAAAAACCTCAGCAGTTTGCCCTGGGGTTGGTCCCCACTCAGATCTCAAACAAGTTTTAACTTGCTTGTATTATTACACAAGGAACCTATATCATGAAAGCAGGTGTATCAAAAAGCTAAATAGCCAGATGTTGTAGAACTAAAACTCCTATGAGTTGGAGTTTTACAACATCTAGAGATCTTGCTTTTGGGCACCTCTGCATTAAAGGAACATTGGGCACCATAACAACTTTAATAGAGGTTTGGGATGTTAATGTTATCAACTATGTCTTTAGTTAAGATCAGGATTATTTATAGGAATTTAAGGTTCAGCAGACTCGTGCATCACTAAATCACCTACAGATTGCTTTGTAAATAGAGGGATGATGGCTACAGGTTTAACTTACTTGGTATTCAGACGGAGAGGCCCAAACACAGCTCCCAAGATGCACATAGGCAGGCCAGTCTGCACAGCTTCAAACCACTTTACTATGACCTCCCCTACAAGAGAGAATTCGGCGATCAGTATTGGGGTCTCTGATCACAGTACAGGTGCCTGCTGAGTTTGCACCCACCTAACATGTTTGTTGGCATTCCTAAAAGAGTGTGCATTAGATCATGGACTTCTCTGTATCGCTGTGCCACATACGCCAATTCTTCATCATCCACAAACTTAACAGGCATACGGGTGTCGGGGGTCACTTTCTGAGGGCCACAGAAAATAAATCTAACTGTTTAACAGTGAATAACAGTGCTTTTTTTATACACATATATATATATATATATATATTCAAATCTTTTGACATCTTAAAATTTCAATAGGTGCAGCAAATTTAACGCATTTAAGTAAATTTCACGATGTAAAACAGGCTACAGAATAGAGGAGTTTGGGGGATGAACTTACATTGACATCTAAGAACCGGACGTACTCCCTGCCAAAAGTTCCCTCCGGCAGCTCTCGGAGCCTCTCAATATCCAGCGTAGAAATCCGTATACGAGGGCGCTCTCTGAGGGTTAAGGAAGAAATAAATAAAAACCTCACTTCTTTGATACTATACAAGATTTTATCTGTAATGGGGTAGCTTAGAAAGCACTCGTCCTGCAAACTAAAATCTCGGTTTAGGACAACATTTAAACCTCTATCAAACAAACCAATAATGGTAACGCAGACTAGATGGGTCGAATGGTTCTTATCTGCCGTCACATTCTATGTAAATCCAAGCAACATGACAACTTAAAGGGACATTATAGTCACCTGAACAACTTTAGCTTAATGAAGCAGTTTTGGTGTATAGAAATGCCCCTGCAGCCTCACTGCTCAATCCTCTGCCATTTAGGAGTTAAATCCCTTTGTTTATGAACCCTAGTCACACCTCCCTGCATGGGACTTGCACAGCCTTCCATAAACACTTCCTGTAAAGAGAGCCCTATTTAGTTCTATTTAATTAAGATTTTCTTATCCCCTGCTATGTTAATAGCTTGCTAGACCCTGCAAAAACCTCCTGTATGTGATTAAAGTTCAATTTAGAGATTGAGATACAATTATTTAAGGTAAATTACATCTGTTTGAAAGTGAAACCAGTTTTTTTTTCATGCAGGCTCTTTCAATCATAGCCAGGGGAGGTGTGGCTAGGGCTGCATAAACAGAAACAAAGTGATTTAAAGGACCACTATAGTGCCAGGAAAACATACTCGTTTTCCTGGCACTATAGTGCCCTGAGGGACCCCCTCCCGCCCGGCTCTGGAAAGGGGAAAGGGGTAAAAACTTACCTTTTTCCAGCGCTGGGCGGGAGCTCTCTGCCTCCTCTCCTCCTCCGATCCGCCGCCCGGCTGAATGCGCGCGCGAAAGCAGGCTGCGCGCATTCAGCTCGTCATAGGAAAGCATTTACAATGCTTTCCTATGGACGCTTGCGTGCTCTCACTGTGAAAATCACAGTGAGAAGCACGCAGCTGTCAATGAGACAGCCACTAGAGGATTAGGGGGAAGGCTTAACCCATTCATAATTATAGCAGTTTCTCTGAAACTGCTATAATTATGAAAAATGGGTTAACCCTAGAAGGACCTGGCACCCAGACCACTTCATTAAGCTGAAGTGGTCTGGGTGCCTAGAGTGGTCCTTTAACTCCTAAATGACAGTGAATTGAGCAGTGAAATTGCAGGGGAATGATCTATACACTAAAACTGCTTTATTTAGCTAAAGTAATTTAGGTAACTATAGTGTCCCTTTAACTCTGTTTCAGCACTGAGGCCAAGTTCTCCCCTCAGCTCAATCATCCTACACTGATGTCATGCTGGAGGAGAACAGATGGAAGGGAAGACTAAGGTGAGGACATGGGTAGCACAGAAGGGGGGGAGTTATACTGCCATTGGACACCTGGCACCGGCATGACGTCCAAAATACACAGAAGTTCTATTCTACAGCTCGGAACTCTTTCATATCGAAATGCTGCACATACAGACTCCAGCCACCTCATATCACTGAAGAGGTCATGGCCCATGCAGTAACCCATCTAGCTGGTCAAATATATTCACCCCTATATTTCCTGGAAGTATAAAACCTCTTACTGTAAAATTTGGGCTCCTTCTGGATCTTGACTCATACGGTCTCTGAGATTTTTCAAAGCCTGCGAACCGGTTGTTTCCCCAAGAACTGCAATCATATCTAGAGAATTGGCACAGCAAAAAGGAGAAATAAATAAGGACTTTCAAACGCGGAAAACAACACAACGCTACAAAATATGAGGGCTATTCATTAAAGAGGCAAATATGGACCACTGGCAAAAGTAGTGGACTGTTTAAGCCACAAAAGCCAGATTTAAAGAATTCTCAATTGTCAAAATATTTTCCCCCCCCCAAAAAAAAAAATGCTAAAAACTTGGTTTAAATGTATCTGTTATATTCTACATAACTGCCCCCAGAATTAAGAGTGATAATATATGGTGTATATTAGTCCGCCATAACGTGTTATTTGACGTCTCCAGCAGTACCGGGATTTAAGGCAATGTTTATATCTTACCGTGTCTATATGGATCATAAAGTGACATTACGGCCGAGCCAGCAGATAGCAGCGCCTTCTGTAACAAGGTGGTGGGAATGTGGCCAGGGTACAGGCCATCCGTGACATCATCATGTGCAGCAGTGAATTTAATGTCGCCGTCCTCGTACTCTCCTGTAAAGTGACTAGCTGGCATCCTGGCCCCTACCAAGAAAACAGAATGAGGAGATAACAGGGTATCAGAATTTACAACAAGACGTCCTTGAACATCACTCATCTTAAAAAGGACAAGAGTGCCCAGGTGTTTACGTGCTCTGGAAGTTTACTCACTGAAATTATGTGACTTTAAAAATAAATTGCAAAATACAGACAAGATATCCAGCTGTGACTTTAGGAGAGTTGGAAAATTTAAAGTAGGGGAACTGCTCACGCACCATAACCAAAACACCCTTCACCCCACAGTAAGAGTAAAACTGCTTTAGAGCCATTTGACTTCTTACCTGCGTCCACTCCCTACTACTCCCTCTTAGGAGCTTCCATTAGCTCTACTAATTAGTTCATTGGCCAATTGTCAATGCATCGCCCTCAGCCAATGAAGTAAGCCATACATTGCAGAGTTTATCTCAGCTATGAGAGCTTCCAGAACTCTACATGAAGTAATAGAGGTGGGGAGCGGAGACCTAGGGACCCCTGGTAAGAAGTCAAACTGTTCTAAAATGGTTTGAATCCTGGCAGGGGGCACAAGGACCCTCCTGGCACCATAACCACTACTGCAAGCTGTAGTGTTTATGCTGCTTGAATTGTCCCTTTAACTACAATTCACTGTTCTGTGAATTATTATTATTATTTTATTATTTATATAGCGCCAACAAATTCCGTAGCGCTGTACAATGGGTGGACTAACAGACACATAATTGAGATCAGACCACTGACGTACAGGAACAGAGGGGGTTGAGGGCCCTGCTCGATGAGCTTACATGCTAGAGGGAATGAGCCCAATTGTGTTCCAATGTCTTTCTAAAGTGATCACCTGGTACAGAAGTCTTGAGAAGTGCTATTGATAACCCAATATAACCCCCAGACAGCATTGTACAATTCAATGTGTCCCCAAGGTCAGGACAATTAGCTGATAATTCCTGCACATCACTTGCCTGTGGATAAAGGTGCAATAAGTCTCAGGCCCCTCCATGCTGGTGACTGCAGCAGCCCCTTTAGTAGAAGTGCCATTGCCCCCTTTATAAAGTTTCAGGGAGCCCCTAGCAATGCCTTTGTAAACACTGAGTGTCAGTGCCAAGCCATGCCCTGCAGCCCACACTGGGAGCTCACTGTAACACCTACACAGGAAGGCAAGTCCTTAGAAAGACAACTGCAGGCTGTGTACGGAAGCCAACTAAGGCCAAACCCAGCCCTTTAAATCCACACCATCTAGTGGATACTTTGTATAATGCACATGATAGTGCAGACAGATAGTTGGCATGTCTGCTGGTTGGCACAGCTGGTTGGCACAGATATAATCTGCAATCAGCACATTTCATTAGGGTCTGCACACAGTTGGGGGTTTAGAGGTGATCATTTGTTAAATTACTATGTTTTAATTCAGATTTCTCTTTTACATATTTAACCTAGCCGAATACTGCGTGTTACTGTTAGTAAGTCCCATTTCGGTTGCCAAGGAATGTACCCACAATCCATCAGTAAAATGAGTCCAGCAGAAGGCATACTGCAGGCATCATGGGCTGGGTAGAACAAAATGGCGGCACCCAGGTATTGAGACCCAGCACAAGGAAGAAAAGATAATAAATATAAACAGAGGCAAGAGGCACATAGAGGATAGAGAGCCTGAATTGACCCTGCAGTTAGGGTGCCCCTGGGCGCACGCCTTGCGCACACCTATGGTTGTCAGATAAACCAGTAAGAGGGACGTGGAGGATAGGCTATCTATTATACAACAGCCGCTGTGAACGCCAACCCCCACAGTGGTTGGGCAACGCATTAAACTGAAAAAATTAGGATTGGATTACGCACATTACTGGATTAGGCAAATTACCGGATTACGCAAATTACTGGATTACGCAAACTGCTTGATTATGTAAAATATCCAATAATCTCAGGAATCATTGTTTCATTAATATTTTATTTTTTCTAGCCGCATTAAAATAAAACCTGCCGTCATGTGACACAGAGAGAGGGGGGTGATAGATTGAGATTATTATTATTATGTTATTATTTATCTAGCGCCATCACATTCTGCAGCGCTTTACAATTGGTGGCCCCTGGATGTGAGGTGGTGAGGACCCCAGGGTAGGTGGTGTGGCCCCTGGATGTGAGGTGGTGAGGGCCCCTGGGTAGGTGGTGTGGCCCCTGGATGTGAGGTAGTGAGGGCCCCTGGGTAGGTGGTGTGGCCCCTGGATGTGAGGTGGTGTGGCCCCTGGGTAGGTGGTGTGGCCCCTGGATGTGAGGTGGTGAGGGCCCTGGGTAGGTGTGTGGATGGAGGTGGTGAGGACCCCTGGGTAGGTGGTGTGGCCCCGGATGTGAGGTGGTGAGGGCCCCTGGGTGGTGGTGTGGCCCCTGGATGTGAGGTGGTGAGGGCCCCTGGGTGGGTGGTGTGTGCCCCTAGATGTGAGGGTGGTGCCCCTGGGTAGGTGGTGTGGCCCCTAGATGTGAGGTGGTGTGGCCCTGGGTAGGTGGTGTGGCCCCTGGATGTGAGGTGGTGAGGGCCCCTGGGTAGGTAGTGAGGGCCCCTGGGTAGGTGGTGTGGCCCCTGGATGTGAGGTGGTGAGGGCCCCTGGGTAGGAGGTGTGGCCCCTAGATGTAAGGTGGTGTGGCCCCTGGGTAAGTGGTGTGGCCCCTAGATGTGAGGTGGTGTGGCCCCTGGGTAGGTGGTGTGGCCCCTGGATGTGAGGTGGTGAGGGCCCCTGGGTAGGTGGTGTGGCCCCTGGATGTGAGGTGCTGAGGGCCCCTGGGTAGGGGGTGTTTTATGACAGAATGTAAAACCCAGCTGCTGTAAAACTACAACTTCCATGATGCTTTCATTGCCCTGAGGCTGACAAAGGATCATGGGAGTTGTAGTTCCACACCCCTATGGTTTATACTGTAATACTGGGAAATTCTAATAAAATGACATCAGGTAAGATGTGATCATGGTGACAGAGAATTACATCAGCCAATGGGGGTGTGGAGAGGCTCCAGCCAATAGGAACCAAGGAATGGGTTTATTGTCCTAATTTCTAGCCAATGAGGAAAACAAACGCAGGAGCCAATCAGCTTTCAATAGACAGAACGTCTCAGCCAATAGGCGCCGTTATAGAGTGTAAGCTCCAGCCTTCCAGATCTTTCCTCAAGATTCAGCCAATGAGAAGCGTGCTGACCGAGCAGCCAATGAGCGCGGGAGGCGCGGTGAGTGGCGGGCGCGGTGTCCAGTGAGAGCGCAGTGTGGGCGGGGTTTGGTGCTTGGCGTTGCTGTGCTCGGTGTATCACGGGAGAGATCGTTGCAGACATGGCGGAGAGTGACTGGGACACCGTGACCGTGCTCAGGAAGAAGGGACCGACCGCCGCACAGGCCAAGTCCAAACAGGTACCATCACCTCCCATCCGGGCTCCCAGGGGCCACACCATCACCACCTCACACCCAGGGGCCCTCACCACCTCACACCCAGGGGCCACACCATCACCACCCACACCCAGGGGCCCTCACCACCTCACACCCAGGGGCCACACCACCACCCCGGGGCCCTCACCACCTAGCCAGGGGCCACACCACCTACCCCGGGCCCTCACCACCTAGCCAGGGGCCACACCACCTACCCAGGGGCCCTCACCACCCAGGGGCCACACCACCTACCCCGGGGCCCTCACCACTCACATCCAGGGCCTCACACCCAGGGGCCACACCACCTCACCCCAGGGCCACACCCACCCTCACACCCAGGGGCCACACCACCACCTCACACCCAGGGGCCACACCACCCCTCACACCCAGGGCCACACCACCTCCCTCACACCCAGGGGCCACACCACCAACTCACACCCAGGGGCCACACCACCTCCTCACACCCAGGGGCCACACCACCTCCTCACACCCAGGGGCCACACCACCAACTCACACCCAGGGGCCACACCACCAACTCACACCCAGGGGCCACACCACCTCCTCACACCCAGGGGCCACACCACCAACTCACACCCAGGGGCCACACCACCAACTCACACCCAGGGGCCACACCACCAACTCACATCCAGGGGCCACACCACCTCCCCCATAACAGCCGTTACCCAGCCAGTCTCCCATCCAGGGTCCCCCACCCTGCGAGTCTCCCATCCAGGGTCCCCCACCCTGCGAGTCTCCCATCCTGGATCTCTAGGTGTAACCAGGCCTCCCCCACGCCGAGTGTGATCGTAGCGGAATACCAACATGGGCCACAGGTGGGTGGAGACTGTAACTCCACAAACAAATGGCCCCCAAGAAACCTAAACTGGAGAATAGCATGCAGTGAGGGAGGGTATCCCCCAAAACATATACCCCCTCCCAAACAGGCATAGAGGCAACCTCAAAATACAGCATGTTATTCTCCATTACATTTTGAGGCCCCCTCTATGCCTGTTAGGGGGTACATTATTCTGAGGTCCCCTCCCTCACTGCATGTTATTCTCCAGTACATTGAGGGTATCCTCAAAAACATGTATAAACCCCTCCCCCTAACAGGCATAGAGGGGTTCTCAAAAGAATATACTGACGAATAGCATGCCGTAAGAGTATCTCTTCCCTCACCCCTCCTGCCCTTAACAGGACAAGAAGGGACTTCAGAATAATATACTGGAGAATGGATCCCCCCCAAACAGGCAGTGAGGGACACTAAAACCATGTACTAGAGAATGGATCCCCCCCAAACAGGCAGCGAGGGACACTAAAACCATGTACTGGAAAATGGATCCTCCCAAACAGGCAGCGAGGGGCCCTAAAATCATGTACTGGAAAATGGATTCCCCAAACAGGCAGCGGGGGTCCTGAATAACATGTGCCAGACTATAGACCCCCTGGTTGTGCACTATATGTAAAACCCATGTGACTCAACATGGCATCGAAGGGGCCAGTCTGTGAACAGTGTTTGTTTTGGGTTTAACATGGCTTTAACTTACTATAGTAACGAAGTCTGGTCTCCTGTATTATTGTTTACGTAGAAGATTGTACCTTGCTTTCACTTTTTCAGCATTATGAAATATAATTTACATACATTTATACATATATTTTTGTTTTCCCCACCTTTAATATATTTGTTCTATATTTAAAACATAAGCTGGTTGAATAGATTGCTTCCTGAAATGTCTACATTTTTATATAAACTGTAGACCCCATAATTACTTTAACTGATAGTAGTTTTGCCGCCAGTAGTCTGTGCACTAGGTTCTGCATCTGTTTAGTGGTTTCCTCACAGTAGACTCCAGGTACATTAGCAAGTTCAAAGAGTTGAAGTGGTTATGGTGCTTACAATGTTCCTTTAAATAAGAGGCTGGGCATTCCTGAAAACAGTGTGAGAGGCTGTGTGCAGGGCTCCTATTGATTTCAGCGGTACTGGGCCAGTACTCCCAGCAGCTTGGCTTCACATTGGAATGGCATTTGTTGAGGTGAATGGAGGCTAATCATGGCTGCACTCTCCTTTTGAGTATGTCGCTAGCATTTTCTATTTTAGCCTTAATTATACATTCCATGTTCAGACCACTGTTTAGTAAATATACCGTAACGAGCTTAAAGTCTAGGTTGTCTGGTCTTGTTGTTTCAGTGAATAGACCCTCTGTCTGTGTGGATCCTGCTGCCTGTAACTTTTTATTTGGAGACGGGATTGCTGTGGTTTCATTGCATGTGCCAAAGCCTGCTCTCTTTAAATCCATTGAGACCTGCTTTCGTTTAATTACCTAAAGGAATAAATTCTGTTTGCACCAGTAATTCTAAAAGCAAATTGAAATTTGAGCTAAATGATTGTCATGTGTCACATGACTATTTTTCTGAACTGTGTGCAGTGCGCATGCGTTTACATTGTCAGTAGTGAATTAGTAACATGATTAAAAAATAAAATATCCTTGTATGATCTCAATATTGCAGCTGTTTAAAACCCCAGGTATGTAGCTGCATATAATAGTCAATGTAAGGCTTTGTTCACTTTAAGCAGCATGGTCAGTACTCCCTGCTATGTGTAGTTTGATGCCAAGACACTGAAATTCTTACTCTCCGAGTCTTTTTTTAAAGTAGAATGTCCACCATCTTCTAAATAACCAGAGGAAAGCGTTTGTTAAATGCTTTTCTGTGGGGTAGGTCCAGTGTATGAGCAGGCAAAGACAAGGGACCTTTTAGGGCAAAAATAAGGTGAGTTCTTAAAGGGTTATTTAAAGGGACACTATAGTCACCAGAACAACTACAGCTTATTGAATTTGTTCTGGTGAGTAGAATCATTACCATCAGGCTTTTTGCTGTAAACACTGTCTTTTCAGAGAAAATGCAGTGTTTACATTACAGCCTAGTGATAACTTCACTGGCCACTCCTCAGACGGCTTTTAGAGATCCTCCCTGGGTCATGGCTGCCTAAAATGCATCCAAATATTCAGTATCTCCTCCCTCTGCATGCAGACACTGAACTTTCCTCATAGAGATTCATTGATTCAATTAATCTCTATGAGGAGATGCTGATTGGCCAGGGCTGTGTTTGAATCATGCTGGCTCTCCCCCGATCTGCCTCTTTGTTAGTCTCAGCCAATCCTATGGGGAAGCACTGTGATTGGATCAGGCTACCACTTCTGATGATGTCAGCAGACTGCTTGTTTTTAGGAGGCAAACAGCGTGCAGGGTTATAGCTTCAGGCTTATTAAGTGTTCTTGCATAGCAAGACCACTTAATGTTATCTCACATATATATTATTATTATTATTATTATTATTATTATAGCAAAATTTGCCACCCTAACTCCTCCCACAGTTTTTACACTACATAGACCAAAATTTACCAAAACATGCAGATTGTTCCCGATTGGATTGCTATTACTTTGTGGAACGTTTCGCCGAATGGTTCACGGAATATCGTCGTTTTTGTGGCGCAATTTGTCCCATAGGAATGAATGGCAAAGCTAGAGTGGGAGCTGCCAAAAGCTGAAAAATCAGGACATGATTTCTAAACTGCCACCACTCCCTCATTTTCAAGCCCACCTACACAAATCTTATATCAAAACGTTCAGCTATCCCTGCTGCCACTAAACATGTAAACGGCTAAGCCGTAGTCCTGATAGTTTTCACAATATGACCATTTGTTTGCAACCAACGCCGTCCATTGACATTCATTGAAACTTCACTCTGCAAAGCTCAAATTTGAAGTGCAATTTCTAAACTGCGACTGTGCCTTCAATTTTAATACTTCAGAGACATACTATGCATCAAAATGTAGGTCTGGGTCTTGTGATTCTCACAATATAAAGCTCTTCACTGTAGGAGTTATAGTTTTTAAGATACGACCGTTTGAAGATGGCAACCGCCAAAATACTCTGACCTGTGTCAAGCTGCAGCAGCAAGTGATGTCATAGACAGGGCCTTTTGAACACCTGCTAATGTTTTTATAAATGTATGGTTTAATGTAACTGTGCAACAACGTTGCAATTAAATGTGCTATGTAAATGATAACAGTTACTCCGCCCACTCCAGTTGTAGACTACTGGTGGAGGCAAGAACACTTCACACAATTTCCCCAGAAATTGTAGATTTTCTAGTTTACAGTAAGATTTAGCTATATTTATGGAGGCATGAGGGGCCCAGAGGGGCTAGATGGTGGTTTTAACTCTATAGGGTCAGGAATACATGTTTGTGTTCCTGACCCTATAGTGATCCTTTAAGCCTTTGAGCGTCGTGGGGGGAGGGCAGAGACACTATAGTATTCCTTTAATTGAACTTTAATCACACACAGGAGGTTGTTGCAGGTTATTAACTTATCAGGAGATAATAACATTCTAAATTTTAACACATTGTGCAATAAAGTAAGTTTAAAAATGTAGAATCTTTTTCAGGAAGGGATGGAAGCTGTGTGAGTATCATCCAGAGGAGACATGGCTAGGACTGCATTAACTGTGATTTAAAGTGGCCCAGTCAAGTTTTGTTAACGTGACTGCTATATTAATCACAATTTTTCCTCTTATCTTTGGATTTGTTTTTTCTTCTTTCTGAAGTGTTTAGGAAAAAGAGATTTGGACACTGGCCGTTGTATAGCAGCAAACTAGATAAAGTTTATTGTGGTGGCAGGAAGTATTGGACTAGATAAAGTTTATTTGATGGTGGATTTATTTCTATTTGGTGGCAGAGCTGTTTTAACGCTGAATGGCAGAGAATTGAGTTTCGAAACTGCTTTAGTTGTTTTGCTGTTTAAGTGCTTCTTTTAAGAAATTACAAAGACAGAATTTGTAATGTCACTTTCTGGGATCTTTGTATCATTTCCAATGATCTCTGGAAGTGATAGATCTAGTTTGGTGTCCACAGGTGCAGGGCAGGTGAGTTTTACCCTCCTCAAGCTGGCCCTCACAGCTGTCACCATCTTCATGATGGAACCTCAATAGATCGATGTCTATATCTTTCAGCTTGACGGTTGTTTGGATTTGACAAAAGTTAACAGCTGAGCTCTGTCTTTTTGTTAACTTTAGTCAAACTCAGATTTATTATAAGACTGGTGCTTATTTCATCTTTTGGATTGTGTTGCAATGTCAGAGAGATTATATCTTTATGAGATTCTGAGAAGTGACGTATCTGGTTTAAAGAGATATATTAAAGCTTAAAGTGAGCCTGTCATGACTGGCTCCCTTTATACAGTCCTGGGAACCACTGTGAATCCATTAGTTTTACTTCCTGTTATTGTGGTTTCTTTATCACAAGTCTGAAGTTCAAGATTGCAAGATCCAGTATAAACATTGCAATGCTTTCCTTGGTACTGTGCTTGGGCACTTTACAAATCAGCACAGAGGGTGCCATGGTTGGTAGTGTGTACCTCAGAAGCCATTGATAATCCAGCAATTCCTAAATCGCACAATGTGACGTCTGGGCGGCCTGTTGTTGCATACTCCGGGGTGGGTGGAAGTTCTAGAGAATTAGTTTGGAACCAGAGGTTTTGTTTTTTTAACTTGAAGTGTAAGGGATCTATTAACTTAAAGTAACTTGGGATTATAATCTGGGAACTGTACACAGCAAGCACAAATCGAAGGGGGGAAAAAATCTCAGCCCCAAATATATGGTCTAAAATGTGCAATCCTAATACCCCCACTATTTAGTGAATAAATCCCTGCCTGGTTTACGCCCCTGTGCCGCTGTAGGTGCCAAAGGCTCGGGCTGGGAAACTGTAAAGCCACTTTGGATTTTGGTGAAGCTGACTGACTAAATGTTGGGTAATGGGGTTGCACATTTTAGATCAAATAATTTGGGTTGGGAATTCTTTTCCTTGATTTGTGCTTGCTCTGTACAGTTCCCTTGTCTTATTTTCCCAGTTCCTTTTAGTTAATTCCTTACACTTGGTATTCACAAACTCTGGTTTCAAACTAATCAATACCTTAACATGATATAGATTTGTGTGCACTCTATAAATATAGCTACCTGACATTCCTGCGCTATTTCTGTACATTGGGTGCATTTGCTTCATATAACCATCCCTGGCTCTGTCACTGGACCAGTGCAATACATGGCATGTGCCACGCAGCTAGTATAAACCACTGTGCCCAGCTGAGGGATTTCAGTGGCTATATCAATCCATAGACTATAAAGAATGCTGTATGGAATACGTGATCATCTAAACAACTTTAGCTTAATGAAGCAGTTTTTGTGTATAGATCATGCCTCTCAGGTTTCACTGCTCAATTCACTGCCATTTAGGAGTTAAATAACATTGTTTGTTTATTTAGCCCTTGTCACACCTCCTCTGACTCTGACACAGCCTGCATGAAAACAAAACTGGTTTTGTTTTTAATCAGATGTAATTCACCTTAACCAATTAAGGACACATGACATGTGTGACATGTCATGATTCCATTTTATTCCAGAAGTTTGGTCCTTAAGGGGTTAAACAATTGTATCTCTTTCTCTGTAGATTGAACTTTAGTCACATACAAGATGCTCTTGCAGGGTATAGCAAGCTATTAACAAAGCAGAGGATAAGAAAATCTAAGTTAAAACTTGAACTAAAGGAAGGATAAACTTTAGATGACTCTTTACAGGAAGTGTTTAGGAAGGCTGTGCAAGTCACATGCAGGGAGATGTGACTAGGGTTCATAAGAAAAGTGATTTAGCTCCTAAATGGCAAAGAATTGAGCAGTGAGACTGCAGGGGCATGTTCTATTCACCAAAACTGCTTCATTAAGCTCAAGTTGTTTTGGTGACTGTAGTGTCCCTTTAATCTACATGCATACTTGATTTACAGAGCGGGCGTGGACTTGCTACTTAAATAAGGTGAGCATGATGATTGTAGTAGGGGATCCCTGGTATTTGGGTTAAAGTCAATCTCAGAGAGTCTTAAAGGAACCCTATAGCAATGGGAGAACAAACATGTAGTCCTAATGGTAATCTATATAGGTCCCCCAGTTTTTTTTTTTTTCGCACCTCTTCACATGACATCATGGAGGAGGCATGACCTTCTCAGCCTTGGCCTGATCCAATGCTCCACATAGAGAAGCACCAGGGGCTTAATGCGCGTGTGTGGCCGTGTGTGCATTTAAGCTTACCCATAAAAACCATTAAATGAATGCTTTCCAATGGTGGCTTTCATGTCATGTGACCCAGTTTAACTTGGTCAGTGCAGCAGAGGCAACTCTAGTGGCTGTCATGCTGACTGGTTTTACGTTGCTGGGTTAGTTTCTTTTTTGAAGGTGGACGCTTTCAGCTTTAATGTGACTTCTATTTTTATGCATTTTATAAATGATGTATATTTAAAAAAAAATACCCAAACCAGTAAGACTTCACGAACTGCCAACCTATCCTACTAAGCTTCGGCAATAATTCTCAATTTCCCGCAGTGATCTATGGGATATGTAGTTTAGCAAACAGCAGCAGTGGGTTTAGCAAGCTTTCCATCCATTACAGCTATAGGTCTCTTAGAAGTGGGTTCTGTAAAGCTCAGTAAATCTGCGAATTGTAATATCCCACAATACACTGATAGATGTGATCAGTTATATGATTTGGAGTGTTAATTCATGCTTTTTGTTTTGATGGTTGCAGATTTCTTACTCTATTTGTTTTTGTCTTCCAGGCCATTATAGCTGCACAGAGAAAAGGAGATGATGTTGAAACCTCCAAAAAATGTATGTTACAATACTGTTTTAGTTTTCTGCTGATTGAATGGGGGGGTGGTGAGTGTGTGATATTCTCTATACTTTGTACGTTGGGGGTCTTTGTTTGCCTTATTGACACATTACCTGTTATTTTACAAACAGGGTCCGCAGGTCAGAACAAACAGCACACCATCACCAAGAATACGGCCAAACTGGACCGGGAAACAGAAGAACTGCATCATGACAGAGTCTCTTTGGAAGTTGGAAAAGTCATCCAGCAGAGCAGACAGGGTGTCGGGATGACCCAGAAGGACTTGGCCACTGTAAGGGAACATTTACACTTTACTATGAGAGGACTGGAACCTGGGTCCTGTAGTGATCTGCCAACTGAGACATGTGGGCATTATAGTGAACTAGTACCGGCATGCTCTGTCTAGCTTTGGGTGGAGATCATGGTCATTAAAGGCACTTCCTATTGCACTGGGCTTAATTGCTTAACTGCCAAACATGTCATCAGTTTGGTGAGTTGTAGTAGAAAATAATTCTATTACATGCCACACAAGGCAGAATAACACTTTCCAACATTCTAATTTTTTTATGTTGGCAGTTTTCATACCTGAATAAAATCTAAATACGGACATGAAGTGAAGGTAGCAATATAACATTGTTTAATTTCTACTTTTCTTTTGCACAGCCTTGTTATAGTTGATAAGTTAGTAAGTGTGTAGGATACCACTTTGTCTCATTAGATTTTGCCTTTTAGCTGAAAGCAGCAAGGTGAATCGTTGGTGTAGGACTATTCTAATAAAACCTTGATATTGGCAGATAAACATCCAATTCATTTCTTTTTCCTTCTCTGTTCAGAAAATCAACGAGAAACCCCAGGTAATTGCTGATTATGAAAGTGGAAAGGCCATTCCCAGCAACCAGGTCATGGGGAAGATTGAAAGGGCACTGGGTAAGTTGATTGTAGATTTTGGAGATCACTGCTAATCACACACACACATCCTCTTCTCCCTTGCAGCCTGGCACACTGCTGGGTGATGCACTGTGTAGATCTGCCCTCTCGTGGTATGATGACATAAACTTGTATCCTTGAGAGACGCATAGGGCCGCAGGGAGTAGGAAAAGAGGTTTGTCCAGCAGGTACAGGCAATTCCTGACCTGTTCAATGTGTTGGATTACAAGATGTTCTTGTGGGGTGTTAAAAATGCAAGGCATCTGTAGTATGGCATTAAGAAACCATTTACAATGTGCCTTTCCACCTAGAGTTTGGACCTCCATCATTCTGTCGCCTGCACAAAATCTTTAAGAATTATTTTTGATTGGGATAAGAATTCAATGGGTTCGCCCTGGGCCCCAGGCTCTCTTAGTTTCACAGTAGTGTCATGTTTTTAGGCCCTAAATCATTTATAGTCCAAATCAGTTAAGAACTATTGTTTTGCATCATTGGATAACTGACCTTTTGGCAACAAACCTGAAACGCTGTCAGAGACTCTATGCCAAAGATTAGCCATTGCTGGCCTAGTTTGCAATTCTATTCAGCATTCAGCCAGACGCTCTGAGTCAGAGTCTATTATACACTTTGAAGTGTTTATCATGAGATGATCGTGTGCTTTTATTTTTTTTATACTAGTTTACTGTTATGGACTGTTTGATCTTCACGGGCTCAGTCACTGATTAACATGTTTCAACAATAAACAAAACATTGACAGGGAAATTGTCTAATGTAATAACATTGTCTTGTAGGAGTAAAGCTTCGTGGAAGGGACATTGGAAAACCCCTGGAGGCCGCCCCAAAAAAGAAATGAAAACAAAGCCTCGAAATCAGTGCTCACCAGCTGATCTCGACTGGTCGGTTTGTGCCGAATCGGCCAGGATGTTTCCGCATTGCCAAGCTGAGCGCAGCTCTTTCAGACTATACTATTTGGGGGTTTGCGTATAATCAAATCTTCTTACCTGCTGTAAAGAAATGTATGTAGTTCCTTTCTACCAAATGGAAAAAATTGCTACAGTTTAATATTACCCCACCCCGCAGTAGGGCAGGATCCACAGGGAATAATGTTTGGGCGTGACTTGATATTTGGATAACATGGGAATTGGGGAGGAAAAAAATGTCCTTTCTCCAACAGATACAAGCCAACATCATACTTTTTAATTTTTGCAAAAAGGAGGGCTTGGCGTGGATGGGAGTTTGAGGAACATTCCTGTTGGTCACTTTAATATACCACATCCCTTCTTTAATGTAATCGTAAAATAAAGTTTGTTATCCTTCTTCATGTGAGCAGTATGCCTGGATAATCCTGTCTCTGTTAAAGTGCATCCATTATTTTCACTTGTTTTGAACGCATGGCAGTACGTTAAAATGGTGGGGGTGACCACCTGCTGTAAGGGGAGTGTCTAGGAAGATAACAGACAAGTCACTCACCTTGTCTCTCTTTATACAACGATGTTCATGTTGCAACAAACAGCACTCCGCTTCTAAAAGAATGAGCTTAATTATAGGCTTTGTATCCTAGATGTGTTGCCAGCCAAAGACGATCGTTTGTAATAAGTCTCGGAGGAGGATTTTGTAATGTCCCCAAAGTTTGGAGTGTGCTTAACGTGCTGTTAAAGGAGCAGTAACCTCAAAATGCTAATTATAGGGTCAGTAATGGGGATCATATATCTTGCTTACCAGCAAATTCTTAGTTTAGTTTCTGCCCCTAACTGTGCCTCCTGTCTGTTTCAGTAAGAAATTCTGAACTCTATCAGAAATCATTGGGTTCTTTACAAGGAGGCCGCTTCCTCAAAGACAGTTTGGGGTTCTGTTGGGCTACTGTGCCTATATTATTGGAAGGGCTGCAGCTATGGTGCTCGGTGAATTATATGGTGCTCGTTTCAAACACCATTTAATAGCCTATGAATTATGGACATGTATGCAGCAACTGGGGTGGCAGTTAAAGGAACACTATAAGCACCCAGAACCCTTCAGTTCATATAAGTGGTGAACTGTCACTGTCTCAGAAATGGCAATTTATTACCCTGTAGAACTGACTGCCTCTAGTGGACTCCAGGTCACCTACATGACGCTGGATGTCCTCACTCTCTGTGTCAGTGAAATCCCCATAGGCAAGCATTGAGGCACTATAGTGAATAGCCTTCCGAGTTCTGCAATATGGAATGGAACTTTCTATTTCATGTGTACACTACTGGTAGAAGTTAATAGTGCTTTATCCATTCACAGCAATCTGAGAGCTCTGTGCTTTCAAACACCCTACTCCCCTCTGCGGCAGACTGGAGAAATATCACAGCCGGTATCTGGGTTTGATTTTATTGTATTCTGTTTAGAAAATAAAACACTTGGGAGCATTATTTACCCCCGGGTGTAAAGTTTCTTTAATACGTTGTGATCCAGGTTCCTTGTGATAGCAGACAGGTCTCTGGGTAAAAGGAGTCTCTTTGCAACACGCTATTTGTTTGTTATTATATGAAAATATTGTGACTCTGTACAGTTCATGTAAGGAAAGGGTTCTTTTTCTGCGATGGAGCTTGTTACGGGGCGATTTCACTGGTGGAGCAGCATGGAGTTATGATCTCTTGTTTAGGTGTCTGTATCCTGGATAAAGAGAAGTGGTTGTTATAGTCTGTTTATTCACACTGGTGCAGGTATACACGTCAGGTCAGCCATGTGCTGGCGAAAATAGCAGGGCCATATTCTTAAAGTACATGCCCCATGTGCAACTTTCACTTTGTAATTTTATTGAAAAACAAAAAAAGCTTCAATGGTTTTTCTACAGTAGAGACCATTACAGATACTTCTTCCTAGACGTTTTAGCCTGTTTGTCCAAATCAAATACATTTCTCTTTTTTTCGATCAGTCTGGAATCTACCTGGCGAGTCTTATTCAGTGAATGTCTTATTATACGTTTTAATCTTCCAACAAATAGGATGCCAAAGGTAAATCCCAGAATGATCTATTTATTGATTTGAATGAATCCCTCCAAACACATTTTTGCACAAGTCTAATTGTTTGGTGATCTTGTAAAGAAGCCTTTATTTTCCTTTTTAAGTAGATGTTTTCTAGCTAGTATACAGCTTCTCTGATCACTTGGCTGAGATTACTACAAGTAACTCTAAAATATGTAGCTTTAGTTTACAAAGTGCAGGGCTCAGCATTTTTACTAGCCGTGATTAAAAAAAAAAAAAAAATTGTAACCCTGGTGCAAGTGGAATAGGAATTTTAAGCCATGCAAAGTGCACAACTTTTGTGGTGGATACTGTCATCTGTTGGTAGTGGCACTGATTTGTACTTTTACCAAATAATTTTAATACGTTGCTCTGCACAGGCATTACCTCTGCAAACATGACGTTGTCAAATCCATCTATGGCACTGCTCTGGCTGGACATCTGCGGGGCTTCAGCCAGGTTCCTTTTCCTTTTTCGATAAAAATAGTAGGCAGCTGTAACGCATGCTAACAGGAGCAAAACTCCAAGAACTATAGCCACTGTCGTCCCGGTGTTATTGCTTCCTGCAAACAAAGGAGTTGCATCCCATTAGCATAACACACTGAATGAGAGATCCTTGAATCAAATGTGTCCCATGTCCTTGGTGTGTCATTCCTTTAACATTATTAGCAAGAAATTACCATCCGAATCACGAATGCCAATATGTATGGTTAGCACATTATTTAAAGGGGCAGCATAACCACTTCACTATTCATAACTATAGTGATCCTTTAGTTTCAAAAAATGTATTCCTAACACTATAGAGCTGGAGTAAATATTTAGGGCCCAGCCCCCTTCAGAGTGGAGTTAAAAAGGTGTTTTACGTACTTTTTCTCCATTGCTGCGGCTGGCCCCGCCTCCATGGCTGAGCTAATTAAACTTGATGATTTTTTAGTGAATCCAATGTTTTCCCACTAGAAAAGCAATGGGAGGCTATTGCGTACGCGTGGCATAAGTCTGCATTGTTCTGCACCAATCAGCATCTCCATGCAGAGATCTTACACAGGAAGCACCTCTAGGGGCTGTCTGACTACACCTAGATATGTTACTAGGCAGCGTTGTTAATACTCTGTAAAGGTAGCTTTGCTTTGAAAAGCCTTCAGGGGCAGGCTACAGACACCCGAATCACTACATAAAAGGTGTATTCTATACATTAAGCTGTAGTGATTCTGGTGACTAGATTGTCCCTTTTAAACAGGTGCTCAGCCACTGGCAGCCTGGTTGTCAATGACTAAGGAGCGGGGGAAGAACAGAGCTCTGCTTCACAGAATACCCAGGGTAGCAAGCTCCAAATCACTGGTATGAATGGAGCATAACTCCACCTCCGCCATATCGTATGATTGTCTAGTAATCCATAATAAAGGAGGGAAACTAAATGGAACAGACAGCCCTCCTGTAGCTGGTCACTTTGAGTGCTGCCAGGGCCGGCACTACCATTAGGCAAATAAGGCATTCGCCTATGGTGCCGGCCTGTTGAGGGTGTCATGCTGCTTTCTGGGCTGATGTACTGGGCGAGTGGACTCCATGGCCACCCCCAGCACAGCCATTCAGTTGCTGAGCTCACTCTGCAGCCTGTTACCTGCGCAGGGAGTGGGGTTTACTGTAACCCCAGCACCCAAGCAGAGTTCCTGCAGGTAGGGGAAGCCGGGACATGACTTTGTATCCTGGCTGCCCCCTGCCTGTGGATGCCGGAACCACAGGCCTGTGCTCACAGTGCTTGGCTCTCCTGCTCCCCCCCACCAGGAACAAAAAGGCTTCCTGCAGCTTTGGGGTTGCTGCTCCTCTTTCCCTCCATTCACATCACTTAGGTGTGGCCCATCTGCAGGTAAGGGGAACTGATTATTTTGTAGATGATTGTAAATTGGTGTGTGGCTATATATAAAGTGGTGTGTTTGTGACCCTGTGAGTGTGCACCTGACTGTGTGTTGGTGAGAATGTTAAACAGTGTTACTTTGACACTTACAGTATCACTATATCAGTGAGATTGTGTAAGTGACGCTGTTCATGTCAGTGTGTGTGTCAGTGTCACTGACACACTAACCACTCGCTGTATGTGTGTATTGATATATGTATTAGGCGGTGTGTGTATGTATTGGACTGTTTGCTCATGGTTAATTGGATGTAATAGGCAGTATGTATGCATGCCTGGATGTATGTATTAGGCAACGTGTGTAAATGGATGCATATACTGGATGAGTGTGTTTATATTGGGCATTGTGTCTCTCTCCTAAAGTCTGCCAGTCTCTGTTCCCTAATATCTCCCAAAGCTGTTTGTTTTCTAAATTTCTCACTTAAAGGGATACTATGGTGCCAGGACTGCAAAGATGTGTTCCTGGCACTAGAGCTCTCTCTGCATCCCCACTGCAGTGAATAAAGGGTTAAAGACCCTTTATTTACTTACATGTGCTAATGTCCCTTGGTGCTGGGTTGTGGCTCCGCCTACTCAACGCTACTGATGAGGGGGCCCAAATGCGCATGCACAGAGTGCCACGTGCAGTAGGACCTCCCCATAGCAAAGCATTGAATCAATGCCTTCCTATGGGGATATAGCTGACACGTGATGTCCTTGTGCAGAGCATGAGGATGTCCAGCGTCAGTTACCAGACCAAAAGTCTGTTAACATCTAGGAAGCGGTCCAGTGGCTGTCAGGCAGACTTAGTGCTACAATGTAAACATTGCAGTTTCTCAAAAACTGCAATGTTTTACACTGCAGCACTAAGTGCAATAGGGACACTGCACCCAAACCACTTCAATGAGCTGAAGTGGTCTGGATGCCTATAGTGTCCCTTTAATGTCTAATGCGTCTCCTTCCCTAAATATGACTTCCTTGCAATTCAGCATTTAGAGAATAAACCTATGAAAGAATGTAGTTGTATTCATGAGGGGGCGGCAAAATCGATTGTTGCCTACAGCTGCAAGAATCCTTGCACCTGCCCTGAGTGCGGCCCACTGTCCGGGATCTGGCAGCCCTAATAATGAGTCATGTTAAAGCAGAATAAGCGGTTTAAAGTCCTGGATTGTATCATTAAAAAAAACAAATATATGTAACCATTTCAAAGTCCGATTGGAGTTTAATCTTTATCTGATTTTCATTAACTCACCCTTGTCTTCCTTCTGTGCAGTGCACGGCACGTCGGCTGTGTACGTCAGATCATCTAGAGACAGGGTAGCAGAGTGCGGTCTGGTCCCTTTAGAACCCTCAAATGCGATCTTTAAGGAGAATAATACAATAAACACTTCTATTGAAATGTTACCCCACATACCAACCAACCTAGTTAATATAATGCTTGGTGTATTTGCGTTCTGTCATTACGTTGGACCTTATAGGAGCACTCCACTGCCCAAATTAAAACGATCTGTGTCACTATTTGCTAGATATGTAGATATACCCCGACTGAAACCATGCATGTGTTTAATTTAGCATTTTTTATTGGAGTGTGGGGTTTAGTGCAGGTGGGGGCTGCTATTTTGTCCCAAAATTAACAGGAGCACAGTAAATCAATCAATCAAAGCAAAAATATCTGAACTCTGAGGCACATCTGTCTGTTCCTATAAACACTGTTTTTGAAAGAAAATCAAACATTAGCAGATTTTGCAGAGGTTGGTGATAAAAATGTTAAATGGAAATATCAAACTGCTACAGTAACCTGAATTCAGTGAAATAAATGCCTTGTATTTGGTATGGCGGAGTTGGACTTGGGTTGATCGCTTAAGAACTGTTGTCCCTAAAAAACCCACCAGGTGGCAGTAAACAGTACAAGGGATTTATCTTACCTGGAACGGCACGGTACTGTTGATCTGTAGCTGTTCCTGCTCCCATTCACTACTGTGGTACCCATGGAGGACCCAGAGAGGCTGCAGGCCATGACTACTGATGAGAAACAGGACAAGCTCCCCAAGATCTGGCTTGGTCAATCATAAACACAGCATGAAATATATTTTAAAAGTATTTAAGCCAGTTCTTCCAAGCTACTAAAATAATCCTCACTGCACTAAAAGTGGCATTCTCAGTAAAACCGAGGCAGCAAAAAGATGTGCCCTCAAGTTAAAGTGCAGAGTGAAGAGAACATGTCTATTATAAAAGGACTGGGTTGTAGATAGAGGGAGTGACCTATCTGATCTGGTATTGGTTAATACAATGGGAGAAAATAAAAATACTTAAAACAGACTGATAGCTCCCTGAGTGGGAAACAACCAATGATCGAACGATTTGGCCAATGGCAGAGTTACTTTAACGCAATACTAACATCTTTCTATTTTTACTGTTTTATAGCAAATTTATGCCAAAAAACAATATTGACGTATGTGGGTTTGTTATACAGGAAGCAAATGTTTATATACTGAACCCAGTAGCGTGTGCCGCCATTTTGAATGATAATTGCTAGCAATATCCAGCTGTGTTTGCAAATGTACTTATTTTTCCAATGATCTCCCTTTTTACGACAAGTCACATTGGCTCACGGGTTTGTGTGCCTGTTGACATTCTCAGGAGCCTAAGGAAGCAGTTTCCAGGGCACATAGAAAGCACTGCCCTGCAGTATGTAGAAATCAAATACCGCAGCTAGTAAATCCGGTGATAAATCAATGAGGAATCCTGCAGTTTATAAATTATACAGACTGCAGGGAAGCATTTTCATTTGCGGCCAATTAATAGGATGAAATTATTTGTTCACAGGAAAACATGGTGGATATGGCAACCTGTGACAAATGAATCATGGGAAATTAAAGCTACGTGTTTTTACAGAAGCAGATTTTGTGCTACATGAGTGAAATCTTACTAAGTTTTATATATAGACATTATTTGAAGTGGATTACTCACGACTATGGTCTGAAGAGTCGGTACGATACCAGAATGTGAAACAGGATCCGACAGTCTTGGGGAGGTGTTCGCTGATCAGCCAGGCTGTGCTGCCCTCAATGTGCATCGCTCCAGTGTCCACAAAGGCGTAATGTCCTAAAATGGCAGAGAGTGAGCTCAGTCACCTGCCAATGGCACGTTACACTCCAGATACAATGTCTCGTCACAAACCGCGAATTCCACAACTCACATCCAGACAGCCGAATATGGAATGGCTCTACAAACAACTGCCACTGGATATATTTTTGTCCAACCCAAAGCTATTTAGAAGCTGTCCTTGGGTAATGCTTTTTATTTATATACATTGTATTAGATATACACCAATTTAACCTCCACAGTGCCATGTGCATTAACGCATTGCACTTCAGAAGGTATGCCCAAGTGAACATGTAATCATACAGTGTGTTTCTATTGATGCAGGACTTGTGAACGTAAATGGAACTTTTATGACATCCCCATGGACATGAAAGCAAGTACAGGTGATACTCGAAAAAATTTGAATATCGTGCAAAAGTTCATTTATTTCAGTAATGCAACGTAAAAGGGGAAACTAATATATGAGATAGACGCATTACATGCAAAGCAAGATAGTTCAAGCCGTGATTTTTCATAAGTGCGATGATTATGGCTTACAGCTCATGAAAACCCCAAATCCACAAACTCAGTAAATTAGAATATTACATGCAATCAATAAAACAAGCAGTGTACATAGAACAATATCGGACCTCTGAAAAGTATAAGCATGCTCAGTACTTGGTTTGGGCCCCTTTTGCAGCAATTACTGCCTCAATGCGGCGTGGCATGGAAGCTATCAGCCTGTGGCACTGCTGAGGTGTTATTGAAGACCAGGCTGCTTCAATAGCGGCCTTCAGCTCTTCTGCATTATTCGTCTCATGTCTCTCATCTTTTTCTTGGAAATGCTTCATAGATTCTCTATTGGGTTCAGGTCAGACGAGTTTGCTGGCCAATCAAGCATAGTAATCTCATGGTCATTGAACCAGGCTTTGGTGCTTTTGGCAGTGTGGGCAGGTGCCAAGTCCTGCTGGAAAATGAAGTCCGCATCCCCATAAAGCTCATCTGCGGAAGGAAGCATGAAGTGCTCCAAAATCTCCTGGTAGACGGCTGCGTTGACCGTGGACTTAAAGGGAAACTCCTTTCCTGGCACTGCACGTACCCTCTCCCTCCCATCCCAGGTAGCTGAAGGGTTGAAAACCCCTTCAGTGACTTACCTGAGACCCCTGCCGATGTCCCTCGGTGGTTGTTTTGGGTCGGAGTCGCTCCTCCCAGTAATTACGTCTGAGGAAACCTAATGCGCATTAGGTCTCCCCATAGGAAAGCATTGAAAATTATTTTTAATGTTTTCCTATGGGGAATTGAGCAACTCTGGAGGTCCTCACACAGCGTGAGGACATCCAGCGACGCTCTAGCAAAGGAAATCTTTGCTATGAAGCATGAAGTGCCCTCTAGTGGCTGTCTAGTAGACAGCCACTAGAGGTGGAGTTAACCCTGCAATGTAATTATTGCAGTTTATAAAAAACTGCAATAATTACAGTTGCAGGGTTAAGAGTAGTGGGAGTTGGCACCCAGACCACTCCAATGGGCGCCATTGGAGTGGTCCTTTAAAGCACCACTATCGGCACCCAGACCACTTCAGCTTAATGAATTGGTCTGGATGCCTGGTCCATCTAGGATTAACCCTTTCTGCTGTAAACATAGCAGTTTCAGAGAAACTGCTATGTTTACCTATGGGTTAACCCAGCCTCTAGTGGCTGTCTCATTGACAGCCACTAGAGGCGCTTCCGCGATTCTTACTGTGATTTTCACAGTGAGAAGACACCAGCGTCCATAGGAAAGCATTGAGAATGCTTTCCTATGAGACTGGCTGAATGCGCGCACGGCTCTTGCCACACATTCAGCCGATGACGGAAGAGGGACGAGAGTCCCCAGCGCCGGAAAAAAGGTAAGGGATTAACCCCTTCCTCCCCCTTCAGTGACATGGGAGTGGGACCCTGAAGGTGGGGGCACCCTCAGGGCACTATAGTGCCAGGAAAACGAGTTTGTTTTCCTGGCACTATAGTGGTCCTTTAATGAAGCACAGTGGACCAACACTAGCAGATGACTTGGCTCCCCAAATCAACACAGACTGTGGAAACTTCACACTGGACTTAAAGTATCTTGCAGTGTGTGCCTCTCCATTCTTTCTACGGACTCTGGGTCCTTGGTTTCCAAATGAGATGCAAAAGTTGCTCTCATCAGAAAAGAGGTCTTTGGACCACTGAGTAACAGACCAGGTCCTTTAGCCCAGGTAAGACGCTACTGACGTTGTTTGTTGTTCAGGAGCGGCTTGACAAGAGGAATACGACATCTGAAGCCCATGTCCAGGATCCGTCTGTGTGTGGTGGCTCTTGATGCACTGACTCCAGCCTCAGTCCACTCCTTGTGAAAGTTTACAACCCATTTGAATGGCCTTTTCCTGACAATCCTCTCCAGGCTGCGGTCATCCCTGCTGCTTGTGCACCTTTTTCTTCCACAATTTTCCCTTCCACATAATTTTCTAATAATTTGATACAGCACTTTGAGAACATCCAACTTCCTTCACAATTACCTTTGAGGCTTTCCCTCCTTATGGAGGGTGTCAGTGATGGTTTTCTGCACAACTGTCAGGTCAGCAGTCTTCCCCATGATTGTGATTCCTACTGAACCAGACTGAGAGACAATTTAAAAGTGCAGAAACCCTTTGCAGGTGTTATGGCTTACTGAGCTGATTAGAGTGGGACACTGTGAGCCTAGAATATTGCACCTTTTCACAATATTCTAATTTACTGAGATTGTGGTTTTGGGGTTTTCATGAGCTGTAAGCCATAATCATCGCACTTATGACAAATCACGGCTTGAACTATCTTGCTTTGCATGTAATGCGTCTATCTAATATATCAGTTTCCCCTTTTACATTGCATTACTGAAATAAATTAACTTTTGCATGATATTCTAATTTTTCGAGTATCACCTGTATGTTTTTTACTTACCTTTCCTGAGCTACTCACCCCAGTAAGCGCTTCCACAGCATTTACTGGGAAGAGGAAGTGAGGGTCTGTGGGAAATGACCTCTGTGTGATAGGAGAAGCCTTCCTGTAAATTGTGGCTTCACAATTAAACTTTCAAAGTCAAAATATACCTATTTTTCCAGCTGAGCTTTTTGGCCAAATATTTGCAATACTCCTGTTAATGCAGAATTCCCATGAAGTTGACATTTAGTGAATAACCTCAAATGTTTCCATGTATGGGAAGGCTGTGAGATATGATAGCACCATTAGTTCATAGGATGTAAAAGGACAAACTAAAATGTGTGGGGTCTGAATAGTGAGATTTTATAACCGCTAACAGAGTAAAATCCATCATGGAAATCCTAAGGAATTTTCCATTTTAACACAGTATTATGTAGTATATGTGAAATTCTAGGGTTTTTGATCGGAGTAGTAATTATTTATGCAGTGATGTTCTTGCAAGTCTGACATGACAGGTATTTTACCTTCCGTGGTACCCAGAGTGTGGTCTTTTTCAGGTATCGAGTCCCTTGTGGATAGGGCAGCCCCGCTTGTCCAATCCCAATCATATGTATCCATCAAAGGAATATGGGTATTCGTCCACGCACAAGAACCTGACTCGAAGCTACACGAGGCTGGGAAACAGCAAAGAAAGATAACAGTGTTTATAAGGTCTGTCAGGTTTTGGTCAGAATATACTGCTGTCCTTCCAGAATATAACCAGAATACAGTACACAGGAACACAAACATGATTAGCTGCACTGGTACCTGGCTCGTGACAGTGATGACGACTGATGTGAATGTCATCCACAGCAATAAAGCATTGGTCACCTCCTGCTCCAACAGCTTCAAGTTTTATCTACAGAGAGATCAGAGACACAATGAGATCCCATAACCTACAGAAAGATTAGAGATACAATGAGATCATATAACATACAGAGAGATCAGAGATACAATGAGATCCCATAACCTACAGAGAGATCACTTACAATTAGATCCGATAACCTACAGATAGACCAGAGATACAATGATCTCAGACCTACAGAGAGATCAGAGGTCCAGTGAGATCCTATGACCTACAGAGAGACCAGAGATACAAGGATATCCCATAACCTACAGAGAGATCAGAGATACAATGATCTCAGACGTACAGAAATACAAGGAGTTCCTCTAATCTGAAGAGTTGCTAGACTGGTTCTCTCCTATTGTATCTGTTTATTTGTCTCTTCTGAACTTTTTCCATTTATTTCATTTTCCCCTGTATCCCAGCCCATCACACTATCACCTCCAGTGAGATAAAACTCTTCTTACCATCCACTCTTGGTCAGACTGGAGTCCCACACTTTTGTAGTGCCAATCGCCACTGTGCGTCTCACTCACGCTAAGCAGGCGAGTCTTCACTTGTTTCTTGCCCGTATTCTCCACCAGATCTACATTCAGAGTTCCTGTGAACAAAGACTTCTCCATCAGCCACGATTCCCATATTAATAAATATGAGCAGCTCAAAGAAAGTTGAGTAAAAGGGAAAGCAGCAACCGTCCCACAGCCTCAGATCGCAAACATTTTAAACCTACTCTAGGCTAATTGCTTAATGTAGCAGAATGGCCCTTTTCCCTGGCCTTTGTTCGGATGCTCGTACCCCTTGTTCGTTTACCGAACTCCCATCTGTGTGGTCCCTGAGTTCAGTTTTTTTAACAACCGACCACCCCTGGCTGTTAACCTCAAATTGCTCACTAAAGAAAGGGTTTCCCCTGTGTGACCGCCGTTTGTATTACTGAACGCACGTGTGCAAATAAACAGCGCCCATCTTGTCTCTTGAACGTGGGCAGCGGTATATGGTCGTTGACGGCCTGGAACTAATTTTGGCTACTGGACCCCACGAACACCCGGTAAACTATTACTGCTGCCCATTCAACTTCCCGAACCAGTAGGAGAATGATGTTCGGGAGACCTAAACTACCGAACAAGGGGAATGTTCGTATGCTGGCGGCCAGGGGGAGCTTTCGTCAGCATTCGTGCGAGAACTCCCGAAAGAAGACCGGTTAAAGCTTAAAATCCTCTGGAACTATTTTGGGGCATCACCTCATGGTCGACCGGTCTAAACTTCACTCGAATGGCGTTCCTAATCTACCAGATCTAAGTGATATTTTAACAAAGTAGGCGCTCAGATCCTTTCTATTCGGTGAAGTTTCGTGGAGTCATGAGATATTCAAATATGTTTATGTGGTTTTACAATATTGTATACTTTCTGTACCTGGGAGGTAATGTAATTAAATAGTTGTTCTTACTCAATTATCTCCCAGGCACAGAGGAGGAGTCTGTGAACTTTTGATTTGTCCCTTGTTCCCACTCAGGTCCACCAGGGGGAAATCCCTGGAATGTAATTTAAGAAACCCCTTGCATGGGGAGTTGCATAAAAGCCAACTGTGGCTGAATAAAAAGCAGTTGACTCCCAGAACTGTGTGTCGTCCAGTTACTGGGGGGATTGTGCCTTGGATATTGTATTGCTTCCTCGGCTACAAGGAGTCTACAGCGGAGATATTGATGCTGAATATTGGAGCTCCGCTACACTTAATTTGTACTGTCACACAGGAAATCAGTCAATATCCGTAGTATAAATTAGAAATCAGCTACATTTTATGAATTTACAGCTGCGTGATTTGTGAATTAAATATTCCCAGAGCTTTAGAATTTACAAACCAATCATTAGTGATGACGCAGGACCCTAAAATACAGAATCCTGTGTTCCAGTAATGAGAATTTAAAATATCTAATTTGAATCATTTTGGCAATTAATTTTTTATAGAAATATTAATATGAAATGATTTAACCACTAAAGGTGGGTTTAGCATTTCAGTAGTTTACAAGTACATCCCATGGTCTAGACTCGAGGTTATAATTAACCAGCTTATTGGAACTCAGTTATTGACCTTGAAAGGTTGAACAGATGACTCGATCTTGCTGGGAATGAAACTTTTATTTTAAGTCTAACCATAGTCGTGCGCAGGGGGTGTGCCGGGTGTGCCTAGGCACACCCTAATCCCCGCGGCACATGCTCTTGCCAGCAGCTCCGCCGGGTTCCTCTCGCGCGGTTACCGCAGCAATGCTGAGATCTCGCGAGAGTGAACTCTAGCCCCAGTGGGGGCTAGAGTTCACTCTCCACTGGACCACCAGGGAAGGCAGGAGCACAGTCCCCCCTCCCTATATAAGGGAAGAAGGGAGGGGGGATATTAACGAAACGGCCCCTACACGTTACACACATACATCACCCTTACACACACATAACCATAGTCGTGCGCAGGGGGTGTGCCGGGTGTGCCTAGGCACACCCTAATCCCCGCGGCACATGCTCTTGCCAGCAGCTCCGCCAGGTTCCTCTTGCGCGGTTACCGCAGCAACGCTCAGATCTCGCGAGAGTGAACTCTAGCCCCAGTGGGGGCTAGAGTTCACTCTCCACTGGACCACCAGGGAAGGCAGGAGCACCCTTACACATACACACACACACAGCACACACTAACAGCACCCTTTCACACACAGCGCCTTCACACACACAGCACCTACACACACACACACACAGCAGTGTATGTATGAGTATATGTATATATATATATATATATATGTATTAAGGCAGTTTTGCCTGTATTTGTGGGAGGGGCTTAAATTAATTCACTCCCCTATATAAGGGACACCCCTTACCTGACTCATATCGCTTGAGGTCAGCAACAGAATGATTTCCACTTGCGGGTCATCCAGACGCCATTTTACCTGATTACTCCATGAGGTTTTCTAAGCTGAGCTGTGTCAGGAATCCAGCCACAGGCTTTTTTCCGGCCTACCACCTTCTTTCTTCAATCTATCGCTGTGGATGGTGTCCAAGTGACTCACAAACCGTAAGTTGACCTACCCATTACGCCAGGCATCAGTCCCACGGCACCATGCAAGGGTCAGGTCCTCACTTTACTGCTGCATTTTGTCTGTTCTAAAACCATTGCATGTTCATGCATATCATTCGTTTAAACCCCCTACTGGTCTTTGGGTGTACTACAGACTTCTTAGACATTATCGCATTTCATGTACAAACCAACGAACCACTGCATCTTTGCCTACACACTGACCCCTACCGGTCATTCGTTGTACTACAGGCTTCTCAGACATTATTGCATTTCATGTACAAACCAACGAACCACCGCATTTTTCACCTACACACTTACCCCTATTGGTCATTCGGTGTACTACAGGCTTCTTATGCGTTGTTTGCATTTTCATGTACAAACCAATAAACCACTGCATTTACACCTACACACTGACCCCTACTGGTCTTTCGGTGGACTAAAGGCTTCTTAGACATCGCATTTCATGTACAAATCAACGAACCACTGCATTTGCGCCTACACACTGACCCCTACCGGTCATTCTGTGTACTACAGGCTTCTCCGACATTATTGCATTTCAGGTACAAACCAACAAACCACTTAATTTTTCACCTACACACTGACTCCTATCAGTCATTCGGTGTACTACAGGCTTCTTAGGCATTATTGCTTTTCATGTACAAAACAATAAACCACTGCATTTTTCACCTACACACTTACACCTACCGGTCATTCAGTGTACTACAGGCTTCTCAGACATTATTGCATTTCATGTACAAACCAACGAACCACGGCATTTTCGCCTACATGCTGACCCCTACCGGTCAATCGGTATACTACAGTCTTCTCAGACTTTATTTCACTTCATAAGCAAACAAACTAACTACAGCATTTTCGCTTTTATACTGACTCCTATCTGTCATACGGTAGGATTAACCCCTTAGGGACACATGACATGTGTGACATGTCATGATTCCCTTTTATTCCAGAAGTTTGGTCCTTAAGGGGTTAAAGGGTATTTTTACCATACAATCAGCATTTATGACCCCTACTGGTCAACAGCAAAACTGTCTTCACATGTCATATACAATTTACCAGCCAATATAAATTACACATAAGATTGTTTTAACCCCTTAAGGACACAAGACATGTGTGACGTGTCATGATTCCCTTTTATTCCAGAAGTTTTGTCCTTACGGGGTTAAACATAACCATAAACCATAAATGAAACTCCAGAAAGGGCTCAAATTCAGGTTTAATTCACAATAATTTACATTTCACATCAAGACCAACAGTGGTTCTATCAACACTGCCACCTACAGGTCTGTCAAGTACATTGACAATTTTCATGGGGTTTTACAAACACCAAAACACTGACACCTATAGGTCAACAGACAAACAACATTTCACATACCAATCAGTATCCAACTACACTGCCACCTATAGGGCACTCGGCAGATCTCCAGTGCACTTGCATTTTGCAACACCATGTTCACTGACCCCTACCATTCAATAAGACATACAACAATTCACATAGCAAGCACTATATCAACATCAGGTATAAATACATATATTATTACACAGTAGCAGACGCGTCTGTATATACGTAACTGGTAATATAGTTCACATACATTTTTCACAGCACGCTGCTCACGCAACAGACTTTCCCCTAGCAAGGGGACATACAACATACAAGGTGGGGACAGACCACATTTTCACTTGTACATACGGCACTTAATGGGTTAAGATTGATACATATTTAACCAGTATGGCTACGATGTTTAATATTTACACATCATGGCACTTTACTTTTCACATATACTGTACGTATTAAGATAAGCTTGGTCTATGCCATATTTCCTTATGCCATACGGTTTTATCCATTCAGGTTACAGTTACTACTAAAAAACCTATACGGATTGTCAGGTTCAATACCATACTACCAGGTACATACACCTGCTCACGTAGTTATCCATCTCTTACCTTCCCTGGAATAGTAATAGTGTACTGGCAATTAGGGTTCTAGGGCCCAATAGGTATTACCCCCTTTTTTCTCTGCATTATGCTTCGGTTAGTGGTCCCGCGAGGCCAACACCCCGCCTCACACTCGGAGGCATACACCCCTCGGGCCACTCGTGAGCTAGCCGCCTCGCATTGTATCATAGAGAGGGCCTCACCTGTCACTCCCCTTCCTATTTTCTGGTTACTGTCACCGAGAGGCCAACATCCTGCCACAATGTTCGGTGGCCACACAAAATCCCCTCGCGCCAAGCATAGATAGAGCCTCTCAAGCCACTTGGCAACTAGCAGGGCCTCACCAGTCACCAAAAAACACCAAGCCTAATCGTTTCGCCTTACGGCTTAGCTAGCAAGCCAGTACAAGAACCCTGGGTACAAATAATTGCATCTTTATTGTTATTTAAGTATTTTTCCAAAAGATGGTGAAAAATCACCTCTTCATAGCACCCCGGATAGAATTGATACACCTTCAAGCAGAGGAGATGTTGCTAGTCCTGCAGCAATCAGATCCTGGACGATCCCACACATTACCACCGACCTAAGGAGGTGACAAATCCCCTACCCTGCTACAGCAAGGAAAGCAGAGTTATTCAAACTCCTCCATACATCAACGGACAACACGGAGGCAGGGGAAGGCCCAGCTACATCAACTCAGGTGACACCCAGGCTATGCTAGCCTCACTCATAAACTCATGAGCCAAAAAATTTTATGACAGACTGGCAATCTCGAGTTGGTCACCACAGCCCTCACAAGGCTGGGCCTCACGTTACTGTACAACCAGCACCAACCGAAACTCGGTTACCTGGTACAATCAATTCTTATGACACACAAGATGTTAACCCTGCACGTATGATCCCAGCACATTGGGGAAGCAAGGCATATATATGTATGATGATGTATCTGTGATGGTCAGATTCAGGGATTCCAGGTAAATCGGGAACTGACCATCTCTTGGATGGGTTGGTATTTGGAATATGTAGAGATGTTTATTTGTGCAGGTACCCATACAGAAGGGGTTCTGTCCCAAACAAATGGACGAGCACTCTCAGGCTCCAGGTACCAGCACCTCTGAACTACCAGAGACGATTGATATGAGTAGTTGCATTGCATATAGACTGTTGCATATATGTTCAAATGGTTCAGGGCACATGACAAACCATGTGGCCCAATACAACTTACAAATAACGTACTCACCATCTGTACACACCAATGCATTTTCAACACTACTGACTCATCACCCTTCCAGACTTGTAGTAGATTTACTAAAGCTCTGGAGCTTCAAAGGGCTCCCATACAGGTATCATAAACACACCTTCAAGGAATATAGCATGCCCTCACTTACAGTCAGCACAACAAAACCATTGGCTGAAAACACACTCATAGCCAAGATTTGCAGAGTGGTCTTCCAATCTCCACCATTTACAGCATGGCACCAAACACACACATTGGTATTGTCACAAGGAATCTTCCCTTAAACAAAGACTAACCATAGACTTATTGGCACCACACACCTCCGCTACCCCAAGTCTCAACTCCCTTCTTACTATACAACACCATTGATCTACCTTTACAGCTATCACTCAAGCATGGGTTAAAGCTTGGTTAAGTAAGACCAATATCATCAACGCAGTAAACAGCTACCATCTACCCTACACACTGGCACTTACATGGCATAAATTGGGCAATCCTTTCCCTGCTCAACTTTCGAGCTACAGATTAACCTACTATCGATATTCGCAGATACTCTGTGCTGGTTATAATAACATATCCAGAGGCATTACAGTCATACACTATCTAGAAGACTTCTTGTTGCTCAAAGAAAGCATATTTTTCACTAGAAGCCTCATGGCAGCTTAGTCTGGTTGACCACTTGGGCGTCCCAGTACCCCATAAGAAACAGAAGGCGCAGACACTATCATCACATTACTGGGCATATGACTTGAGTCGGCATCCATACACGCAAGTTACCACAAGACAAATAGGGAACATTCTCAACTAAATCAATCACTACCTCCTGCTTAGTACTTACAACTACAAGGAACTACAATCCCTACCAGGTTCCTTAATTTTGCCATGCCAATCATACCACAAGACCACGCTTTCACATCCAGAGTACTTTCCCCTTTTTTCCACACTTCCAACATGACGATCAGAGGAGGTGCCTAGACACCTCAGCAACAGCAGACCTGCACATGGGGGGGGATTTCTTAACCACTTGGCATGGTAAAAGCATGTTCCTTCCAGGATTGTCTGACACTTCTCCAACCAGATGGTCAGACGCAGCATATACCACGGGTTTGGCAGCGATCTACCGGGAACAATTGCTTTGGGGCTGTTGGCCATGGCATCCAGGTTTGGAAATTTTTCCACCACTTCAGCCCCTTTGGGAGATCTACCCCATTGTAGCAGCTGCTGTGGCATGGGGTAAATCATGGTCAGGGTCATCAATCCGTTGTTACTCAGACAACTAAGCACATATCATATCATCAACAAACGCCACTACTCATCCATAAGTTCATGATGTTTCTGGGGAACTCACTTGGTTGGCCACTTATCACATTTCACTTTCATGTACCAGACGGGGGTATACATCCCTGCCGACAACTGTGTCATTTATATTCCAGGCATGTTCATCATACGCTTCCTACAGCCGCCCATACAGTCACGTCCACTCTTTCGTTCCAGAAACAAAATCATGGATTAGACATACTCATGCAGCATAGCATGCACTATCCCACCTAGCACTTTCGTCCCATACTTGTAGAACGCATAACACAGCTTTTCACCTGGCTTAAAGAATCTCATTGGAACACGACATAACTCAACCTGTGTCACAAAATTTCTCCTAAGTTTTTGTAACGGATCGCCTGGCACCCCGACTGGGTACCTCCGTTGAAGGATGCTCCTAGCACTTCCTGAGGACTCCAAGCACTGCAGCAGACACCACAACCACCGAACCGGAGAAGCATATGAATCCTCTCAAGCATATGAATGCTGTAGACAGTTGAATAGGAACCATACGAATAGGTTTACTCTCCTAGCAGTCAAACTGGAACAGCATACAATAAATCCTTCCCCCAATAATGAGACGACACTTCACTTTGAGGGTTAAGCAGGAACTCAGGTGCTGGCACACCCAGCCTGGTTTTTATTACAGTCTTGCAAATACAGGACCGCCCACAGGGAGGTATAAAACAACCAATCACATCACAGTTACATCCCACATATTCCCTCCCCTTATCCTGAGAGGAAACTCAATTATACATACAGTTAAAACATACTTTCTACCCAACTTTCATAACTCTAAAACCATACATCACATTCACATAAAATTACATATTCACAATCAATCCATTCAGGGGAACAACATATTAAAAAATGGCACAAATCAGACAAGGGGTTCAAAAGTTAGTAAAAAGTCCTTTGTGACTAAATGAAGCATGGCTTTCTGGCCCAAACCAGTTTCAGAGTCTTCTATCCTGGAGATAAGTAATTCAATTATCTCCCAGGACAGACACAAGACTCCATTAAGCACATGGTTGCAAAAAGACACAAAACACTTTAAAATACATAAAGTCACATTTACACATAACACACAGACATTTCACATATCCCCAGATAGCTGGGATCTGAGTGCACATTATTAGATGAATGGCACTCAGATCACACAAATAAGCCTTTCTGCAGGGGAAATAAACGGTTTAACCTGCAGGGCCATAGTCCAAAGGGAGCAGGCGAGCAACCAGGCTTCTCCAGTTCACAGTGGCGAGGTTGGTTTCGCCACACTTCTCCCCTTTACCAACTAGACTAACAGGGTATCTGACCTCCTGCCGGTCAGTGCCCTGGTTAGTCCAGCAACCCACCCACAAAACAGAAACAGCAGTACAGCCCACCCACAATAACTGGTTACTACACCTGGGTAGAGGAGAACTTTGTCCATGTCCAGGTGCCTCACCACGACTGTGTGGGCAACTGTTAGGCTGCCTTGGTGGGTTGCTGAGTGGGCAGAGACCAGCGGTACTCTGCCCTGATGCCAGTGCTACCACGGAAGTAGCCTGGTGGGAGCCTGGTTGTGGGAGGGAGAGACCGACTGTCTCCCCTCTGGATACACCGCTCTGTGGCTGGGGAACAGGACCGACTGTCCCTACCCCTTGTGCTGTAAGTGCAGAGACTACAGTTCCATCTGCACTGTTGGGGGGTGTAACATCTCCCCTTGCTGGGTTAGGCTGCCGCTGGAGAGAGGGTGTAACAAGCTCCTCTCTCTGAACTGTAAACTGCCGCTGGGGAGAGGGGGTATCAGGCTCCTCTCCCTGACACTCTCTCTGCTGGTGGAGAGGGGGACCAGCTGTCTCCCCTTTCATTATTTTGTCCTGTGGTTGGGGTGCGAGACTGACGGTCTCTGCTCCCTGCAGGACACTCTGCCGCTGGGGAGGAAGGATTGCACCTTCAGCTCCCTGGGGTACACACTGCCGCTGGGGAGGAAGGACTGCACCTTCAGCTCCCTGGGGTGCACACTGCTGCTGGGGAGGAAGGACTGCACCTTCAGCTCCCTGGGGTACATACTGCCGCTGGAGATCTGGGCCGACCGCCCAGCATCCCTGTAGGGCCGGTTGAGAGACCGCCGTCCCATCTCCACCTGCCATCTGTGGGTCTTCCCAGGACCAGTCTGTGAGGTCCCTCAACATTTGCGAGTAAGGACCACCTGCTTCCGCACCTGGCAACTCCGGCTGCTGCTGGGGATCTGGGCCGGTCCCATCTCCACCTGCCTGTTGTGGTTCCTCACAGGACCAGTCTATGAGGACCCCTACTTCGGGTTCCTGCGGCCGCCTCAGGGGGAGACGGCTAGCCTCCTCGGATGCAGCCTCTACTCGGCTGCTGTAACACTCCTTCCGCTGAGCATACTCTCTCTCTTTCGCCAGCCGGAATTCTCGGGCCAGCCTTGTGTTTCGCTCGGCCGTGACCTGGTTCCAGATCACCCGGCGTACCTCCATGGGTAAATCATCCCCATACTGGGCCACTCGCTGCCTCACCTCGGCCATCCAATCATCGCCAGAGCCTTCCATACTTGTCTGCTCCAAGTCGCTGGATACCTCTGCTCCCAGGGTCGCTGCACGTGTGCTAGCGTTGCCCTCAATTTGTAACTCCACGAACGGTGTCTCTGAGCTGCTTTACCTCGCACTAGGACGCCATCCCACCGCTTGCCACCAATGTAACGGATCGCCTGGCACCCCGACTGGGTACCTCCGTTGAAGGATGCTCCTAGCGCTTCCTGAGGACTCCAAGCACTGCAGCAGACACCACAACACCGAACCAGAGAAGCATATAATCTCTCAAGCATATGAATGCTGTAGACAGTTGAATAGGAACCATACGAATAGGTTTACTCTCCTAGCAGTCAAACTGGAACAGCATACAATAAATCCTTCCCCCAATAATGAGACGACACTTCACTTTGAGGGTTAAGCAGGAACTCAGGTGCTGGCACACCCAGCCTGGTTTTTATTACAGTCTTGCAAATACAGGACCGCCCACAGGGAGGTATAAAACAACCAATCACATCACAGTTACATCCCACATATTCCCTCCCCTTATCCTGAGAGGAAACTCAATTACACATACAGTTAAAACATACTTTCTACCCAACTTTCATAACTCTAAAACCATACATCACATTCACATAAAATTACATATTCACAATCAATCCATTCAGGGGAACAACATATTAAAAAATGGCACAAATCAGACAAGGGGTTCAAAAGTTAGTAAAAAGTCCTTTGTGACTAAATGAAGCATGGCTTTCTGGCCCAAACCAGTTTCAGAGTCTTCTATCCTGGAGATAAGTAATTCAATTATCTCCCAGGACAGACACAAGACTCCATTAAGCACATGGTTGCAAAAAGACACAAAACACTTTAAAATACATAAAGTCACATTTACACATAACACACAGACATTTCACATATCCCCAGATAGCTGGGATCTGAGTGCACATTATTAGATGAATGGCACTCAGATCACACAAATAAGCCTTTCTGCAGGGGAAATAAACGGTTTAACCTGCAGGGCCATAGTCCAAAGGGAGCAGGCGAGCAACCAGGCTTCTCCAGTTCACAGTGGCGAGGTTGGTTTCGCCACAGTTTTGCTTATTTTTGCCACCTTAAACTCTCTCATACACCATTAATTATATATTTTACAGGCATTCAACAACACATGATAACCTATGGCCAAAACTACCATAAACTTCATGCTATCATACCAGAAAAGAATATACTCAGAGGTTTTCGGGAATCCATTCCCCCACGTTCCTCTCAGAGATTACCAAATAGCCATCCAACTGTTCATCCTTATCGGACCTATTAGATCTACAACCATTCAATTATACTACCAAGTCGGCCATTACCAGCCATGCACATTGCCTTTTCTGCCTTTCTCAGGCCAGAGAATCCACTACCATCACCACCACTCAGACAGATCATTGTCTTCAACGATCCCACGTACGTAAACACATATATCATTACCTATTGGCTCTACCACATTCCGAAATGAGTCAACATGCACCAACAGTAGAGATAACATACTATCCTACCCACAACAAATGGTGCCCACTTTCGGTCCTAGATTCCTACCTTCAAAATCCTTTCAGGAATTAAATACTGTAATGCATTTAAGGAAATGTCTGGTTAATTTGTATATATTTGTTGACTGTATTAAATCTTTGATTATTCATTTTTGCCCTCTTTATTTACAGGCCTACCGTATCGTCGGTATCGGCACACCACAACCGACTTGCTCCCTTTACACTATTCTAAGCTTATGCTGGATCCTTACTCCATATATGGCTATTTTGCCCCTTACACAAGTATTAAGGCAGTTTTGCCTGTATTTGTGGGAGGGGCTTAAATTAATTCACTCCCCTATATAAGGGACACCCCTTACCTGACTCATATCGCTTGAGGTCAGCATCAGAATGACCCTCCCACCCACTCCTCATTTCAACACTTTCTCTTTTCTTTCCATTTACTTTACTTTCTTACTCCTTGGTGGGCCCTCTTTATTTACAGGCCTACCGTATCGTCGGTATCGGCACACCACAACCGACTTGCTCCCTTTACACTATCCTAAGCTTATGCTGGATCCTTACTCCATATACGGCTATTTTGCCCCTTACACAAATATATATATAATATATATATATATACGCGGCGTGTGTGTTTCTGCTTTAGGGTGCACACCCTTATACAATAGGCTGCGCACGCCTATGAGTCTAACAATATTTTAGCACAGTGTTATCACTGAGCTATTCTATATGTGTTTGAGATCTGATCCAAAATATAAAAATGCATCCGCAATGGACATATTATTCTCAAACTAGGATATGAAATGGCCACAAAGCTCAAAGAGGCTATACCCCCCAGTAATCCAATGAAGCAGTCCATATGTTCCTTAATCCAATATAATCGATCTAGTAGAACAACCCACAAAGGCAACCCGCTCAATGAATGATATTGTGTCTTGTTTTGCTAATTTCATTTATTTCTGTGTGGAGTTTTATTTGTTTATTTAATTCAGTATAGTTACACAGTTAGATAGGCTGAAAAGAGACACGTGTCCATCAAGTTCAATCTTCCTCACACCTGATTTTTGCCGTTTTTGTGGTTGATCCAAAAGAAGGCAAAAAAAACAGTTTGAAGCACTTCCAATTTTCAACAAACTAGGAAAATGATTTCTTCTTTACCCCAGAATGGCAGTCAGATTTATCCTTGGATCAAGAAGCTGGTTACCCTACAATTGAAAAACTATATCCTGTATGCTTTTATGGCGGAGTTATTATAACCATTTTAGTATGAAATAACGGAAGCCACATTGAGATTTAGTAATTTGCCAATATTGTATTATTTATGTGCAGCGTTTCTGTATTCACATTTCACATTTTACCAGTAATGCCACAGGGGTAAGTAGATGCTGCCCTAACCTTATTAGTATCACTTACCTGCATCGCCGCTGCTCATCTGGTACCAGAAACTCAGACACCCCTGCTGGGGCTGTGCGCTGTGCCAACCTGACGTGAGCGTGGCGGTCTTCTTCTTTGGCAAGGCACCAGTGCTGGTATCCACAACCGCATAATGCCCTGAGAACATAAACAGGAAGCTATTAAAGAAAGCCATGTTGAGTCGCAGCCACCCAACCCCATCAGTCGAAAACTCCAACAATTTGCATGCCTCTTATTAATTCCTTGCTTATAAAGCTTTTATTTGGTTGTTTTTGTAGAGTAAATTTTGTCCTTAGCATTTGCTCACCCCACCATACATCCCTCAACATTCTTTAGCCAAAAAGTGTAGATATCCCCTGCTTAATCACAGGTGTACCTGCATGTTCAGAATATCGGTAACAAAGAGAAACAGGTCCACTGTCCTGGATAAAAAGTCTTAATAAACTGAATCAAAGATAGCTCAGAGAGATCAAATGAAAGCTAAGATGCAAGTGTCCTTAACATTGGGGACTCCGTTACTATGTATTATTTATGTTACTTACAATTGTAAAATTAACGAAAATGATATGATGTGATCGTTTATCACCTGTCTGTCAACCTTTATCCTTCTGTTCTCATCCTCAAAGATTTAGAATTTAGAACATATAAAAAAATAAATTTTTAATGAATAAATCCGATACCATAAAAATACAAATATTAAAGCATTCTGATGCTGCCTGGTAAGGATATTTATCAAATTATTCAACATCCTTTTGAACTCTGATCAATACCACCTTCAGTCAAAAGTCTACTCAATCTGTCATACAAGAGGAATGAGTGTTACATTGCTCAATGTTTTCAATCAGAGCATCGGTGGAGATCGAAGTGGGTTCCCATTACCTGTGAGAGCCTGCAGGGTGTGATCGAGAAATGGTCCTGTGTGGGCTCTGGCTTGGGTGCCCTGCTGTATCTTCCACTGGTATGTCCCCTCAGTGGTGAAACCACAGAATCCAGCCTCAAAGGAGCAGCGCCTGGGGGCAGCGCAATACCCACTTGTCAGAGTAATATCATCAACTGAAATTTGTCCCACTGAGCCATCCCGTACAGCGTCAAGGTACAGCTGCCAAAGGAAAAAAGAGACAGAAGCACAGTTTGGGATAGTGTCTACAAAAGTGACTTCTATAAAGATTTTAGAACGATAAATAAGTCAGACAACATGAAAAATACAATATTTATGTACAGATTGCTGTTCTCCAATACTTAAATTAAATGAAAATACATACTTTTACTTTTTTTTGTCTATGTTCTGTTGATATGTTCTTCGCAGGAGAGATATAAAGTATGATAGATTGCACAACATGAATGATTTGATACAATTGTTTCCATCAGGTTCAGAAAAATTTAATTTTTTGTAATGGTATGGTATTTCTGGGAATGGCAATTCCTAAAATGCCAGCAGTATACAAACAGTAAGTCTCTATTTGGTTTTAATGTCCTCACAGGTTAAAGACAGTTCTTCATCTGCATGAAACAAAGGGTCTGACACAAACCTAGGTCGGAAATCGGCTTCTCTGCTGGGTCAGGAACAGTACATGAGCACAGAGGAAGATGAGTGATTTCAATTGTCTTTGTTTTCATGTTCTCGTCTGGTATCAGTATTTTTCACAAAAACAAAAAATGGAAATAACGCCAGTGCAAGCATCCAAAATCCACAGGAGGTTTAATGGGCACAAAACAAAAAGTAACAAACGGAGCAAGGTCACACCAAACACGTAACACATTTCAGACCTACAGGTCCTTAGACAGAGGAGTCTGTATCAGTTGACTTTATTTCAAGCTCCATTCAGAAGAAGTTGGTAATTTATCCCCTCTGCATCGCCTTACCTGGTACTTCTTGTTGATATTTGCGAGTGTGACAGACTCGTGGTGCCACCGATTGCCATGGGTACCTTTGCCAGTCCAGAGTAGCTGCTCTTCCTCGCCATCAAATTTAATAAACAGGTTCAACGAGCCTAGAGTTAGTGAAATGGCCACTTTTATACAGGTCAACGTATGATAAAACAGGACATGCACTTTGTAGATATCGTGGAGAAATATTTAGATATTACAATATATACAGTTTTGAAAAAATCTATCCCTCTTCCATTTAATACCCAAACGTTCTCCCAGAGACAGATTAACATCAGCGCAGACCTTCATGTCAGGTTTTCATTTATACCAAAGAACTGCAAGGCCTTTCCACTTCTAATTTGGGGTGAAGGGGACAATTCTTAGAGTGAATGGGAGGTTTCTTGATGATAAATTTTAGAGTTGACCCCTTCTTCAGTACAGGTAAGTTGACAAAGTATGAAATCCTAACAAGTTCAAACCAGCATCATGCTGGGCAAGCCACTCACAAGTCTTCCTGATGAGCCTTTAAAAGGCCAATATTTCGATATTTTAGGGGATGCCTCACTTTTAGAAAGTTCCCACATACTGGCCAGTGTGCAGCACTCAATGGGTAGCAAAGCTACAAAGGAAGATGTTTATATAAAGATGCTATGGATAACAAGATTTATTTTCAACCTCCTACCTTCTTAGAGATCCAGACATGGTCTTGTCAATGCAGGGCCGGATTAACATAGGGGCTGATGGAGCTGCAGCTCCAGGCCCAGGCCCATGGAATAGGCCCATTTAAAATAAATTTTAAAAAAAATTACTTTTTTTTGTTTTTTTGTTTTACACACTCTTCTTAGGTTTGCCACCTGACTGGTATTTTACTGGCACAGCCGATATTTGAGGCTGCCTGGCTGTGCCGGTATTGCAGTAATATCGGCAATACAATTGCAGGTGTTTTTTTTTTTTAAAACAGAGATTATTCTGCAATACCAGCACCGACCAGTAGGGGTCACTGTGTGTGGAGAGAGGCAGGGATAGGAAGTTACAGCAAATCCCTGCCTCTCTCTACAATTTACTGATCCGTGGGGGAGCAGCTACACAGCACAGAGACTCCAGACAGCAGCTGTACAGCTCAGGTAAGTGAGGGATGGGGGTAAAGGGACTAGGGGACACATGAGGACACAGACACACTTGGGGACACTGAGACACTAGGGGACACCGTGAGAGATGGGGATGCTGTGAAACATAGGGACATTGAGAGACACAGACATTGGGACACGGAGACACTAGGCACACAGTATCCCCATGTCTCCCAGTGTCCCCCAGCCAGTGTCCTTAGTGTCTCAGTGTCCCAATGTCTCCCAGCCAGTGTCCCCATGTCTCCCAGTGTCTCCAAGTGTTTGTCTCCCAGTTAGTGTCCCCATGTCTACCAGTGTCCCCATGTCTCCCAGTGTCTGTGTTCCGATATCTGCGTCCCTAGTGTCTTAGTGTCCCCAAATGTTTCAGTGTCCCCAAATGTCTGTGTCCCCATGTCTCCTAGTGTCCCCTTGTCTGTATCCACAAGTGCCCCCATGTCTCCCAGTATCCCGAAGTGTCTCAGTGTCCCCATGTCTCACTGTGTCCCCTAGTATCCTAGTGACATGGGGACACACTGAGACATGGGGATACACTGAGACATGGGGACACTGGGAGAAATGGGGACACTGGGAGAAATGGGGACACTGGGAGACTAGGGGACTGGGAGACATGGGGACACTGACACTGTGATACATAGGGATACTGGGTGACTTGCGAGACTGAGACACTGGGAGACAGGGAGACACTGGGAGCAATCCATCTATGTAGCAGAATCAAACTATGAGTAGTTTGTTGGTGATTTTACAGAATTTTCTCTTATGTCACTACTTGTGATTTACATCGTGATGCCAAGCATAACTAATTAATTATACAAATGATTAAGGCTGGTATTTTTTTCCCCAAGAATGGTTGTAACCCTAACAACTCTTCACATACTCTTGCTTAACCCCTTAAGGACCAAACTTCTGGAATAAAAGGGAATCATGACATGTCACACATGTCATGTGTCCTTAAGGGGTTAAAGGAACACTAAAGGGTCAGGAACACAATTATGTATTTCTGACCCTATTATGTTAAAACCACCATCTAGCCCCTCTTGCCTTCCTAAATATAGTAAAATCATACTTGTATTCAAGTCTGTAGCTGCTGGCTCTGCCTCTGAACTGACTTTGTCTGCTGGCATCATCAGAAGTGGTGGTCTGAGCCAATCACAATGCTACCCCATAGGATTGGCTGAGACTGTCAAGGAGGCCATTCAGGGGCAGAGCCAGCACAATTCAAACACAGCCCTGGCCAATCAGCATCTGCTCATAGAGATAAATTGAATCAATGCATCTCTATGAGGAAAGTTCCGTGTCTGCATGCAGAGGGTGGAGACACTGAATGGCAGTACTGCCCCAGGAAGCACCTCTAGTAGCCATCTAAGGAGTGGCCAGTGGAGTTATTGTCTCTGAAAAGACAGTGTTTACTGCAAAGAGCCTGAAGGGAATGATTCTACTTACCAGAATAAATACAATAAGCTGTAGTTGTTCTGGTGACTATAGTGTCCCTTTAAGTTTGGAAGCTTAAGAGGGATGTATGGGAACAAAACCTGTGTGGACTGGCTGACAATAAAATTAGTTTAGGTAATGCAGACTTTTGTCTCTCTAACACTGTGGCATGTCCCCTTTTTTCTACACTCACTACATACACCTTTACTCTGTCCCAGACTATATACCAGGAACTTCTGCCTGCTAGTAAGAAGGTAAGGAGACAAGTGGACCAGTGAGTGCTAGGGGACAGTCCTTAGAAAGCGTTGAGTGAGCGCATCATTTGATGCATTTATGTCAAGCTCAGGGTGCTGCCTGCATAGTATGCCCTTAGTTGGACAGCCTGCATGGTTGGCAGGCAGCCTGACATGCATTCATACCAGGCTGGCCTTCCAATTCTTTGGACAAACAATGCCCTCTTTTTGGGCATGTTCTCCCCTTTTGGCAGGTCTGGTCACGTGATTTGCACCAGTGGCACACCCTTTTACCCCGCACATTGACTTCCAGCTTCACTGGACACTGCTGTTAGGGGGTATGGATTTACTTGAAAGATGAAAGCATAAATTAGAGAGAGATTAGCATAGAGTATGTGGTTTCTTATAGCTGCATCCTTTGAGTTTCCCTCCAACACCATCTCCATCAGATACATGATGCTTGGGAGGTATGATTGTTTTAGTGTTTTTGGTCGATAAGATACTGTAATTAAGCCCATCATAATTGTAAGCACCAGGCCCACTGGGCTCTTAATCCGGCCCTGCTTGTCAATATCATGTTATCTCCCATAAGGATGTCACATGCCACTCTACAAACAAACTCCACTCATGGGATAATAAAAAACAGAATGGACGTACCTGCATCTGGGCCCCATATACGGTAATAGAATGACAGACACTGGGTACTGGAATCCACGGATTGTGGGTAAGATATAAGACGGGCTTTCGTTCCCCGATCCATACGCGATTCCCCAGTCACATGCAGGCATTTGCCTAATGATTATATCCAAACAAATTATTAGAAAACTGACATTCTCTAACATGTCCAGTATCACTGCGCAAATGGGCTGCGTTGTACTTGTTATCAAAAAGTAAGCCCTCCCATTCCTTCACACAAACATATAGCACTAAACTCCCTAATCATCAGTGCTGACTTCATTCTTTCTCCATTTACTCTGTGAATATCTGCCTTAACAAATTCATAGATAGCGAGAAGAATCAATATTTTCTACTATGGGCTTGGTGCAGAATTCTGCCAGGATTTTAAAGTAAAGGTAAATGTTGATAGATTTATACCAGCAGACAGTGAGACACCTTTCCTTTCCAGGATCTGGTAGATATTGAATTGAATTGCTTTGAGAGATTAACTTGGACACTGAGAGGCTTTGAGAAATTTAAACTAACATGTTAACCTCTCAGGTCAAACCTGTCTCATGAAGGAGTATTCAATATTTCAAATATATCCTGACACTTTGGGTCTATTGAATAAGCTAATATTTGTGCATAATTGACATGGGCAATGCACAACTGTAGATAAAATTTTACAAATGGAAAAGGAAAAAGATGATAAATAATTTTCCCAGTTTTGCTACTTTAGACTAAAACGTACCGTATTTCTCTCCATGCTCCACATTCTCTTGTTTTTTCACTAAAAAGTGAATTGCAGTGAACCGCAAAATTAAGGGCAATTTTCTGATTAGGAAAAATTCTCCATCTCATCGCTAGTGATAGTGAATAAACTTGAAACTGAATTTCACCTTTTATTCCACCATCCATTTAAACTACGATTTCTACATGCTTCTCCCTGAGTTACAAGTGTCTAGATTTAGGGGACTTACCGTTACCAGTGGTGTGATCAAACAGTTCACCAAGTTCCCAATTAATCTCATCGGTCGGATTCTGGTACCAGCCACAGAGCCCCATCTCAAAGTTACAGGTCAGCGCTAGTAAAACCATCAGTTACAAAGCATTATGGGAGAGGTATTTGTACAATCTTCACTTACAAAGTATATTCCATGACAGGTACTGCTAATTTTGGCATCTCAAATGTAGTCTAGCATCATGGGGAATGCAGTTCCCACACACATATGGGGGGGGGAGGTTAGTGATCATTGTTTGTTAGGACGTTTCTCTCAAATCCCAGAGGGACACATTTAATTATCCAAACATTTTTATTGGAAATTATGCAGAGTTACATCTTATCTTGCCACACCATTTAATAATTGTACCAACTTACCCCTTGCCCTACAGACATCCCTTACTGTTCTAACTAGCCTCTGCAGTTTAATACTCACTAAGAATTGTAGAGACAGTGATGGCTGACCTTGCCAAGTATCAGTCTTAGGTAGGTGGGATAAATTATTATCACAAACCTTGTAATGTCTGCTGTACAGTCTATTAGCTCAGAGTAAGAGATAACTTTTTAGCCCTCATTTATATAGAAACATATACAATCACTTGTGTGAACTGTGTGTATCTAAACTACAACTAGCGCATGTACAACTAGAACATAAATTGTAAGTAAGAATACCTGTGTCACTAGGGATCGTCTTGCATTGCAGAAACTGTATCTCATCGACCGAGGCCGCCCACCTTTCTCCAGAAAGAGGGTCCATAAATGCAGACAGAACCAACTGAAACCAGAAACCCAAAGCCACTAGAAGATACCAGTCAGACATCACAGAGAAAGAACACCCCCAGTTTTATACAGGAATGTAAGTCCCATAATTTAAAATGAAACTACATGGTATACTAAGTATTCCGAGCATGTTTTCGGTGTAATACTTGGCTTATTGACCCCCTGATGGTCTTAGTAGGGCACCAAGTGTGATCCTTAATGTTAGTGTGCAGAATGTTACAGATCAGGAGGTAAAGGCCATATCGCTATTATGGGCTCTGTACCTGGAATGGCTGCGTCCTCTCTCCCAAGGGAATCACCACCGATCTCCATGACTCATCCTGCTCCTCGCTGTACCAGACGTGGCTATGGGTATCCTGCTCCAGGTCCCAAACACGTACCGAAAGGGAGCCTGCGAACAGCAACACTCAATGGTAACTTCCACAGCCACATAATCCCACCAAGTCTTCTCCTTATGGATTATTTTATGAAATAAAGGTTTCGTTGGACAGATTGGATTACTGTGACACTTCAGTCAAAGGACCATGTGCAGTATATTAAAATATCAATGTGTAATTACATTCTAATGTAACCCAGCTACAAAGATTATCTTTTTGGGTTTCTGAGGGCCCGGTTTATTCCCTTGCTGACTGATCCTGGGAGCCCAGGGGGGAATTTCCTCCAATAATGCATGTCTGGCCCTGGTAAAATAATAACTGGTTGCCATGGCATTCTGATGGTAATGGTTTTCCAAGCACTGTGTTCCCACCTTCCACCCTTAAGACATTTGCTTTGCAGTCTCTCCTGGTAGACTGATGTCATTTAATGACACCAAAATCCTGTCATGTGTCATTTTATGTCACTGTACATAAAAAGTCATTTAATTTCACTGATAAAAAACTTATATCATACTACCTCACAGTACACACCCTCCACCATCGATATACATCCCTATGGATTTATGTAATAAAGAATTTAAAATAATTTAAAAATTAATAATTTATAAACAATTATATTAAATAGAGCAAAGCCTCTATAGAGCTGTTACTCTATGCCCTAGGCCTGTGTCTATCGGCCTGGTCTGAAATTGGATTATTGGTTATTCAGAATTTTGGTTCCCTGATTCAGCTTTCTATTAGATTATCTTCCGCTTGAAACCCATATGCACTTCACTTGTTTGCAGGAATTTCTCGTTAACCCTCTGGTGGGTAAATGCTATGTAGGACTAATGATAAATGGGGTTTTGGGGCTCTCTAACTCAGTCTGTTCTGTGTTCACCTCCCAGAAGGTACCTGTTGGTCCACTGTTGAAGTAGTAGGTCATGTTGATAGCACACGCAGGCCCGGTGGAACAGAATGTGGGGCTGTGAATTACGGCATTGGTTAGAAGGTTCCCCTCACTGCTTGTCACCAATAGGCACCCTGAAAGAGAGGAGAGCACTTACCTACCAAGAATCATGACCTGGAACTGGGTGTAGGCATGCTATGGTAGGTGCTCAGATCTGGTGCTGCAGATTCCCTGCACACTGTCCCAAAGTCAGGTCTCAGATACTCAGGATTCAATCTCTATTAGTGTGTTCCCAGGTAGGAGGTCACGAGGTCACCACCAACAACACGGTTACAACCTGATTAACCCGAATCCTAAGGATTATGCTGCACCAAGCTGACAATTTAGGAAGTCCAGATTCCGAGGACCATGAATATTTAAGCAGCGCTAACTGTTGGTTAAAGCACATTTATCTGCCTTGACTATATGATTTGCGTATATTTGCAAAGGTTGCGAAATTCAGAAGAAGAAAAGGTGCTTGTCACAAAGTCTAAAACATTCGTGACTCGCTGTGTTTCCTGGAAATATGAAGTAGTCTAATAAGATAAATATTAACTATATACCCATAAATTCTGAAATATCCCAATAAAGTGAGGGTTTAAACATAAAATCAATACCAAATTGCTCCAATAAAAAACGAAAATAAAATCCTCTTAATTGCTATCCCTGATATTGAAATGCCTATCCCAACTTATCAAATTGTCAAAAAGATCCTCTATTTGAGAGGTCTATTAATTTGCTACATGTAATCACAAGTCTTTGTGGATAGTTTAATTATCTCTCATCCAGTAAATCACCTCAGTGAAAAAATAAATAAATAAATAAACAATAAAAATACAATCTATATATAGTATAGCAGATAGAACTTGTCCCTATAGAGGTGCAACTGGAAGTAGATTAAGAAATATTCCTCATAGAAACCATGATGCTTAGAGTGCTCAATGGTATATCTACGGACAGATTATTAGAGTATAGAGCTGTCAGAGAGTTAAGATGAAGGAAGATAGAGGGTATAGTTAAAGAAGTATACTGTATATAAATCTTGCAATGAAAATAATCAATACCTCACTTCCTATGTCCATCTAGAGGGTAATGGAGCAAACTAAATAGAATGTTATGAGTAACGAGAAAAACCCATGTGAGGCAGGTCTAATACCATGCCGTGCCAAGTGTTAAGTGCCCATTAAATGAAAATAAAAAAAGGAACGCCTGACGCGCGTTTCGGTGCTGTAAGGGAAGCACCTTCGTCAGAGGAAAGCGAACTGCTAAAAAGAGAGGTTTTATATACCTTAGTCCTCAGTATCTGAGTCATCAACCCTCCAATCAAACTGGTGTATTCACAGAGGTGTGTCCGGTATTAGTTTCTCCTCGGTCACTCTGTTATTAGATCTTGCGCCAAATCCTCCGATGGGCGGGGCTAGCATACTTACGTATTGTAGATGGGCGGTAATAGGGTAAATATCAATCAAAATATCCAAATCCGCCCACATGATGGAACTGATACTAGGTGACGTGGGGGCTAGCTCCACCTCCTTATATGTTAACTATAGTGGCGAACAAAAGAGTATCAATATGTACCCTGATCGTATCATGTACAGATGAAACAAAACAGATACACTTAGCAGTTCGATGTAAAGTGTATCTCTCTTGTACAAGGATTTGATACATTATTGTGCCAAAAGTTAAAAATATGTGTAAATAAGATGGTCCCTTCCTATATTGATTATGATAGGATCATAGAAATTATACTGATACTAAATCAAAGGGAAAGGGACTCAAGATTTCTAATAGTCTTATTTATTTTACTTTACACATATTAGTGAAATTTTTTTTTTTTTTAAAAAAGCAATGCAAAAAGGTAGGAGAAGAGGGATTATCAGAACCTCATTTACTTTACTACACGGCTGGAGCATCATCACATGTGGTTGGTGCTCAGCAGTGACTAGCTATCATATATATATATATATTGGTTGTGAAATTCAGACAGAATCCTTTAGGATTTGGATTTTATATGTTTTCCAATGATGCTCTCCTGTGTGGCAGTTATATATTTTATTTAATTGCATTGTTACCTATATCTTAATGTTTTGTGTACTGTTTTGAATGCATCACAATAAATTAAATGTAGCGTTATTAAAGGATAGTCCCAGATTAAACATGAATAATTGATCCAGTTCCTTTTGGAACTATGTGAGACTGTGTTCCTTACCAGAAGCCTAGTGACAGAGTCTAAGGGTCTTTTTTTGTGACAGCATTGCTCCCAGGTATTCAGGATCAGCTAAAGAGTCGAAGAACCTGTAGGTAAGGAGCTAGGCCTTAGTGCCAAGAAGCATCTTTATAAAGGCGGTGCCAGGAGTGGGCAGAGGGATCACTTCCTGTCTGAGAAGACAAAGCCGGCAGAGGGATCGCATCCTGCCTGAGAGGACGGAGCAGGCAGAGGGATCGCATCCTGCCTGAATGGACGGAGCGGGCAGAGGGATTACTTCTTGTCTGAGAGGATGGAGCAGGCAGAGGGGTCGCTTCCTGTTTGAAAGGACGAAGCAGCAGAGGGAACGCTTCCTGTCGGAGTGGACAGAGTGGGCAGAGGGATTGCTTCCTGCCTGGGAGGACAGAGTGGGCATGGAGTGGGCAGAGGGATCACTTCCTGTCTGAGAGGAAAGAGCATGCAGAGGGATCTCTTCCTCTTTGGATGGATGGAGCAGGCAGAGGGTTTGCTTCCCGTCTGGACGGTTGGAGCAGGCAGGGGGATCGTTTCATGCCTGGGAAGACAGAACGTTCAGAGGGATCACATGATGCCTGGATGGACGGAGCGGGCAGAGGGATCGCTTCCTGTCTGAGTGGACAGAGCGAGCAGAGGGATCGCTTCCTGTCTGAGTGGACAGAGCGGGCAGAGTGATCGCTTCCTGCCTAAGAGGACGAAGCAGGCAAGGGGATCGCTTCCTGTCTGAGAGGATGGAGCGAGCAGAGGGATCACTTCCTGTCTGAGAGGATGGAGCGAGCAGAGGGATCACTTCCTGTCTGAGAGGATGGAGCGGGCAGAGGGATCACTTCCTGTCTGAGAGGATGGAGCGGGCAGAGGGATCACTTCCTGTCTGAGAGGACGAAGCAGCAGAGGGATCACTTCCTGTCTGAGAGGACGAAGAAGCAGAGGGATCACTTTCTGCCAGGACGGACGGAACGAGCAGAGGCATTACTTCCTGTCTGAAAGGATTACTTCCTGTCTGGAAGGATTACTTCCTGTCTGGAAGGATTACTTCCTGTCTGGAAGGATTACTTCCTGTCTGGAAGGATTACTTCCTGTCTGGAAGGATTACTTCCTGTCTGGAAGGATTACTTCCTGTCTGGAAGGATTACTTCCTGTCTGGAAGGAGGGAGCAGAGGGATTACTTCCTGTCTGAGAGGACGGAGCGGGCAGAGGGATCATTTTCTGCCTGGAAGGACGGAGCGAGCAGAGGGATTACTTACTGTCTGAGAGGTTGATTGGGATACGCCTTTGGTATTGGTTACAAGTCACAGTATATAATATAATACAATGAACTGTTTCAAGATTTCTTTACCTGGAAATGTTGTGGATCCTGTCCCCCATCTTTGCGTTCCGATACTAAAATCCACCCATCCATCATCTCCAGCCTCGAAGTCAAACCTTTCTATGGGAAAGAAGCAGGTACACAGCAATTATTAAAAGGTCATTTTTACCCGGAACATACATATTATATATAGCAGCATGGGATTACCTGGTACCTCCTTACATGTCTCCTTTGTGTTGATACGGGCGTCGTTTTCTACAGATAATAAACTCTGAATTTGTATCATAGGATTCAAACTGTAAGTCTCTGAAAAGATAGAAAACAAATATTCACCAACATGAGCTGGAAGATAACACAGCAAATCAATGTTATATTGGACATAAAATGCATTGAGCAAAATAGATAATGTGAGTGCCAAAATATTTCATAGCCATAGCAGAGAACATGGGAAAATGAGTTAATTCAGAGAATCTGCACATTCGCCCAGATAATCTCCGCATTCACCCTGAGAATCTGCCCATCACTCGTCCTGTGAATTTCCGCATTCACCCTGAGAATCTGCCCATCACTCGTCCTGTGAATTTCCGCATTCACCCTGAGTATCTGCCCATTACTCGTTCTGTGAATCTGTGCATTTACCCTGTGAATCTGTGCATTCACCCTGAATCTCTGCATTCACCCTCAGAATCTGCACATTCACCCTGAGAATCTCCCATTAATCATCCTGATCTGGTATCTCACAGTATCAGTTTATTCTCTCCTTTCAGTCTTACCGTTTACATTACAATCAGGAGACAGGATAAGGTCATCCAGAGCGATAATGGCATCAGTCCCAGAGGCAATGTTAGCTCGGATTATAATCTGGGGAGGAGATGAAGTTATACAACAGACACACTATATAAAGGCAGTCACACTCACAGCCTGTATTTATTTATAAATGATCGCTGGCTACAGTATCCATGGATTTCCCATAATGCACCATGGGGAGATGCTCAGGGTACCATTTTATAGGGATCCCAGAATATACAGACCCAGCCCTTATCTTGTTTGTGTGCCATTATAGGGTTATTATAATTTTAATCATACAGCACCAGCATATTCCATAGCGTTGTACAATAGCGTGTCATTGGTTTTGAACGTTACCTGATAGGTGTCACTGATAGCGGGGAGGTGAACGCTCTCTCGCAGCCACACATTGTCGCGCGGTCCTTGGATAACCTTGGCTTGCACTATGGTAGCCTGGTTGGATAAGCGATAACCGATAACCAGGCGGCTGCTGTTTGATCCGTCCATCATATAATACAAAACAAGCTGCAAACACACAGGATGCATCGGAAATGACTGTCAGAATATTTGACATACATCATGGGGGGGAACCAGGGAATTACAGAAGACCCCAGCAGTAAATCTGTAATATTAATACCAGATATAGTATTAGGATAGATTTACTGCTGGGGTCTTCTGTTAATCTTATAGAGAGGAGAGATAGCTGTGTGCTATAGTAAGGTGAGGGAGTAAGGGTGTACACATTATAGAGAGGAGGAGAGATAGCTGTACACATTATAGAGAGGTGGAGAGATAGCTGTACGTGTTATAGAGAGGAGGAGAGATAGCTGTACACATTATAGAGAGGTGGAGAGATAGCTGTACACATTATAGAGAGGAGGAGAGATAGCTGTACACATTATAGAGAGGAGGAGAGATAGCTGTACACATTATAGAGAGGAGGAGAGATAGCTGTACACATTATAGAGAGGTGGAGAGATAGCTGTACGTGTTATAGAGAGGTGGAGAGATAGCTGTACACATTATAGAGAGGAGGAGAGATAGCTGTACACATTATAGAGAGGAGGAGAGATAGCTGTACGTGTTATATAGAGGAGGAGAGATAGCTGTTCGTGTTATGGAGAGGAGGAGAGATAGCTGTACGTGTTATAGAGAGGAGGAGAGATAGCTGTACGTGTTATATAGAGGAGGAGAGATAGCTGTACGTGTTATAAAGAGGTGGAGAGATAGCTGTACGTGTTATGGAGAGGTGGAGAGATAGCTGTATCTGTTATAGAGAGGTGGAGAGATCGCTGTATGTGTTATAGAGAGGTGGGGAGATCGCTGTATGTGTTATAGAGAGGTGGGGAGATCGCTGTGTTATAGAGAGGTGGGGAGATCGCTGTATGTGTTATAGAGAGGAGGAGAAATAGCTGTACGTGTTATAGAGAGGTGGAGAGATCGCTGTGTGCTATAGTAAGGTGAGGGAGTAAGGGTGTACACATTATAGAGAGGAGGAGAGATAGCTGTACATGTTATAGAGAGGAGGAGAGATAGCTGTATGTGTTATAGAGAGGAGGAGAGATAGCTGTTCGTGTTATAGAGAGGTGGAGAGATAGCTGTTCGTGTTATAGAGAGGTGGAGAGATAGCTGTTCGTGTTATAGAGAGGTGGAGAGATAGCTGCTTGTGATATCGAGAGGTGGAGAGATAGCTGTACGTGTTATATAGAGGTGGGGAGATAGCTGTACGTGTTAATGAGAGGTGGAGAGATAGCTGTACGTGTTATATAGAGGTGGAGAGATAGCTGTACGTGTTATAAAGAGGTGGAGCGATTGCTGTACGTGTTATATAGAGGTGGGGAGATATCTGTACGTGTTATAGAGAGGTACGTGGGTGCAGTAACTCACAAAGCAGGTTTCGTTGGTGGCTGGGTTTATTAAAGGCCCAGAGAGATCATTTTCACTGTGAGCCCGCAGGAAGTAACCTGGAATACATCCCAGAGAAATCTCTCACATTATCTCAATATTACTAATATCTATAGCTACAACATGTTCGATACTAACTGGCAGGAGTATATTTCACATCTACCAAAACATGCTCTCCTGCTATAAATTAAATGACGTTTGTGTAGTGCTGCATTCAGTCATTGACTTGGGGAGAGGTGACAGCTTAATGAGTATTTATGGTTTATAGAGAGGTGAGATCAGAGGAGTAACTAGAATCCACCGGGCCCTGGTGCAAAACTTTCTCTGGGGCCTACCTCCACTGTGTCTCATTCTCACCTCCCCGTGTCTCATTCCCTCCCCCCACCTTCTCCATGTGTCTCATTCCCTCCCCCCACCTTCTCCATGTGTCCCATTCCCTCTCCCCTCTCAGCCCCTCCACGTGTCCCATAGCCTCCTCCCCCCAGCCCCTCCACGTGTCCCATAGCCTCCTCCCCCAGCCCCTCCGTGTCCCCCTCTCCCCCAGCCCCTCCCCATAGCCTCCTCCCCAGCCTCCCGTCCCATTTCTCCCTCCCCTCCCTGAGACCTATTCCTCCCGTGACCCATTCCTCCCCCTTTCCCCACTCCTGTGTCCCATTCCTCCACCTCACTGTGACCCATCCCTCCCCCCTCCCTGAGACCCATTCCTCCCCCCTCCCTGTGACCCATTCCTCTCCTTTACCCCCTCCCCGTCACTCATTTCTCCCTCTCCCCTCCCTGTGTCCCATTCCTCCCCCTTTCCCCACTCCCTGCTGTTCCATTCCTACACCTCACTGTGACCCATTCCTCCCGTGTCCCATTCCTCCCTCTCCCCCCCTCCAGTACCTGCTTCACAGTCAGGATCGGCCTTAGGCCTTTAGGCACCTTGTGCGAAAAATCTTCACATCCATGTATAGTGTGTGTATAGGAGTGTAGTGATTGTATAGGGGATTTATTAAATTAATAATTATTTAAAAACAAGTATTCATTCCTTCTTTCCTGTTACCTAGCTGGGAGAGGGCATGCTGATCTGAATCTGGTCTGCCCCTCCACGGGGTGCAGACCATGCGTAACTGTCTGCGGCAGCGCTCTGATTATCCCGAGCTAGGAAGACAGCTACTTATAGTATGCAGGCCAGAAGTGCCAGACTGCCTCCCCTACATTACAGAGGAGCAGACTAAGTATGTCACATAATACTGTGAGTGGTTTGGCTTTGGAGCTCTCGATTATTCTTATTTACCTTGACCTCTTTGGAATAAAAATTTGTAGTAATGCGCTACTTCTCCATTTATCACAGAGCTCCATAACAATAAAACTCCCAGTAATGTGGAGCTCTGTGACAATATCATACACTACACAACAATACAACTCTAAGTAATGTGCCTATTAGAGTATCACCGAGCTCCCTAACTATAAAACAGAGTAATGTGCATTTTATATACCAGAGCTCCACTGTAATATATCTCACTATAATATGATGTAATGTTTGTGTTGTCTGTGTATGTGATAGGTGTGATGACTGTGCGCGATATGTATGCTATGTGTTGGCTGTGTGTGATATGCATACCATGTGTTGGCTCTGTGAGATATTTGTAATGGGTGTATTAACTGGGTGTGATATGCGTGTATTGGTTGTATGTGATATTTGTGCTGGGTTTATTGGCTGTGTGTGATAGGTATTTAATTCAGATAAAAAGTTATGTGCACACAGTCCCACAGTCAGATGCACACAGTTATACACAGTTATACATATACACTGTCAAATCCACCACATGCACACAGTCGCAGGGAAATAGTCAAATACACAGGATCAGGCAGAAACACACAGATACAGGCAGTAACACACATACACAGTTACAGGCAGATAAACACACTCTCACACAATTACAGGCAGACAGCCACACACACAGCTACACATACAGTCTTACACACATATACTTACAGGCAGACAGTCACACACACAGGCAGACAGTCACACACAGGAAGACATCCACACACACACACACACACAAAGGAAGACAGACAGCCACACACAAAGGTAGACATCCACACATACAGGCAGACAGCCACACACAGGCAGTCACACACAGCCACACACAAACACACAGGAAGACAGCCACACACACACACAGGCAGACAGCCACACACACACACAGATCGTCACACACACACACACGCAGACAGTCCCACACACAGACACAGGCAGACAGTCCCACACACAGGCACAGACACACAGACACACACACACACACACACACAGGCAGACAGTCACACACATAGACAGACAGCCACACACACACAGGCAGAGAATCACACATTGTTACCTCTGTTCCTTATGGAGGAGTGGAGGCAGTGCAGCTCCTGTAGACTGGTTGTTTGGGAAGCAGGGACTCCTTCCTGTTTCCCCTGCAGCTGTTACCCGGCACTTTTAGCTCCGCCATCAGTTTAGCTCTGCCTCCACCGCATGGTAAGCTCCGCCATGCCGCAATATATGTGTGAGCTGTGTCGGCCGCATGGCGCCCCCTGCTCCCATGGCGCCCTGTGCGGCCGCACAGCTTGCACACCCCTAAGGCTGGCCCTGTTAACAGTTAGCACTTCCTGTCAGACCGCTCAGTCAAGCTACACATAGGCAGGAGGGGAGCAGCATCTCCTATAGGCACAGACTGCACCACTTACACACACTACATTCCTGACATACACACTCTGGATCCCCTATGCACACAATGTATCCCCTATAAAAACACACTTTACAACCCCTGCACACACTACATCACCTATACACACATAGACTACAGCCCCTGCACACACTACATCACCTATACACACATAGACTACAGCCCCTACACACACTACATCACCTATACACACATAGACTACAGCCCCTACACACACTACATCACCTATACACACATAGACTACAGCCCCTACACACACTACATCACCTATACACACATAGACTACATCCCCTACACACACTGACTTCAACCCCTGCACACACTACATCACCTATACACACATAGACTACAGCCCTACACACACTACATCACCTATAAACACATAGACTACAGCCCCTACACACACTACATCACCTATACACACATAGACTACAGCCCCTACACACACTACATGACCTATACACACAGACTACAGCCCCTAAACACACTACAATGTAACTTTTTACAAAAAATACCACACCACAGTAAGCTCACTCTAAACACACGCAATCCCATAAGCAGGCTCCAAACACACTCACAATACGCTTTCCTGGACGTTTTGTACTCTGGTATCCCACTTATGAGACATCAAAGACAAGTCACAAGCAAACACAGCGCATGTCAATACATTTCCTTGCGTTGCGCAGAACAAATACAGGGCCTTTTTCTCATGCAAGAGCTCTTCAAAGGGGCCGGATCTTTTTGGTGAGATTTATATCTGATAAAAGAATCCCAGTTAAGGTGACATTTTGTCAATATCTGGAGGGGTTCCAGAAATTCAGCCTGCAGGGCTGGTGAGGATGGAGCATTTACTCAGTCTGTGATACCAACACTCACCAGAGCGGCTGTTCGAAGTGTGATCTCGACTCGGCCTGGAGCTGAATCCATCGACTCTATTCCAGTTGGTTACATTCCAGCCGCACGTATCATTTTCAAAGTCACAGACATGATAATTCGCTGGAAGAATGATAAACAACTGTGATAAATTGTATAAATTAAAACAATCAATGTATCTATCGCCATGGAAAATATATTTATACGTCTCAACAGTGCAGGAGGGGTAAGGCAGGATCAGACAGCCTAGATGGAAAAATGGCTACATTCTATATTTTGGGCTAATCTATGATGAGAATGGCAGACAGACAGACACTTAGACAGATAGACAAATTGACAGGCTAACTGAAATAATTTTTTTCTGGAGTAGAGCAGTCAGAAAGCTGTGCCAGCTTGCGACCCATTCAGTTGGTTTACGTGGGAATAATCGTTCTGCTCCCAGTGTACGCACGACTTATCTTCTATATTACTCACTGCAATTCTTCTCATCTGAATTATCACCACAGTCATCGGTTCCATCACACCAGGCTTTGTTGTCTACACAAGACCCACGGTCACACTGCTTCTGCCCATCGTGGCATGAAACCTGCGGCACTTAGAATGTAGAAAAGCAATGATTAGATTATGATTTTCACACAATTTTCAAGTCACTGCAACAAATTCATGGCGCATTCCACCACCCACCGCATTGAATACCACAGCGTACTCCACCGTCCAGCATATTCAGCCATCCAGTCCATTCCACCACCCACCGCATTGCAAAGCACAACGTACTGCACCGTCCAGTATATTCAGCCATCCAGTGCATCCCACCCCCAGTGCATTCCACCACCCAGTATATACTGCCCCAGTGCATTCCACCACCCAGCATATCCTGCTCCAGTGCATTCCACCACCCAGCATATCCTGCTCCAGTGCATTCCACCACCCAGTGTATCCTGCCCCAGTGCATTCCACCACCCAGTGTATCCTGCCCCAGTGCATTCCACCACCCAGTATAATCTGCCACAGTGCAATCCACTACCCAGTGTATTGAGTAGCACAGCATACACCACCATCCAGCATATTCAGCCATCCAGTGCATTCTACCACCCAATATAACCTGCAACCAATGCATTCCACCACCCAGTGTATCCCACCCCCAGTGCATTCCACCACCCAATGTATCCCGCCCCAGTGCATTCCACCACCCAATGTATCCTGCCCCCAGTGCATTCCACCACCCAGTGTATCCTGCCCCCAGTGCATTCCACCACCCAGTGTATCCTGCCCCCAGTGCATTCCACCACCCAGTGTATCCTGCCCCCAGAGCATTCCACCATCCAGCATAACCTGCCACAGTGCATTCCACTACCCAGTGTATTGATTAGCACAGCATACACCACCATCCAGCATATTCAGCAATTAATCCAGTGCATTCCACTATCCAGTGTATTCCGCCCCAGTATATTCCAAAATCCAGTGTATCCCACCCCCCAGTGCTTTCCGCTACCCACTATATCCTGTCCCAGTCCATTCCACCACCCAGTTTACCCCACCCTCATTGCAGTTTAGCACACAGTATATTCTGCCCCCACTGCATTCCACCACCCAGTATTACCCAACCAACCAATGTTAGCAATGGAACCGCAGCCTTTGGGGAAATAGACTCATAGCACAGAAGCATTCCACCATCCAGTGTATCCCACCCCAGTGCATCCTACCCTCCAGCATAACACCACCCTGTATACCCTGCCACAGTGCATTCCACTACCCAGTGTATTGAATAGCGCAGCATACACCACCGTCCAGTGCATTTCACTATCCAGTGTATTCGCCCCAGTGCATTCCAAAATCAAGTGTATCCCGCCCCCAGTGCATTTCACCACCCACTATATCCTGTCCCAGTGCATTCCACCATCCAGTGTACCCCGCCCCCATTGCAGTCCAGCACACAGTATAGTCTGCCCCCACTGCATTCCACCACCCAGTATAACCCGACCACCCAATGTTAGCAATGGAACCTCAGCCCTTGGGGAAATAGACTCATAGCACAGAAAATGAAACCCCACCCTTGGACATAGAGTCCCACCAATCACAGAGCATTTTCTGAGTGATACCTGACAGCATGCAATGTCGGAATTCAATATCATCTATTGCAACATTTCCGTGAGCAGAGGACTCCCAAGATGAGGTCACAGAAAGCTGTGAAAGAAGAAGAAAGACTAATTTGAGGGAATTCTAGATAGATTAATTGGGATTACTGTGATAATGTGGAATTCACAGTTTATTAGCATTACAACTGCCTGTACCAGTGGAACCCGAAAGTTAGAGGCTCCTGGCTACTACCTGTAAATGAACTTGTAAATGATCAGTAATGAGTGTGATCAAGTCTGGTCACTTCAACTGCGCTGACCACTGGTGGCCAGGAGATAGATCCCCAGCCTAAAGGCTGGCAAAGCATCATGGGAGTTGTAGTGATCACAGAAAGAATTGATAAGTAAGTTTTTCAAAGTCAATATTAAAAGTCGATACAAGCACATCGGGTCGGGTTATTTATATTTTTCTGCATTGTGTCACCTGAAATTCAGCGGAAATTCTTCCAGAGTACATCACAGCTCGCCTCCATGATAAAGCACTTTTTAGTCCGGTTTCCCACAAAGTGTACGTCTGAGCATTAGCCGTCAGCTGCATAGACAGGCTCCCGTTACTGGTCGAACCTGAAACAGGATGGTATATTGATCATAGGTGGGGGGAAAAGGGTGTACCAGGCGTTCCCAACTGCCTTCTCTCTACCCCTGTTTAGGTATCAGCATTATTGCATGAATTTGGTCTTTGTTTTTTACCTGAACTCCATACGTGGTAGTGAACGTGGATTTCACAGGTGGCAGCAGCGTTTCGAAGTACAGGGGATCTGACCGTGGCAGTGACAGCAGACATCCCACTGTGGCCTCCCGTGGCCATGAACCATCCTGAGTGGGCAGATAAGGGAAGCACAATATAATTATGTAGGAGTAATTGGGCTATAGAGTAACATTAGGACAAAAATAGCTGTGGGAGCAGGGAATGGCTGCCCAGAATAGGAGCTACAGGTTCACCCAGTGGGGTAAGGCTGGGAATTTACTACAGCGTCCCGTGCAGGTAATACAATCAGGAATGACGGAATGCTCGGTAGGTCTTGGGAAGATTTAAGAATTGATTAGCTTTTAGGAGTCTCATTCTGCTTGAGGAGATACAAAGATCTGACTCATGTTAATTATATACATTAAAATTTCTCATTGTGGGGAAGCCATAAACAAATGTCTATTGGGTTCTTGCCTTGTGCCACCATTTTATTTGCAGTTTAAGTGACTGTGTGACCTCTGTATCGAGGTGAGGGCGTCTGTCTGATACACTGTCATATTTAAGACATTATGGGAAGAGAATATGCTGACATTTCAGAATAACGTCCTATCAGTAGCATGTAGCTGCTGGTTCTGTCACATTATGATTTAATGGGCGTTCAGACATATAACTCCATAATTATGTTCTGGGTGTTCAGGCGTATAACTCCGTAATTATGTTCTGGGTGTAAGCCACCGAGTTTATCAGTAAAGGCAGGAATCCAAAGGGTTATTCGCTACAGTTAGAATTTCAAGACAATTCAACATGAATTTCAAATATAAGGCCACAGTAGTTAAATGAATAGCTGAAATTAATTTTTCCAGTTCTGACCTGAAATTTGAAATTCTCTTTGAAATAACTTTGAATTCCCATTTAGTGAGTAACCCTGAGAGACTATATTTAATCTAGAGAAAACAATTCTGGATTCCGCAGTCCTGGACGGTACTGGATTTTTAAAAACCATGACCAGAGGCATTGGGATGCATTGAATAGACCTGACTATTGAATAGCTCAGTAGGTGACAGAAATGGTTTTACCCCATCGGTTTCCGAGGGTATGGTCCGCGTGGGGACGGGATCCCCACATCGGTGAACTGAGGCGCTCTCTGGCCCACCGATACGAGGAAGTGCTGATATCTCTCCATCCACAATCATCGTGCTCAAAGTCACAGCTGAAGGGAACCCCTAAAACAGCCGAGTCCTTATGATAGCCTGTAGGGAACAAAACAACGTTATTTCACAAAATGAACTAATATCTTATTAGCTTGGCACAAAGTCACCCCAGGGGAGTAACAGATCTACTTACTTCAATACAAAATCTCCTCCATCCCTTACCGAGTTATTCACTAAAGTGAGAATTAAAAGTGGGTTCAAAATTAAAGGGACACTCCGGACACCTAAAGCACTTCAGCTTGAAGTGGTTTCTGTGTGCAGACAGTGAAGAATCCAGGGTGGGGGCAATGGAGCGATTGCCACCTTCCCACTTCCCCCCATGAGAAAGTATTAATGCCCTGACGCTCAACCCTGATGGCCCATGCAGAGCCGTTGCTATCCAAGTGCCGGCCCTGCTGTTTTCCTTCACAGACCAGAGGGGAGATCCCTCACCGACCCACAGGCACCTTGCTGGACAGCCTACAGGAGTGGGGGGACAGGACCTTAGGGAGCTCAAGCCTGTAGCTCCACCGGGTTCTCCTCTCGCAAGCTCCGGATTTTGCGAGAGTGAACTCTAGCCTCGGGTGCTGCCAGCTAGAGTTCACTCTCACCACTAGGATCACCAGGGCTTAACCACGAGGACCACCAGGGATTGCCTTGTACTGTCCCCCCTCCCTGGGGCAAAGGTAAGAAGGGAGGGGGGATAAAAAGAGGATTTATTTTAAAGAATATTTATTTTAATATATATATATATATATATATATTATATATATATATATATATACACACACACATATATATATTTGATTCAAATTTGCTACCCTATCCCAACACACAAAATGTTACTCTCTACACATTTACAGACTGCCCCCCATACACACACACACTGCCCCCCTAACATGCAGCCACCCCATACACACACAATACATCTCTCACACACACAGACCCTACTCACACACACTGCACCCGTCACACACTTGATCCCTCACACACAGACATTGCACCCTTCTCAAACACTTGACCCTTCACACACACTTGACCCCTCACACACACTACACCCCCACACACACACACACACTACTGTCTCTATCCCCTACTGCAGGCCCTATCCTTCACTACAGCCCCAATCCCAGGAGACTACAGGTAAATTGTCAAACTGTTCTTAAACGGTTTGACTACTTACTTTGCCACGGCACTACTGGTACCATAACCACTACAGATAGCTGTAGTGGTTAATGTGCCTGGATTGCTCCTTTACAAATAATCTACCAGTGCACCTCCTGAGATTAGTTTCTGGATTTGCCCGTGTGTGCATAGTGTGTATCTTTTTACTTTTTTCAAAAGGAATTGGTACTTCTACAAATTCAACTTGCAACGCCCCCTGGTTGTCAATCAGACAACTGGTCCTGTTACTTCCTGGTTTGTTTAGCTCAGTGAAGCTCAACTCAAGAGGCAGCAACTGAGCACCTGCCTTGCACAGATTTTTCTTTGAGCTGCATTGGGGAGTCTGTGATTGGACAGCCACAGAATATCTGGGCAGGGTTAGAAGAAGAGGGCTTGCAAAGGCTGCAGACAAGAGTTCTGCAGCTTTTGCAAGCTGTTTTTAGATAAGTTCCTAATGAAAAAATGCATAATTACATGCATGAATGTTTCCATTTGAATTATATGTATTAAATAGTGGCAGGGCCCTGCTCAGTGATCTTACATGTTAGAGGGAGTGGGGTATAGTGACACAGTAACAGAGGGATTGAGGGCCCTGCTCAGTGAGTTTACATGTTAGAGGGAGTTGGGTATAGTGACAGTAACAGAGGGATTGAGGGCCCTGCTCAGTGAGTTTACATGCTAGAGGGAGTGGGGTATAGTGACACAAAGGGTATAAGTAGGGGTAACAAAGGAGTTTGCTAGAAAAGTATTCACTGAGGGCTTAGTAGGTTATATTTGACAGTTGCAGGAGAGGAGTCATGGGGGAAGGGGAATGAAAAGCTGTTAACAGTTTAATTGATATGTTTCCTGAAGAAGTACATTTTTTTAAAGGATTTTTTAAAGGAATGGAGACTGGGTGAAAGTCTAATGGAAAAGGAAGGGAGTTCCACAGACAAAGTGCAGCCCTGGAGAAGTCTTGGAGGCGAGCATCAGATGTAGGAGTACGGACAGAGGATAGACGTAGGTCTTCAGCAGAGTGCAGGGGCCTGTTACTGTTTAATATCCAGTTTATGTCCCAAATGTGCCTTTGTGTTTTACAGAGTTATCACAGTGATTATTTAAAGGCAGAAATGGTACAATACTGGCAGAGCTGGTATAGCAAGCTAAGTGTAAAGGGAGGTATGATACACATACTTGCAAAGCTGGTATAGCAAGCTAAGTGTAATAAAGGCAGAAATTATACACATACTGGCAAGGTTGGCACAGTGTACTTACCACAATGCCTCTCGTCTGAGCAATCCCAGCAATCACAGACAAAATTACAGAGTGCAGTGGCAGGGCTCGTACACCCAGCGGAGGCAGCAGAATAAACTAAGGAGGCAAAAAGAGATGCAGTGAATGACAGTGTGGACGAAATAAAGGTCACCAGGCAGGTTTTCGTCATTTTGCTAATCTGAAGGAAATCTACAAACAGTATGCTCACTGTATGGAGGGCAAGAAATTAAAAAGGCACTAGGGTAGGGTGACCACTGGAGTCCCTTTAAATGTATTTATTTATCAGTTATTATATAGACTTCTTAAATCCCCAGGAGGTGCTGGTGTGGGGGCTTTATAAGATTTGGTGTAAGGAGAACCCAAACTGCAATTACCAGACTGAGACGGTTTATTTCATAACATCTTATCCAACTAAAAAATGTGTGACGGAGCATTGTAATCCACGTTTACATCCGCAACGGGTTTAAAAGATGGAGATGAGAGTAAATAACTGGGACAGTTACATTTCCCCTTTATAAGTTCCTGCTCCCCCATAGCTCTGACATGTCACAGCGGGTATGTGGACACCTTGAGATATACAGCCGGTATGTATAGACTGTATTCCTCCAACAGGACAGTCCTGGGGGATGCCAGCACAATTTCCCAGAAGGCAGTAGGCTCATATGGATTTTTATATATATATATATATATATATATATATATATATATATAAATAAAACTGCATCCTCACACCTTTATATTCTCTCCACAATTATATTAATACATTTTAGGACAAATCACCTACATTTGAATAATTTTCCATGGTCACTGTATTCCGGGGTCACCTATTTTGGGATAAAATTTACAATTCTTTGGTGATTTGATTCCCGCAGAATTCCTAAATATATAATGTTATTCACTAAACACTGTATTGTAGCAAGCTGATATTCAAATGTTCACTACTATTCAGAGCTTAGTGAATAACCCAGAGATATTTCATCTTGTCCAATGAATCTACCTGAAACATGCAGATTTAAAATCTTATTCCAGAAAAAAATGGGATGCCATAGTTAACCTCAAAATGATAACCACTGGAAACCCCCCAAATAATAGCCTTTTTTGTTCCCCGTCACTTACCATTGCAGGAGAGGGTGATCACGACTAGGTAGATATATGGCCCCTGCATGATACCAGCCGAGAGGAAGGAATGAACTTGGAGAAGTAGATCTGGACTTTCACCCATGGGATCAGTACGAAGGCTGACTCTGCGATGCAGACTGAGCTCAGAGTATCTCCATAACAATCATAACTGAATGAACGACGTGGCTCACGTTTAACCCTTACATAGCTATTCACTAAACTACGACTTTTCCAAAAATCAATCGGAATGTTAAAACTGAGGCAAGAAATAGCAGATCTGGAAAAATTATCCACCATATTCACAGATTTTATGTTTTTTATTTGCCTTTATTATTTTCCTATTTGGATATAATGTTTGAAAATTCAGCTTTTAGTGAGTACCCTTGTTCGAGTAAAAACATGAACGGATCTAAATGGTTTAATGAAGGGGCCAGCCAGTAATTACTGTAAGTGGCATTAATAAACACATGAACTTTAACATGGAAAAACATCTGTTGGAGGATAATGTGAATTGTAGTCAAGAAAAACTAGTGTGAGTTTGCCTGTTTCTATAAGATGTATGGTGAATGTTCAGTACATTCTGATGGAATACTTGAATCCACTGGGGAAATTCTCAGAGTGAATTAGCAGATTCTAACAGTTAATGGGAAGATTTGCAGTGTGAATTCTCAGGGTGCAAAACAGTAGGGTTGTAGCGTAGAGCAAAACAGGTACATCAGCCTATAGCCAGAAGTGCAAAATGATGCTTATTAAGTGTCCAGTGGAACAGGTCATTAAAAAGCACTTATTAAGATGCCCGTTCCACTGGACACTTTAGAAGCATCATTTTGCCCAGGGTGAATTATCGGGGCAGATTCTAGGTATAAAGAAACTGAGTCTCACACAGGAATTATAATCTGAATGCAACTTTTAGGGAAAAGTAACCGATATGGAATAAAATCTACAATTTGGCTATGATCACATACACTGAACAAAACACTTGTTTTTGCCCCCATTTTTCATGAGCTGAACTCAAAGATCTAAGACTTTTTCTATGTAGACAAAAGGCCTACTTCTCTCAAATATTGTTCCCAAATCTGTCTAAATCTGTGTTAGTGAGCCCTTCTCCTTTGCCGAGATAATCCATCCACCTCACAGGTGTGGCATATCAAGATGCTGATTAGACAGCATGATTATCTCACAGGTGCACCTTAGGCTGGCCACAATAAAAGGCCACTCTGTATTGTAGAGGTCCGGGTGGTGGTCTGAAAACCAGTCAGTATCTGGTGTGACCACCATTTGCCTCACGCAGTGCAACAGTGTTGCCGTTATGAATTTTGTTCAGAGTACAATTTGAAATTCACTTCGAACTCCAGATAAGTCACACTTCATTGAATAGCCCTGTACCTTCTAATAATTATGTCCTAGGTCCCTGCTTGAACCCAGGTGCGCTAATAAACAATACGTTTAGAGCCTACTTCAGCAGCGCTAATAGTGGAGACTGGTTTGGAATGATTAGATATTCTTCCTAGATACATATTTTAAATAATTTTCAGAAAATTCGCTACCCAGTGATACCTTATCTATAATCACAGAACCAAGCCTGGGGTAGGTCTTTATTCACTGGAGTTACAACACACTTAGTGATTGCTTTTTAGATAAAAATGTAGAACCAAAACACATTTTCCACACTTTGACCCCTGCAATTAAACCATAAATGTTTGTAACCAGAATTAAAGCCTCAGATTGCTGACGATTCTTAAAGAGGCAATGTCATGTCCGCGTCCGTTTTCTGTTTTTTTAACTCTCCCGAAACCACCACATGTTATTGTCCGATTATTCACCTCCTAACACCCCTCAGTCCCATATTTTACCTTCTTCTACCTTTATATTATTTGTCCGTATCTAGATCCTGGGCGCTGCCATCTTATTGTGGGTAGACGAGGGCCCTGTGGGGCACGTTAGCTGCCCACACTGGATAGCACTGTGAAGTCACCCTAAAAATAGTGAGGAAGAGCAATAAATTAAAACCTGAAAACTAAAAAAATTCACACTTACCCTTAGATGTCTTCTTTTTTCAAAAATATTCTTTTTTTTTTTCAGCCCCCAAAATTGCCAAATTATATCCACAAAGCCCGCTGACGGAATAAAAAAAAAAAATTTAAATAAATAAAATCAAGCCATCTGCACCCAGCGAGGGCTACACGCAGGCAGTTCTGCAGTGCAGGGAAAGACTTATAAAGGCTTCCCCCGTCGTGCAGTTTGAATCTGAGCACTTAAGCCAACCAATCAGAGTGCTTTACCTGTCAGAGCGCTCTAAGTGGTTGGCTCAGAGCACTCAGAGTCCAATTGCGAAGTGTGGGAAGACTTTATAAGCCTTTTCCCGCCCTGCAGAGCCCAGTCTGATGGAGCCCACGCTGAGGAAAGATTTTTTTTTTTATCGTCGGGTTGGGGGTTTTTTTTCCGGCGTGTTTTGGTCTTGTGTCTTTTTTAATGGTATTAGTTTGACAGGCTTATGGATTTTTATTTGGCCTTTTTGAGGGCTGGAAAAAAACACGACATCTAAATGGGAACTTAATTTTTTTGAATTTTCAGGTTTCAGTTAATTGCTCCCTCTCTCACTATTATTGCAGTCACTTTGGAGGGGGGGGCTTTATTTTTAATTGTTGTGCTGACAAGTGATAAATGGATCAGACACGCATGGTAAAACCCTGGTGACGATAGGCAATGGATAGGCACAAGTCAGCCATTATTGTGTATAAAGAACCAGCTTGCTAAATGTGCCGTGTGGGCACAGCTCATTAACTGTAAGCTATCACTTCCTTATCTGATCTGTGTGAATGCAGGTTTATCCTGAACTTCCCACACTGCATATACTGAGAACAGCAAACCAGGACCACAAAGGATGAACAGAAAGTTCACAGCGCCCTTCCCATTCCCGATGCACGGGTCACTTCTAAGTGACTCCAAAATGGAAAAAACAACTTTCCTGGGCTCCCCATTTTTAGTGATTCATGCGATCTTTGGATCGCTCTTCCTGCTCAAAAACCTAATTTTATGGCTCAACATATCTGTTCCTCAAAGCCCTTTATTAGCATAATAGTCCTTCTGGTAGTTTCTCCACAATCCAGCAAGATAAAGAATTATTAGTTTTATCTAGCAGTCTTATTTCACATGGGAGGAGGTACACAACACGTGTGGAAGAACAGGAAACCCTACCTTTGATCTTAAAATAGTCTTTTGTTTGAGTACTCTTAAAAGACGTGGTTTTTTAATGGTAAAAAAACTACAAGCTTTACGGTGGCGGAGCCTAACACCCGAGCTGACTAGATGCCATTTCCCTGAGCTCCTAACTTTTGACATTAAATCCGCTTAAATCAACTATAGTAGCTCACAATCCGCTAGAAAAAAAAAAAACAGTTGCCCTCTAATCCTGGTGCACACGCCACTGGCCGATGCCCTCCTTATTCCCGCATATGAGCAGGAAAGTGCGCCGTAGATCTGGGGCCTACTGTGCTCCCTCAACAAGGAAGGCTGCGTTCCCATATCTGGCGATCCACCCAGAGGCTCCCAACACCTCTCAGACGGCTAAAGAGGGACCCCACTACACTGCTGACAGCATGGGCCAGAGATCGCAGAAGTTGCAAGGCTATAGCAGTAATGACTCACTGTATATCGGCAGCATGCTACAACGCCCGGCTGCTTGCAAAATGGCGGTATGGCCAGAACAAGATGCTAGTTCCACCTCTTCGGGACAGGCCATAAAAGAACCTCTGTAACCTCCAGCACCCACACCCATCACAGGGTCAGTAGACCCAGATGGTTTGACACCAGCCACCAAGCTGGATATCAAAAATCTCCTGTTGGAACTCAAAAAGATGTCCCCAGCTGATATGGACCAGATGAGAACCGAGGTCCAGGCAGTGACAGCCCGAGTACAAAATAAGAAAAATAAAATCTCACCTCTGTTCCATCGCAGAAGCATTCCAGTTCTTCCAGTAGCCCAATCCTCTTTTCCTTACACCAGATCCGCTCAACAGAGAAGGAGGGAGGGAGGACGGACTGAAGTGCATGATGGTGCCAGTTTCCAATTTAGCACAGAATTTACATTAGCCAAGCAGAACTTTGTTCTTGGCTAGCTAATGACAGTGCCTAAGATGGAGTTACATGTATAAGAAGTTAAACTCTTTATATGCAGTGCTTCAAGTGAAATGCTGCACATACAGACTCCTGGCACTGTGACCACTTCAAATCAAGGAATCACGGTGCTTGGAGTAACCTTTTAAAGTAATAGTCTCCAACCCCCCAAAAGACATTGTTATACAAACCCCAATCCCAGTCTGCTAAATACAACTAACATCCTTATTTTATTGCAATAAATACAAAATAAATCTCATTCCACACACTGACAATGCTGCAAATTTTTATTGTTAACACAATGTATGGTCACGCAAATTAGTAGACATCAGAATGTTCTACTGGTCGTTTATGGAGAAGAAAAAAAAAAAAAAATCTTGTGACCAAAGGGTAAGAAAATGAAAGAGATGCATTAGACAGAGACGCTGTCACAGGATTAACAAACAGTTTGTAAAAGCAGATATTTAGATACAAGTTATCCATCCCCAGTGCCAAGCACAGACCCTTTATAGAGGGAGAGCTGGTCATTCTGTTTAGTGGATCTGGACTTATCCAGCTTGCAGATAATAGGCTTCTGCACCAAGACAGCCACGACGGCTCATCTAGTCCCTGAATACGTTTATTAATTACAATTAACATGATGCGAGGAAGTGTAAGTGAGTAGAGATGTCGCGAACCGTCCGCGAACTTCTCGCGAACGGTTCGCCGCGAACTCCGGTCAGCTGACACATCCCGGCCAATCTCCAGCAGACACTCCCTCCTACTTCCTGGACAGCATCCATGTTGAAGGCAGCTTCAACATGGATGCTGTCCAGGAAGTAGGAGGGTCTGGGAGGGAGTGTCTGCTGGAGATTGGCTGGGATGTGTCAGCTGACCGGAGTTCGCGGCGAACCGTTCGCGACATCTCCATAAGTGAGTGCAGTCCACAAGCATCATGGGAAACGTGATTTAATGCTGAAGCAGGGCGCCTCTGAAGCACCATTAACGGCAGTATAAGTAGCCTCAATCAAATGTCTCACATAAGGCAAAAGCAAAATGAAAACCTTAATTCTGAGTCTACGGCACAATACCCATCAGCTCACACTCCCTGCATACCAAGATACGGTCTATATAACATCACACTGCCCCTTGTGGCCAGAAGATGTATATACAGGACCTGTGTTATATTTGCCACCAGGTGAATTTTGTTCCTCTGAATGAGAGATCGGCTTTCGTGGTTTGGCACATTTAATATCAAACAACTGACCAGGTCACTGTATAATCCGTATATTTGGCTTGGATTTTTTTCTGAGTCAAAGCGTGATCTGCTGGTCCGTAACTCTGCAAGACAAGAATGCAATGCCCTTAAATGAGATTTTGTCTTAACAGAACAGTCCCATGTTATAGTACAAATAAAGTAGATCTATAAATTGTTTTTACTGAATGGGGTCTATTTACTAAACAGCAAGGGACTCAAAAGTCTACCTGCAAACTTTACCACAAAACCCTGTACATACAGACTTCAGGCACCATGACCACTTCAAATAACTAAAGTTGTTATGGTGCTTGGCACCACCCTTTAATCCATACATATTCTGACAATATACAGATTAAATCTATAGTGACTGGAATGTGATTTATGGACATGTGAACTTTAAGTTGAAGAGGTTTACAAATATCTAGATGCCGTCATTGACCACAAAGGGAATTCTACAAAAAAATACTAAACCCAAAAAATTTAAATAAATAAGAATACAGTTTTAATTCACATTCTTTCTCCCAGCTCACTGCTTTCACTAGAATACAGAGCTTCACACTGCAGCAAAATGCACAAAGGTGAAGCCCGTTATACATTTCTTGTGATACTATCTCAGTGAGTTATTGAATATAAAGCCATTTATATTTAAGACGAGTTGGCTATTCACCAGAGAGTATCCGTAGATGTGGATTTTCTTGTCCTTGCTCGAATGACTGATTCTCCCTCCTCCAAGACATTCACAGTCGTACACATTATTCTTCTCGATTTCGCCCGCCACCTTGTCGTAGATATCCGCTGCAGTAAAGCAAAGAATCTGCATCAGAATGTGGGTGAGTTACAGAATGTTATACCCCGAAACCAACAATGGTCAGAGAGACACACAAAGAACATTCTTTAAAGGACCAGGTCAATGAAGTGGTCTGGGTGCATTGGTCCTGTCACTTTAACCCTACGACTTAAAACATTGCAGTTTCATAGTAAAAGGGACACTATAGGCACCCAGACCACTTCATCTCATTGAAGTGGTCTGGCTGCAGTGTCCCTGTTTCCTTAACCTCTTAAGGACGGCGGCAATTGTGTACGTATCAAATAAAAACCTAGAATTTGACTGTCTTTTCATATATATATCTTTCTAGGACTTATTTTTTCAGCATCAGGTGATTGCTTTGTGAGAGCGATCACATGACTAGCAGGGGCCTGCCTGGGCGTAATTATCCCAGACACTCCAGAGCTGAAAGCGGTTATGACGTTCTATGCCGTCGCTACAGCTTTAAAGCCCATTACATTGGAGACGGCATAGAACGCCATAATGCGCAAAGGGGTTAACCCTGTAATTTAAAACATTTAGAGAAACTGTCTTTAGTGTCTTTCTATCAGACAGTTACTGGAGGCGCTTCTTGCAGTTTCATTACATTAGGTTCCTCCCATCAGCTGACAACAACGGAGGAAGAACGTGATCCAACGCCGAGGGATATCGGCGCTGGAGTCAGGAAAGTGAAAGAAAGGTCTTTTGTTTTTAACACTGGGAGGGCACGAAGGCAGAGGAATACTACAGTGTTATGAATTCATCTTTGTAAACAATACATTGAAGACATCCTTGTAATCCAAACACTAAAGTGTTCCTTTAACTACAATGTATTAAAGCCAGAGGCGCCTCCACTGCACGGACCAAGTCAAATCTGGTCATGTGACATTGCAACTCATAAGAAGGAATTAACCTCACTGCGTTCCTATGAGAATTGGGCGTGTGCTGCGCTCATGCTGGTACATCAGGTCCCTAATACTCTGAGGAGTAATGGATTGAACCTGCAATGGAAGCAGCAAAGCTTTCTTGAGGATGATTTGGGAAGTGAGGCGGAAAAGGCTTTATTTTGACACTCTTTATGGGAGACATGGGGGGGGGGGGGAAGAGGGGCACCAGAGCTATAGTGTTCCTTTAATAGAAACAAAACCATATTCTGCAAGACCTGCTCTACTTTAGAATTCCCATATCCACAGTGGCTCCATATTCTGATTCTGTCCATGTGAAAACAATGGGATTTTTGACCTGGCGCTGGGGATTGGTGGTCTCCTCCTTTCTGCGACGGTATACCGGGAGGAAGTGAACGGAATTGTTATTACTTCCACCCGCATAGGGGAATGGCTGATGGGCAGGGCACCAGGTAAAGATGACTCTGCTTGCTGCATGCCAGGCCTCAGCTCTTGGAGGGAGTAATCACAGTTCCCTTTACTTCCTTCTGGTGCACAGAGATGGCGACAGGAGGCGTCTGGACCAGTGGCAGCCAACTCCCATCAGCTGCAGCAAGCCCTACTGTCACCTGCTGCCACTCACACCCACTGGATCCCAGGGAAGCCACCCTCCTGCGCCCAAGGTAGGAAACAGGAGGGTAGCTAAAAATATTTCTAGGTGTGTGTGCACGCGCGTCTGCAACAGTGTGTGTGTCTGTATCTATTGGAGTATATCAATATAAAAAAATACTAGGGATGCACCGAAATGAAAATTCAAGATGCCCTTTGCCGAAAATGACTTTTCCCCAAAATATTTGTAAAAAGTTTTTTCCCTATAATTTAATATTAGACATTTTAATCAATGTAATTAATCTAATATGAAAAACTTCCCTTCTTTTTTTAGTGGTCCCCAAGCTTAATGTTCCTCTCCCCCCCCCTGTCCATAGTGTTCTCCCCCTCCCCCATGAGTGTTCTCTCCCCGTCCCATGAGTGATTTCTCTGCCCCCTCTCCCCTGTCCCATAGTGTTCTCTGCCCCCCACCTCTCCATGAGTGTTCTCCCCCCTCCCGTCCCTTGGGTGCCCCCCCCTGCAGTTCTCCCCGGTCCATAGCGTCTCTCCCTCCCTTGTCCCATGGGTGTTTACCCCCTGTAGTTCCCCTCCACTCCCACTGTGGTGTCCCCCCTGCCAGTTCTCCCCGTCCCATGGTGTTCTCCCCCTCCCATGGCGTTCTCCCTGTGGTTCTCCCCAGTCCCTTGGTGTCCCTCCCATGGTGTCCCCCCAGTCCTTAGTGTCCCCCTGTCCCATGGTGTTTCTCTGCCCCTGTCCCATGTGTTCTCTGCCCCCCACTCCATGGTGTTCTCCCCCCTCCCGTCCCCTTGGTGCCCCCTGCAGTTCTCCCCATAGCGTCTCTCCTCCCTTGTCCCATGGTGTTACCCCCTGTAGTCCCTCCCCTCCTCCCATGAGTGTCCCCCTGCAGTTCTCCCCGTCCCATGGCGTTCTCCCCCCATAGCGTTCTCCCTGCTAGTTCTCCCCCATGAGTGTCCCCCAGGGTCCCCAGTCCCATAGTGTCCCCCTCGCCCAGTCCCCCGGCTCTCCCATAGTGCATTACCCCGGTCCCAGGTGTCCCAGTCCCATAGGTGTGTGTGTGTGTGTCCCTCACTCTATGTGGTCCCCGGCTCTCCCATGGTGTCCCCAGTCCATGGTGTCCCAGTCCAGGTGTCCCCCTCCGCCCCTGTGGTCCCCGGCTCTCCCATGCCCAGGTGTCCCCCCAGTCCCATAGTGGCCCCTCAGCCTGTGATTTTGTCTCTCCCCCCCATAGTGTCCCCCCCCCCGTAGTTCTCTCACCGTGGTTCTGTGCCCAGCGGTAGCCCCGCACGATGCTCTTTGGTTGAAGCGGTTCTGTATTGATGATGACGATATTGATTAACACGTATTTATATGTACCGTCCATGTCGATATCCACCTCGGGGATACCTGGGAAAACCTCCGCCATCCCGGCTGCCGGACTGAACTGACTGCCGGTACCGGAGCTCCGTCATCAATATACTTGACAGAACCCGGCGGCCCCGCCCCCTCCCTCCCATTGACCAATCACAGTCAGAGAACAGACTCAAAACCAGGCGGCCCCGCCCCTTCATCCAGTCATATCACCCAGAGCAACCTTTAATAACCACACATCAATCCCACCTAATAATAATAATAATAATAATAATAATAATATAACCTCCAATAATCCAACCCAATAATAATAATATAATAACCTCTAATAATATAATAACCTCTAATAATAATATAACCTTCAATAATCCAACCCTATTATAATACTACTACTACTGTTGTAGATAATTTACTGCAAACCAATTAGTTTGAATGACTATCTGTTCCTGTCCAAATTAAAGAAAAGTTGCGTGCACGCAGAAGTAAATTCACACTGAGACACAAGGTTCAGGGTAATGAAAGAACTTCAGAGAAGTTTAATGGCTTCTGACAGAAAATGGGTGCGCAGACCCTTTTAAAGGCATTATTACATCACTGAAGAATTCAAGATAACAGCAAATGGACACTATTGATTGGTCCAGGTGTTAAGTGGTTAGTTAGATACCCTCCTATCAAGAGGTGATGTCATCCTTGACACGGGAGTGGACACAAGATGTAGGCGCCATCTTGTTAGCACGAGTGCTCTGGCAGCCATTTTGAGTAGTTAGTATTGTTAGCTTCAAGGTTCTTTTAGTAAATACACATTTTATTATTCAGCACATTTCTTCCTGACAAAGCATTAGCTTAGATAATTTCAAGAATTCTATTATAATACTACTACTACTACTACTACCACCAATAATCCAACCCAATAACAATAATAATAATACCAATAATAATAATAATAATAATAATAATAATAATATAACCTCCAATAATCCAACCCTATTATAATACTAATAAATATAATAACCTCCAATAATCCAACCCAATAATAATAATAATAATAATAAAAAAACCTCCAATAATCCAACAATACCTCTAATAATAATAAATAAATAATAATAATATAACCTCCAATAATACTAATAATAAATATAATAACCTCCAATAATCCATAATAATAATAATAATATCCAATAATCCAACCCTATAATATAACCTCTAATAATAACAATAATAACAACAACAACAACAACCTCCAATAATCCAACCCAATAGTAATAATAATAATAAAACCTCCAATAAGCCAACCCAATAATAATAATAATAATAATAATATAACCTCCAATAATCCAGTCACATCATCACCTATTGTAAACCATAATAACTACACATCAATCCAACAGCAACTTCAAAGCTCACAGATTTTATCAGTTTAAAAAAAGAAATCTAGGCAAAAATAATGGGGGTTTAGTTACATTATAGGATCATACATTGCATAAGCCTTCCAACTACGTCAATGTACCCCATCTTTGGCAGGTCCTACTCTATCAGCCTAATGTCTGCTCTTATGAGATTAACCCACTCACTTGAGGGGAAAATTCCATCTGGGGCTCTCTGCAGTACAAGGCTAAATAGGGCCCTGGGATGAGGCACCTGTGACAGGGAGGGGTGCAGAAACAAGGAGTTGGCTAGACTCCTAATCTATATTTATATATGAAACCAAGGGGCTGCATAAATGGGATGCTGCTGGGGGTCAATTTATAAAATACACAGGATCCAGCGCACTCACTCATCCACTAAACAGCAACTTCAAAGCTCACAGATTGTATTCGTTTTAAAAAAAAAAAAAAAACACTTAATCTAGGCAATAATAATGGGGGCTTAGTTACAGTATATGATTATACATTGCATAAGCCTGTCCCATCCTACTCTATATATTTATTTGTATAAATAACATTGAAACAACCAGAAAATATTACACAATAAAGTGTAAGGATATAAAGTCCTAAACGTACTAGGAGATCACCTGTGAGAAAGCTGTAGAGACTTTGTATATGGCTAGAATATTATTTCAAAAAAGTGTTTCCCCCAACAATGGGGAGCAGTCTGCTGTTAAATCACCAAAGCCTAAACACAAGGGTATATAATACAGAAAATACAAAGCATATTTAAAATGCATGTAATACAGCAGAGACAGGATTAGAAGCATCCAGGAAAAAAAAAAAAAAAAAAAAAAAATTAAAAAAATTAAAAAAAAGGGGACAGCTACCTTATCTTCTTTATAAATAAACTTCTGTGTTTTTAATTGAGAGCACTATGGCTGTTCTTTTTATAGTGCAGATTACAGAGATCTTGCTACTATAGATCTACTACAGTGATCTAATAGTGATTTTATATCATCTTGGACTTTTTACTTTGTGGATTATGATGTACCAGTACCAGAGCATTGTATACCAATTATAGGTTATACTATATCAGCCTTGGATGTACCTTATAACAGCAGTTTTGTACCCTGATACCTGAGACATAGCTGCATAAAGACATTTTTGCACTCCATTCCAAAACTGTGTATTCATGGACTTTCACTGAATGCTACTTATACCAAGACATTATTATTGAAGTGGGATTTGATATCGTATTCCATGTTGTTTGCAATTAATCGATAAGTAATTCATCCATATAATTTCTACCAGTTCACTGTTTAGGTAGCCGCCCCCTTTTTTCTCGGGATGTGCATGGGGAAAATATTTGGCTCGGCATTCCAAAATTCGGGACTTCGGTACGGAACTTCGGATGTTCTCTTGCAGCCGCTTAGTAGATAACTCCCTAATACCGTGGGAATTAGGGAGTTATCTACCAAAAGGCTGAAAGACCGAAATTGGTCTTTCAGACAAATTTACTAATACTAAGTAAAAATTACTTAGTATTAGTAAATTATGCCCCTACTGCGAGTAGGGGCATGTCTAGTAAATGGTGAGGACAGTTAAATGCCCCCAAGTGTCCCCCCTCCTGAGCCCCCACCGGTGCTGCGCGAGTGGGGGCTTTTAAACTGAGCAGTGGGTGGGGGCCCTAAAGAAGAATAAGTGGGGGGAGACCTATAGTCCTCCCCCTGAGCAGTGGGTGAGGGCCCTAGAGAAGAATGGGGTGGGGGACCTATTGTCCTACCCCCCCGGCCCCCACCCCTGAGCAGCGCATGGTGGCCCGAAAGTAAAAGAGGGGGGGACTTTTTTTTATAAATCCCTACCTACCACCCTCACCCTAAAAATAGTGAGGGGGGAACAATGACTAAATACCTGTAAAATAAATTAAAAAAAAAAAATTAAATTTACCATTTGATGTCTTCTTTTTTCTGCCCCAAAAAGGCCAAATAATAAACCATAATACTAGTCGCACTTTAAAAAACCATAATACTAAAAAAACGAAAAAAAACCCCAGACGCTGAAAAAGTAATCCATCTTCATCCATGGAGGGCACCGCGCAGACTGAACTCCACAGGGCGGGGGAAGGTTTATAAAGCCTTGCCCCGCCCTGCAATTAGGCTCAGAGCACTCTGCTTGGTTGGTTTAAGCCATCCAATCAGAGTGCTCTGACAGGTAAATGAAGAGACTGACAGGTAAGTCTCTACATTTACCTGTCACAGCACTCTGATTGGTTAGCTTGAAATCCAACCAATTAGAGTGCTCTGTGTCATTTTACACAGCGTGGGAAAGTTCTTTGGAATTTTTTCCACGCTGTGTAATTTGACTCATAACAACACTCTGATTGGTTGGATTTCAAGCTAGCCAATTAGAGTGCTGTGACAGGTAAATGTTGTGGGGATATTTATGGGGTGATAAATATTAAAAAAAATATTTTAAAAAAATTATCAAAAATTTATTTTAATATTGAGAATTACCCACTATTTTAATTCACTGAGATCCTAGAGAACGTTCATTATGAGGATTTTATTCAACACTGTAAAATCACAATTTCTTTATAAAAATATAATTTATTGTGACAATAATAATAAAATATAACATGCATAACAATCAGTGAATATTTAGGTATAACATTGGTATACAATATGGTAATTACAAAAAGAGAAGTCCTGCGCTCACTCCCATCGCTCCTGGGCGGCAGCAATGACCACAGTATACATCAGCCCCAATATATAGTTAAAAACCAAAGAAAAAAAAGTTACCTGCGCTCACTCCTTAATCCCTATGTATAGTTAGACAAATGGAGGTCATTTAGTTACTCCAATGGTCATTGGAGGGAATGCCCGCCTGCCAACGTCAAGGCAGACCCCTCCCTTAGCGGGTCCTACACTGACCCTTCACCTTGCTTCATGTGTTCCCTATTAAGGGTTAATAAGTATGTAGGGGTGTATATAAAAAAAAATACCCCTCTCTGTCTCAGTGGAGATATCTTTGCCAGAAGCTCAAGGAAGCAAAAAAATGACGAAAAACGCGCTGTGCTGAGGCGCCGGGCGAAACATAAAGGAAAACCAGAGGCCTAAGTCCATCCGGTCTCAGGCCAAGAAGGGTCGCACGCCAACCGTGGACGAAAGTGCAAGATGTACTTCCACCAACCCAGCTCACCCTAGGGATGACACGCGTCCCAGAGACAGCAGAACAACGCAAGCATTCGGGAAGCCCTCTCCCCGACAATGCTATCCATAACCTTTGATGCCCGAACACAATTCGCGTGCGTCATGGGGTGTATCCGAGCACTGTATTTTAAAAAAAATGTTTTCATCTTCACGTCCCTCAATCAAAGGACCCCCAGTAGCAGGAGGGAACCCATCTCCAATCTGCTCCTTAGTATTTCGCGACAAGCGCCAGCCAAGCGGGCTATACTAGCGCACATCAGCCAGCGCCCTGAGCCACATGAAATGCCCACCTCCTGGGAGGCATCGCCAGCGCTATTAGCTGCGCAGGACGCTGCAGGAAACTGTACTAAAGAATATGATAAATATTGAGAATGGGGGGGGGGGAATAACCAGAGTGGATTCCCTGGTAAGCGGCATCCACATACTGTTTTATTTTTATTTATAATTTTTTTTTAAATTTTATTTATTTTTTTATTTCTATTCACTTTTTTTTGTTTTGTTTTGTTTAGTTTTTTTTTTTAATGAATTCCAAAACTAACAGGGAAAAAACACACTTATCCGTGAAAATCCTGGTGCTCCAACAGCGGCATCGCAGGCACAGAAGGCAAAGCAAATAGACAGGAAAACCAGGGTTCACTGTGTTCATCCCACGTGTTACAGGCGCCACCTGCTGGGCAGGTCCAGTAACAGCAGCCAGGATATGTGAGAAGAGCAGATGTGAGCCTATGCTCCACACCAGGAGGCAGTCGAGGTAAGTGACCAGCAGGGGGGACACACAGACAGAACAGGGACACACACACATAAAATAGGGACAATACAGCCAGAGAAGGGACAAACATAGAGGAAGGGGCACATAGATAGAACAGGGACACACAAGGGGGGTGGGGGGGAGGGATGAGACCCACCCAGAGAGAGCAGGGGAAGGAACAAGGAGCCAACCAAGAAGGGAAAAGAAAAACGGGTGGGGGGGGAGGGGGAGCAGAAAAGGGAAGGAGCCGGAGGGGGCTCCCCGAGCAAGCCGGACCCCCCCAACTGACACCAGGGGGACCCAAGGGAAGCGGTACGTGACAGAGGGTGGTGGGACAGGGGAGAGAGATACAAGGGAGCCTACCTCACCGGCAGAGGAGGCTCCCGGACCACTTGAGGACCCCCTGGTCACGAACGGCACCACCCGCCAGGAACGTACGGCCCGCCTTCCACTGCCCCTGGCCGTGGATGCAGGCCAGGTAGGCCGTGCTTCCCACGCGGCACATGAAGGCCGCGGATCCTGAGGAAAAGTTGCAGACCGCGTGTCTGGAGCCCCCAGACACGCGGGCCTAGTGATGCCTCGGGCCCAGGCTCCCACCTCAACCGGGCCCGGGGAGGAGTGACAGGGCACCCCCTTAAAGTGACAAGGTACCCCCCTGGATTTGCAGGGCACCCCCCTAGAGTTGCAGGTTACCCACTTAAAGGGACAGAGTACCCCCAAACGATCCTTTGCCCCCTGAATGCCGGCCCCCAGGAGCCAGGGCCACAGGGAAAGCCCCAGAGAGAGACAGGCCGCGGGGGGGAGGCCCACGCCGGCAGCCATAGCTGGGGTGAGGATATCACCTGGATCACGGAGTCGCCGACCAACATCCACGATGCAGCAGCCCTGAGGGAAGCCAGAAAGCCTCAACCTCCATCCCTCAAGCTGTGTCAATCTGGCCCAGGCAAACAGGAGCAGGAGGACAGGAAGCTGTTTGCTGGCCCGAATCCCAAGTGGCACTGAGACCTCCCCCCCACTAATTTACACAGAACATAATCCCACCCATACACTCTTTCCCAACCAATCCCATGCATCTATCCCCACACTCCTACATGTGCCCTTGTCTGCTTAGCTGCCACTCCTCCACCAGTTCCTCTCTTCTATCAGTGTAAACCGAGCACAATACGTCCCTATAAATGCCGAAGGGCAATACAAATTCTGGTAAAGACAACTTTACAGGTCTCTTGCTTTTAGCACCACTGAAATATTCCCATGCGCATATGTTCTATTCTGGGAGGCAATTAAGAGTGAGACAAGGTTAAAGTCTTTGCCCTCCAGGATGTCCTTCTTGAGACTAGCCAGAACCATATGTGATGGATTAATTACCATAGGAAGACTCAGTAGAACCAAAGAATTACCCAGTAGTGTGGGTGAAGTTTCAGATGGAATAAGCTCAGTTACTCCAGCAGGTAACCTGGTGGTGCTGCCAGAGACCAACCTCGAGTCTATCGATAATAATGAGATCATCATAGCATGTACATCAGGCAGTTGGGAACCACTAGGCCTTTCCCCAGCACTCGAGTTGTAGGTGTTTCTATTCAGCAGCCTGTACAACTCTGCTTTCCTGGCTGTAGCGGGGAACAGGATATTCCTTCTGTGGAGCCCGGTAGTAATACGTGGAATATACCACGATCTAAGGGAAAAAGGATTAGCCGCGTACACCCTGCGAGAAAAAGTACCAGACCTAGCGGGGGTGCTGGGAAGAGATAGTTCCCCTGCTTCTTTGGGGACATGAGACATACTAAAATCTAAAATAACAATTAGTATGAACCTAATTAGTACTGGCAGGCAAACTATTAGACTATTAAAAAGATTAGTCCTGCGCTCACTCCTATCACTACTGGGCCGGCAGCAATGACTACAGTACACATCAGCTCAAATATGTAGTAAAAACCAAAGAAAAGAAAAAGTTACCTGCGCTCTCTCCTTAATCCCTATGTATATTTAGACAAATGGAGGTCATTTAGGGGGGTCTGCCTTGACGTTGGCAGACGGGCATTCCCTCCAATGGCCATTGGAGCAACTAAATGACCTCCATTTGTCTAAATATACATAGGGATTAAGGAAAGCGTGCAGGTAACTTTTTCTTTTCTTTGGTTTAAACTATTGCCAAGCGGCAAAAAATTCCACTAAAGAGGTTACAGATGAGGCCCTGCTAGTTGCCAAGCGGCTTGAAAGGCTTTGCCGATGCATTGCCCCAAGGGAATTTTGTGGCCACCGATTGTTGTGGCGGGGTGTCTATCTCTCTGTGACAAAGCAGAAGATAGTATGGGAGTGTCACGGCAGCTAGTGTGGTCCAACACGCAGAAACTATGTAAATATATACATACAAAAGAAAAGGAAAATATAGGACAGAGATTAAACAGGACCTTAGAATGGCCGGACTAATACGTTAGAGATAGAGAATGGTCAAAGGGAAAGCCGAGGTCAAGGAAGCCAGAAATACTCAAATACCATTTACACAAGCCAAGTCAGGGGAACCAGTATTCAGAATAACCAGGGAAAAGCCAAGATCAGGATACCAGGAAATCAGTTTCACAAAGATAAACGCACTCTCAGGAACCAGTAACAGGAAACCACGACAGGGCAAGGAAGTAAAGTGAATTAGGGATTTAAATATCCCTCTCTGGCTTCTGATTGGTCAGAGGGTGACCTCTGACCCCAGAACGTGCGCGTGCGTTGACGATATGACGTCACGCACACGTTTGTATTCATTAGAGGGGCGGAGCTTAAGATGGACGCAACCACGTGGTCCGCGCCATCTTTGATTTGGGCACGATGCCCAGAGAAGACAGCGGAGCGGCTCCCGGCTCGCCGACAAGCAGGTAAGCTTGTGGTGTCGGCGAGACCGTGCCGGTCGCGCACAGCCGCGGCATCCGGTGGGTCGGGAGCCGCAACAGGGAGAGACAGGTAAGGCTCTCTCTATGCAACCATGCGAGGCGGATAACTATGCGTTGGACCGATGGGCGAATACCTCAGAGTATGAGGATGGGTGTTGGCCTTGCGGGACCACTAACCAATGGCATAGAGGCCAGAAAATATTCACATTATTGGACACCTAGATCCCTATGAGACAGTAGCTTCTACATAAGGGAGTGCCTAAATAGCATAAGAGCAATATGTGGTAATATGACATACCGGAGACTGTAAAAGTTAGAAAACGGTCAGTTCGCTGTAAGCAGTAGGTTTGGGGTAAGAGTAAGGGTCTGTAACCTAACGATGAGAAAACGTAAAGTAATGTGTTAAAGTATCTAGAATTTGTGTGGGCCAAATCGTGGACCAAAATAATTCAACATAGACCTACCAATGTTGCCAGGTACGATGTATAATGGGCAAAGGCTGCCCCGCAATGCTGAGCACCTCGTAACCTAAAATATAAAGTATAGCATTCAAAACAAGCAATGATACCTGACCCCACATTATACAATATCTACCGGGACCCACCTTGCTAGGAGAACCCGACACAAATGACAAGAGTTGGCCAGAGTTTATCACCTACTAATAGAGTGAAAATGACACGAAGCATTGAAAAGGACCAATCGTGATGGCATGAAAATTTAAATAAAACAGAAACGTAACCTACCTAAACGTAACAAAATTTGACACCTGCAAAAAGGCAGAAGCAACTAAAACAGAGTACAAGTCCTCAAATGAACCTAAGGATAAAAGTGACGACTCAGCCCGTAATGATTTATAAAGTAACACGTCCCCTGAAATAGTAAGATTCAGAAATTACAATAGATAAATCTTTTACAACAGAAATTGCAATACCCAGTTTTAACCAGTAAGGGGACTCGTACCCTTGTAATACCTGAATCAAGTATACTAACAGATTTCCCTTCAATTTGCCTGAAGCCAATTAAGCAGTGAAACAGGTTATTACAATGCGTTCGGGAGTAACGGCATGAACATAAAGCCATAGGGTGTTCGTGTACTATCGACAAATTATGGAGCCGTATGCATAAAAGGACACGAATGCTTTTAAAACCGTGGCACATTTAGCCTTTGGGCTGTATAACTGTATTACACGTTTTGCTGCTGCGTACTAAGTGTATATGGGCGAGGGACCAGAAAGCTGCTAATGATGGGTGTTATAGTCCATGCTTCTCCAGTACCCATGCTAGAGAATTTTACCTGCAAATGTTAAAGGAACACTAGTGCATATGATATAGGGCTATTCCAAGCTAGGGAAACAGAAAATATATGGCATAGTGCAATACTGTATATACTGTGATTGGGTATATGGGTAAGTGACAAATGCTCACTCACACTTTAACATCCCAAGAAGTGCTTTCAGAAATATGCTGTGTCTTCTTTGCTTCAGATACTTGGTAAATGTGAATCTCACATAAAAAACAAAGTGCAAAAAAATATAGATTGAATGACTGTTTGAGTAAAGAGTAAAATAAAGTAAATAAAAGCAGGTAAATCAGTCCAACGCGTTTCTTCCCTGTTAGGGACTTCCTCAGGGACAATCTTTTACAAAGATGATGAATAAAAATACATATAAACCTAGTTACAAACATCTCCCAATATATACCACCCCCAATCAGTCCCAATAGTGGTTCTGCAGGTGATTCCATTTCTCTTCAGCTGTTTTCAATTCAAATTTGAGTTACTTCCGGGTTTCGTGTATCCTGTGCGGTCACGTGATGTGCGTGATGACGTCATGCGTTCCAGCTATGCGTTCCACCTTCGTTTTGGCTGGCACTCATAATTACAAACTGAGATGTTGAAAAAAGTCCCAAAAAAGACTGTTTCTAAGTAGAAATACAAGTGGGGGGAGTGTACAAAAGGGAATTGCAAAGAGGTTAAAAAGATGTTGCTGGTTTAAAGTTTTTTTTAATAATCTTTATTTATAAGAAACAAGTTAAAGAGATATTACTAACTTGAAAATTTCTAAACAAACTTTATTTATAAAAGACAAAACAGACACACTAATAACCTGTGTTTCTTACATTAATACATTTATATGTCAGTGTGCATGAATGCTCAACTGCATACCACATAAGGCAACATGCACACTGCATAATATGATATGCACAAGCCAAGATGTTCTAAATAATGCCATAAATGCATTAAAGTGTTAATTCTACCTTCGACGGACGCCAGCTCAACTTTAGATTCCACCCAACGGAGAGAACTTGAGTCCACCCCTGACCAATAAATACAAAAATGGGTAGTAGGGCGACAGGACTACATGGTAGACAACCTCCCACATGCTACGAGAGGAACAATAGAGGCACCTGTCGACACGGGCAGACTCCTGTCGGGAACAAGGGCGTGAGCTCCCCACCCCGGGGGTACCACCACTGGAGGTGGAGATGTGGGAATCTAATCCAGCACCGGCCGCCTAGATGGGACCCATACCGAGGGAGGGGTCATAAGGGGCTATACCTGTTTCCGATAGGGAGTTGAGTGAGCCCTATAGTCTTCTCAGTAAGGCGAACTAAACCCCGGGATGTAAGGCGAGAGAAACGTCTAAAGCCCTAGAAAGGGCCCAGATAACATGGGCGAACGGTAGTCGTATGCCCCTATACATTAAACAACTCTATTCGACAGGCGAATATTGTAGGTACTGAGTCAGTAAGCAAGGACAGCATAGTGCTTGTAGACGTGGGACGGATAGGGGAGGGGGGTGGGGGGGAAAGGGTCAGACGGGAAGACCGCTGTAAGGGGACGGAGGAAAAGGGATAAACTTCCAAACAAATGCTGTAAGGGGAAAGATGCCTTTTCTTCTCATATTTCTCTGTTTCCTCAATGTATATCGCATTGGTTGGATGTCATGTACATGCTATGTGAAACAACAATAAAAAGAGAATGTCAAAAAAAAATAAAGTGTTAATTCTATAAAAAATAAATGTATATAAAAAGAATGATAATAAAAAAATATAATAAAACATGGTAGTTTATCTACCTTCAGCAGAAAATCTGTAATTTTAAAATTAAAGTATATCTAATACTACTGAAAGACCAAGTATTTGTAGTTCCTTTTTATTCAATGGTAGGAAAAAATAGAATAGATTCTTGGCTTGTTCAATGCCAAAAAACATATAGAGGGATATATGACAATATACACCACCCACAGAGAGCAAAAGAAAAAGAAAAGAGATCAGAGGAAAAAAGAAGAATTACTCCAAAAAGCACCACAGATCTATGTCTGCATTTAATCCTCCTGGTTGGAGGGTTTTTAATATATTGATCCAATACGTTTCTCGCTGTGCTAGTCTTTTAATAAGGTTGCCAGCCCTCCAATGGTTGTCAATTATTTCTAGACCTATATAGTGGAAGTGTTTCCAACTAAAATTAAGACATGAATTACAATGCATGGGAAGCGAATGTTTATCATATTTTTTTCTAATATTATTTTTATGTTCCAAAATTCGTTCTTTAAGTTTTCTACACGTGCGTCCCACGTATTGCTTTCCACAGGGGCAGTGTAGCAAATATATTACATTTTTACTATCACAGTTTATATTAGTCTTAATATTAAATTCTCTACCTGTAACTGTACTTTTAAACTTTGTTACTTTCAAAAGCCTCTGTGTCAAACAGGCTTTACAATGATTACATGAGCTAAAACCCTTTATTCCACTTTTCTTGTTTTCATGTTTGTTTTTTAAGGCATAGCCAGGAGCCAATAAGCTTTTCAAATTTTTTGCTTTCCTAAAAATCATAGGTGGCTGTTTGGGTAATGTTTCTCCTAAAATTGGATCTTTAAGCAAGATGCCCCAGTGCTTATTCAGAATATTTCTAATCTTTCGATGTTGGGTATTATACTGGGTAATAAATGCATATTTAAAATTTTCCCCTTTATCTTTGACTCTTTTCTTCTTTTTAATTAGATCCTTTCTATCTAGTCTTCCTGTTTCCTTAATTTCCTTGTCTAATACACTTCTTTCATATTTTTTGGACATAAGTTTATTGCATAAATGTTTAGCTTGTTCCTTATAATCATAATTATTGGTACAGTTTCTTTTGATTCGAATTAGTTGGCTTTTAGGTATAGAATTTAGCCAATGTTCGTGATGACAGCTCTTTTTATGAATAAAGCTATTACCTTCTGTCTCTTTGAAGTAACACTTTGATTGAACCTTATTATTTTTAATATAAAATGTAATGTCCAAAAAATTTATACTTCTGGTATCAAATGTATGTGTGAACTTTAAATTATAGTTATTGATGTTAATATAATTCAAGAATTTTTCTAGTTCACTCTGAGTTCCCTTCCAAATTAGGATAACGTCATCTATAAAACGCTTCCAGAGGACCAGGTTTGCAACCCAGCTATGCCCCCTCCACACGGAGTTGGTCTCCCAGTCTCTCATGTATATGCTGGCATAGCTGGGGGCAAACCTGGTCCCCATGGCTGTGCCAGTTTGTTGAAGATAAAAAACATTGTTAAAGGAAAAATAGTTATGGTGTAAAATAAAGTGAATACCATCCAATACAAAATTTCTCAAATTATTTGATGTATTAATATCCTCCTTCATGATTTTCTCTACTGCTTGAATACCCAATTCATGTTTGATTATTGTGTATAATGAAGTAACATCAATCGTTACCCAAATGTAATCTTCCTCCCAGTCTCTATTTGCCATCAACTCCAAAATGTGAGAAGAATCTCGTATATAGGAGGGGGCTTGTTGAGCAAATTTTTGTAAATAATAATCTATAAATTCGGAAAGGCGTGATGTAACTGAATCTATTCCACTTATAATGGGTCTCCCTGGGGGCTCTACAGGGTTCTTATGCAACTTGGGCAAAAAATAGAAAATCGGGATCACAGGAAATTCGACATGAAGATACTCAATATTTTTTTTTATTAGTTCATTTATTCATTTTCTATCACAATCACTTGTTGAATTGTAATTCACAAAGCACTGTATATGAACACTACTTATGAGTGTGTGAGAAATTCTATATATCTTGTTTAAAGGAACACTAGTGTCAGGAATACAAATGTGTTTTCCTGACACTAAAAGGTCTAAATAGCTGATTAGGCCCAATCCTCACCCCCGATTAAAAAGATTTACTCACCTTATTCCAGCGCTGCGCACGTCTGTTTATGGCCCCGTCCTCTTGACTAAGATTACCAAACTTGTTGATCTCAGCCAACACAATATTTTCCCATAGAGATGAATTTGAAGGCTATTGCACGTGTGTGGATCAATGCATCTTTAAGGGGAAAGTTCAGTGCCTCAATGTAGAGTGTGGGACGCTGAAAGTCAGTGCTGCATACTGCAGCAATACCCAGGAAGCACCTCTTGTAGCCATCTGAGTGTCTGCCACTGCAGATGTCGGTCCCTAGGCTGTAATGTAAACACTGTCTTTTCTCTAGGCAGTAATGTAAACACGACCTTTTAATCGGTTTACATTATAATGCTTGCAGAGACAGGCAGTAGAGACCAGAACAACTACAATGAGCTGTAGTTGTTTATTTATAAATGTTTTGTGGACCCACGACATTCTTGAAAATGGAAGAAATCTCAATGTATCTTTCCTGGTAAAATATTTTATAAATAAATGTGCAGAGCATAGGTGCCTAATATGTGTGAAGGGAACCAAACCTGGACCAACGTTCATGTGGGTCTCGAAAGCTCCCCTGCAGCAAGTATGCTTAAAGGCACAAAAACAGCCAAAAGGCTGGGCTTATAGCTTACGGTTCAGCTGGCACTTGTGAGTGACCAGAAGTAGTCACACGCAACTCGCCAGACCATAAAGGTATGTGAGAGAGGTTTGGAGACCGTTAAAAGGGGACCCAAGCCCCTCCGACAACTACAAGCCCAGCCTTTAACATATAAAACATACAAGTTCCAGCGCACTCGCTTATTCACTAAACAGCAATTTGAAGCTTTACAGAATGTTATAGTTTTATTTAAAAACACCTCACCTAGGCAAAAAATAATGAGGGTTTAGCTACAGTATATGATTATACTAACAAAACACAAATAGCACTGCTTGAAGGAACAAATAATAAAGTATTTAACCAGGAAAAGTACATTCAGATTACTCTGGTCTCCAAATACAATATTTTCTGTAATAACAAAATATAAGACAAATTAGACAAACAGAAAAAATACCAGATTTAAATCCCCCTCCCCCCTCAAAATGCTGCAAGCAGGTCGTCAATCTACTGTTTAGCAAATAAAACCCTGCGTTTCAAGATGTCCCTGCGTCTGAGATTACTGGGAATGTGGCCACTACGTACTAGCTCTGGCACAGAAATCATCTATAAATCGTTTTTATAGCACATTCTTTTGAGTCTCGTACAGATTCCATGATTTCAGCAACAAGACGGATCCATGCCAACCATTTCGGAATCCAAACTGCAACCGCACATGTGAACTCCTGCCAAGGCTGCAGCTGTCACTTCACACCTGGGTGAAGATAAGAGAGTGGTCACATTGCAATTAGTTTTAAATGCATTTATAAAGGAAAACTTTCTTCTACATTTTCTCTGTGTTTACGCCTACTAGCGGAGATCTCAGAGTGTGGGTCAATCCATAGTCCTTCATCCTTGAATGGCAATGAACATTTCTCGCTTGTACTAAACGGGTAATCATATTATGCTGTAACTAAACCTACACTCTACGATCTCAACAAACATGTATATATCATTGATTTTGTGGATCTATCTCAACTGATAATATATCGCTGTATACTCATACGGTAAAAAACACTGTGTGTGTTTGTAACCTGTTTTGTTGTAACCCAAGGTCTACACCAGCTTTTTTTTGGTCAACTATGGATGACTATTATTCTTCATGTACCACCTGCTCTCTGAGACTAAATAAGAATGAAATAAACAAAACAAACAAACAAACCCGCTTCCTATTCATCAAGGAGATTTTACATCTTGTATAGATCTAGCTGAAGTTTGATATTTCACATTAAATTATAGCTTTCGAACGCAGCCTTAAAGGGGCAGTCCAGCCACTGATCACTGCAGCTCATTGTAGTGGTTATTCTGTGTCCTCCCTTGATTTTTTTGTAAAACCATTTAAGCAGTTTGACAGTAACCAAGGATCATCCTTAAATCAGGCATTATCTGGCCAACCTCAGAAAGCAATGAAAGGCTGTGAGATGAGAGTCAGACAAGGGACGAGACTCTAGGTGCCCGGAAGGCAATGCTTTTTGTCAATAAGCTAAAAAAGGATTTTAAAGAAAGACAGTGGGTTGTAGTGGTCATAGTACTTTGCGTACAGCTTTATATAAAGTCATTTTACCAGAAACAACAGTTCAATCTATTGAATTTTTTAAATCAATAGTTGGATTTGTAGGATTCCTAATCTATGCAGTATGGCTGAAAGGGTTACTACAACCAAAAATCAGTATTTTCATAAAACACTCTCCCAAAATTAGAAAAATAAAACTAAGAACTAAAAACTCACCTCCGTTCCATAGCTGGTTCTTCTAGTAGCCCAGACCTCTTTTACTGACATGGTGGAGGAGGGAGGACGGACTGACGTGCATGATGGTGCAAGCTGCCAATTTAGCACAGAACTTACATTAAGCACGCAGAACGTTGTTCTTGGCTAGCTAATGACAGTGCCTGAGATGGCGTTACATGTATTTTATATGCAGCGCTTCAAGTGAAACTCTGCACATCCAGACTTCAGGCACCTTGACCACTTCAAATCAATGAATCACGATGCTTGGTGTAACCTTTTAAAGTAATATTTTACTAGGGTTCAACCCCCCAAAAGACATCGTTATACAAACCCCAATCCCAGTCTGCTAAATACAACTAACATCCTTATTTTATTGCAATAAATAGAAAATAAATCTCATTCCACACACTGACAATGCTGCAAATTTTTATTGATAACACAGGATGGTCACACAAATTAGTAGACATCGGAATGTTCTACTGGTCTATTATGGAGAAAAAAATAAAAATAGTTCATGGGACCAAAGGATAAGAAAATGAAAGAGATGCATTATTTTGCATTAGACATAGAGACGCTGTCACAGGATTAACAGTTTGTAAAAGCAGATATTTAGATACAAGTTATCCATCCCCAGTGCCAAGCACAGACCCTTTATAGAGGGAGAGCTGGTGATTCTGTTTAGTGGATCTGGACTTATCCAGCTTGCAGATAATAGGCTTCTGCACCAAGACAGCCACGACGGCTCATCTAGTCCCTGAATACGTTTATTAATTACAATTAACATGATGCGAGGAAGTGTAAGTGAGTGCAGTCCACAAGCACCATGGGAAACGTGATTTAATGCTGAAGCAGGGCGCCTCTGAAGCACCATTAACGGCAGTATGAGTAGCCTCAATCAAATGTCCCACATTAGGCAAAAGCAAAATGAAAACCTTAATTCTGAGTCTACGGCACAATACCAGTCAGCTCACACTCCCTGCATACCAAGATACGGTCTATATAACATCACACTGCCCCTTGTGGCCAAAAGATGCACACTACGTTATATTTGCCATCGGGTGTATTTTGTTCCTCTGAATGACAGATGGACTTTCCTTGCAGTCATTGTTTGGCAAATTTAATATCCTTCATCTGCCCAGGTCACTTTATAATCCGGATATTTGGCTTGGATTTTTTCCATAGACACAGCGTGCCTTGCTCGTCCGAAACCCTGCAAGGCAAGAATGCAATGCCCTTAAATGAGATTTTGTCTTAACAGGACAGCCCCATGTTATAGTAGATCTATAAATTGTTTTTACTGAATGGGGTCTATTTCACTTGTAATTAGAAAATATGCATTTCAAAAAAAGACAGCTATTCGGTTATTTCATTTCCACATTTTGCCATCACTGACCACAAAGGGAATTCTACAAAAAATACTAAACCAAAAAAAAAAAATAAGAATACAGTTTTAATTCACATTCTTTCTCCCAGCTCACTGCTTTCAAAAGGTGAAGCCAGTTATACATTTCTTGTGATACTATCTCAGTGAGTTATTGAATATAAAGCCATTTATATTTAAGACGAGTTGGCTATTCACCAGAGAGTATCCGTAGATGTGGATTTTCTTGTCCTTGCTCGAATGACTGATTCTCCCTCCTCCAAGACATTCACAGTCGTACACATTATTCTTCTCGATTTCGGCCGCCACCTTGTCATAGATATCCGCTGCAGTAAATCAAAGAATCTGCATCAGAAGGTGGGTGAGTTACAGAATGTTATACCCCGAAACCAACAATTGTCAGAGAGACACACAAAGAACATTCGTTAAAGGACCATGTCAATGAAGTGGTCTGGGTGCATTGGTCCTGTCATTTTAACCCTACGACTTAAAACATTGCAGTTTCATAGTAAAAGGAACACTATAGGCACCCAGACCACTTCATCTCATTGAAGTGGTCTGGCTGCAGTGTCCCTGTCCCCTTAACGACGGCGGTAATTGTATACATATCAAAACAAACCCTAGATTTTGACTGTCTTTTCATTTATAATTCACCTCTTTATATCTTTCTGTGCTATAATTCCCCCCCAACATCATCAGGGGATTGCTTTGTGAGAGCGATTACATGGCTAGCAGGGGCCTTTCAGATGGAGGGGAACTGCCTGAGCGGGCAGGAAGTCCCCCCAAAGCAGAGTACCAGTAAGGTAAGTATCCTGAAAGCTGTTATGGCGTTTATGGTAAGCTACCCCTGCGAGTAGCTTATCTCTACGGGGTACACTACCCCTGTGGTCAGCTGATCCCTATGGGTAACCTGCCCCTGTGGTTAGATGATCCCTATGGGTAACCTGCCCCTGTGGTTAGATGATCCCCATGGGTAACCTGCCCCTGTGGTTAGAGGATCCCCATGGGTAACCTGCCCCTGTGGTTAGAGGATCCCTATGGGTAACCTACGCCTGTGGTTAGATGATCCCTACGGGTAACCTGCCCCTGTGGTTAGCTGATCCCTACGGGTAACCTGCCCCTGGGGTTAGCTGATCCCTACGGGTAACCTGCCCCTGGGGTTAGCTGATCCCTACGGGTAACCTGCCCCTGGGGTTAGCTGATCCCTACGGGTAACCTGCCCCTGGGGTTAGCTGATCCCTACGGGTAACCTGCCCCTGGGGTTAGCTGATCCCTACGGGTAACCTGCCCCTGGGGATAGCTGATCCCTACGGGTAACCTGCCCCTGGGGTTAGCTGATCCCTACGGGTAACCTGCCCCTGGGGTTAGCTGATCCCTACGGGTAACCTGCCCCTGGGGTTAGCTGATCCCTACGGGTAACCTGCCCCTGGGGTTAGATGATCCCTACGGGTAACCTGCCCCTGGGGTTAGAGGATCCCTATGGGTAACCTACCCCTGTGGTTAGATGATCCCTATGGGTAACCTGCCCCTGTGGTTAGAGGATCCCCATGGGTAACCTGCCCCTGTGGTTAGAGGATCCCCATGGGTAATCTGCCCCTGTGGTTAGAGGATCCCCATGGGTAACCTGCCCCTGTGGTTAGAGGATCCCCATGGGTAACCTACCCCTGTGGTTAGCTGATCCCTATGGGTAACCTGCCCCTGGGGTTAGCTGATCCCTACGGGTAACCTGCCCCTGGGGTTAGTTGATCCCTACGGGTAACCTGCCCCTGGGGTTAGCTGATCCCTACAGGTAACCTGCCCCTGGGGTTAGCTGATCCCTATGTGGTTAGCTGATACCTATGGGTAACCTGCCCCTGGGATTAGCTGATCCCTATGGGTAACCTGCCCCTGTGGTTAGATGATCCCTATGGGTAACCTGCCCCTGTGGTTAGCTGATCCCTATGGGTAGCTGATCCCTGATCCCTATGGGTTAACCTGCCTGCCTGTGGTTAGCTGATCCCTATGGGTAACCTGCCCCTGTGGTTAGGTGATCCCTATGGGTAACCTGCCCTGTGGTTAGATGATCCCTATGTGGTTAGATGATCCCTATGGGTAACCTGCCCCTGTGGTTAGATGATCCCTATGTGGTTAGCTGATCCCTATGGGTAACCTGCACCTGGGGTTAGATGATCCCTATGGGTAACCTGCCCCTGGGGTTAGATGATCCCTATGGGTAACCTGCCCCTGGGGTTAGAGGATCCCTATGGGTAACCTGCCCCTGTGGTTAGCTGATCCCTATGGGTAACCTGCCCCTGGGGTTAGTTGATCCCTATGGGTAACCTGCACCTGGGGATAGCTGATCCCTATGGGTAACCTGCCCCTGGGGTTAGCTGATCCCTATGGGTAACCTGCCCCTGGGGTTAGCTGATCCCTATGGGTAACCTGCCCCTGTGGTTAGAGGATCCCCATGGGTAACCTGCCCCTGTGGTTAGAGGATCCCTATGGGTAACCTACCCCTGTGGTTAGATGATCCCTATGGGTAACCTACCCCTGTGGTCAGCTGATCCCTATGGGTAACCTGTCCCTGGGGTTAGCTGATCCCTATGGGAAACCTGCCCCTGGGGTTAGCTGATCCCTATGGGTAACCTGCCCCTGGGGTTAGCTGATCCCTACGGGTAACCTGCCCCTGTGGTTAGCTGATCCCTACGGGTAACCTGCCCCTGGGGTTAGCTGATCCCTACGGGTAACCTGCCCCTGGGGTTAGCTGATCCCTACGGGTAACCTGCCCCTGGGGTTAGCTGATCCCTACGGGTAACCTGCCCCTGGGGTTAGCTGATCCCTATGGGTAGCCTGCCCCTGTGGTTAGCTGATCCCTATGTGGTTAGTTGATCCCTATGTGGTTAGAGGATCCCTATGGGTAACCTGCCCCTGGGGTTAGCTGATCCCTATGGGTAACCTACCCCTGTGGTTAGGTGATCCATATGGGTAACCTACCCCTGTGGTTAGATGATCCCTATGGGTAACCTGCCCCTGTGGTTAGATGATCCCTATGGGTAACCTGCCCCTGTGGTTAGCTGATCCCAATGTGGTTAGCTGATCCCTATGGGTAACCTGCCCCTGTGGTTAGCTGATCCCAATGTGGTTAGCTGATCCCTATGGGTAACCTGCCCCTGTGGTTAGCCGATCCTTTTGGGTAACCTGCCCCTGGGGTTAGATGATCCCTATGGGTAACCTGCCCCTGGGGTTAGAGGATCCCTATGGGTAACCTGCCCCTGTGGTTAGCTGATCCCTATGGGTAACCTGCCCCTGGGGTTAGTTGATCCCTATGGGTAACCTGCCCCTGTGGTTAGCTGAACCCTATGGGTAACCTGCCCCTGGGGTTAGCTGATCCCTATGGGTAACCTGCCCCTGGGGTTAGCTGATCCCTATGGGTAACCTGCCCCTGGGGTTAGTTGATCCCTATGGGTAACCTGCCCCTGTGGTTAGATGATCCCTATGGGTAACCTGCCCCTGGGGTTAGAGGATACCTTATGGGTAACCCGCCCCTGTGGTTAGATGATCCCTATGGGTAACCCGCCCCTGTGGTTAGATGATCCCTATGGGTAACCTGCCCCTGTGGTTAGCTGATCCCTATGTGGTTAGCTGATCCCTATGGGTAACCTGCCCCTGTGGTTAGCTGATCCCTATGTGGTTAGCTGATCCCTATGGGTAACCTGCCCCTGGGGTTAGATGATCCCTATGGGTAACCTGCCCCTGGGGTTAGATGATCCCTATGGGTAACCTGCCCCTGTGGTTAGCTGATCCCTATGTGGTTAGCTGATCCCTATGTGGTTAGAGGATCCCTATGGGTAACCTGCCCCTGTGGTTAGCTGATCCCTATGGGTAACCTACCCCTGTGGTTAGATGATCCCTATGGGTAACCTGCCCCTGTGGTTAGATGATCCCTATGGGTAACCTGCCCCTGTGGTTAGCTGATCCCTATGTGGTTAGCTGATCCCTATGGGTAACCTGCCCCTGTAGTTAGCTGATCCCTATGTGGTTAGCTGATCCCTATGGGTAACCTGTCCCTGGTGTTAGATGATCCCTATGGGTAACCTGTCCATGGGGTTAGAGGATCCCTATGGATAACCTGCCCCTGGGGTTAGAGGATCCCTATGGGTAACCTGCCCTTGTGGTTAGCTGATCCCTATGGGTAACCTGTCCATGGGGTTAGAGGATCCCTATGGGTAACCTGCCCCTGGGGTTAGAGGATCCCTATGGGTAACCTGCCCTTGTGGTTAGCTGATCCCCATGGGTAACCTGCCCCTGTGGTTAGCTGATCCCTATGGGTAACCTGCCCCTGGGGTTAGATGATCCCTATGGGTAACCTGCCCATGGGGTTAGATGATCCCTATGGGTAACCTGCCCCTGTGGTTAGTTGATCCCTATGGGTAACCTGCCCCTGCGGTTAGCTGATCCCTATGGGTAACCTGCCCATGGGGTTAGATGATCCCTATGGGTAACCTGCCCCTGGGATTAGAGGATCCCTATGGGTAACCTGCCCCTGTGGTTAGCTGATCCCTATGTGGTTAGCTGATCCCTATGGGTAACCTGTCCATGGGGTTAGAGGATCCCTATGGGTAACCTACCCCTGTGGTTAGATGATCCCTATGGGTAACCTGCCCCTGTGGTTAGATGATCCCTATGGGTAACCTGCCCCTGTGGTTAGATGATCCCTATGTGGTAAGCTGATCTCCATGGGTAACCTGCCCCTGTGGTTAGCTGATCCCTATGGGTAACCTGCCCCTGGGGTTAGATGATCCCTATGGGTAACCTGCCCATGGGGTTATATGATCCCTATGGGTAACCTGCCCCTGTGGTTAGCTGATCCCTATGGGTAACCTGCCCCTGTGGTTAGCTGATCCCTATGGGTAACCTGCCCATGGGGTTAGATGATTCCTATGGGTAACCTGCCCCTGGGGTTAGAGGATCCCTATGGGTAACCTGCCCCTGTGGTTAGCTGATCGCTATGTGGTTAGCTGATCCCTATGGGTAACCTGCCCCTGGGGTTAGCTGATCCCTATGGGTAACCTGCCCCTGGGGTTAGCTGATCCCTATGTGGTTAGAGGATCCCTGTGGGTAACCTGCCCCTGGGGTTAGCTGATCCCTATGGGTAACCTACCCCTGTGGTTAGCAGATCCCTATGGGTAACCTGCCCCTGGGGTTAGCTGATCCCTATGGGTAACCTGCCCCTGGGGTTAGCTGATCCCTATGGGTAACCTGCCCCTGGGGTTAGCTGATCCCTATGGGTAACCTGCCCCTGGGGTTAGTTGATCCCCATGGGTAACCTGCCCCTGGGGTTAGCTGATCCCTACGGGTAACCTGCCCCTGGGGTTATCTGATCCCTACGGGTAACCTGCCCCTGGGGTTAGCTGATCCCTATGTGGTTAGCTGATCCCTATGGGTAACCTGCCCCGGGGATTAGCTGATCCCTATGGGTAACCTGCCCCTGTGGTTAGATGATCCCTATGGGTAACCTGCCTCTGTGGTTAGCTGATCCCTATGGGTAACCTGCCCCTGTGGTTAGATGATCCCTATGGGTAACCTGCCCTCTGGGGTTAGCTGATCCCTATTGGTAACCTGCCTATGGGGTTAGCTGATCCCTATGGGTAACCTGCCCCTGTGGCTAGCCGATCCCTATGTGGTTAGCTGATCCCTATGTGGTTAGAGGATCCCTATGGGTAACTTGCCACTGGGGTTAGCTGATCCCTATGGGTAACCTGCCCCTGTGGTTAGATGATCCCTATGGGTAACCTGCCCCTGTGGTTAGCTGATCCCTATGGGTAACCTGCCCCTGTGGTTAGCTGATTCCTATGGGTAACCTGCCCATAGGGTTAGATGATCCCTATGGGTAACCTGCCCTTGGGGTTAGAGGATCCCTATGGGTAACCTGCCCCTGTGGTTAGCTGATCCCTATGTGGTTAGCTGATCCCTATGGGTAACCTGCCCCTGTGGTTAGATGATCCCTATGAGTAACCTGCCCCTGTGGTTAGCTGATCCCTATGGGTAACCTGCCCCTGTGGTTAGCTGATCCCTATGGGTAACCTGCCCCTGTGGTTAGCTGATTCCTATGGGTAACCTGCCCATAGGGTTAGATGATCCCTATGGGTAACCTGCCCTTGGGGTTAGAGGATCCCTATGGGTAACCTGCCCCTGTGGTTAGCTGATCCCTATGTGGTTAGCTGATCCCTATGGGTAACCTGCCCCTGTGGTTAGATGATCCCTATGAGTAACCTGCCCCTGTGGTTAGCTGATCCCTATGGGTAACCTGCCCCTGTGGTTAGCTGATCCCTATGGGTAACCCGCCCCTGTGGTTAGATGATCCCTATGGGTAACCCGCCCCTGTGGTTAGATGATCCCTATGGGTAACCCGCCCCTGTGGTTAGAGGATCCCTATGGGTAACCCGCCCCTGTGGTTAGAGGATCCCTATGGGTAACCTGCCCCTGTGGTTAGATGATCCCTATGGGTAACCTGCCCCTGTGGTTAGATGATCCCTATGTGGTTAGCTGATCCCTATGGGTAACCTGCACCTGGGGTTAGATGATCCCTATGGGTAACCTGCCCCTGGGGTTAGATGATCCCTATGGGTAACCTGCCCCTGGGGTTAGAGGATCCCTATGGGTAACCTGCCCCTGGGGTTAGCTGATCCCTATGGGTAACCTGCCCCTGGGGTTAGCTGATCCCTATGGGTAACCTGCCCCTGTGGTTAGAGGATCCCCATGGGTAACCTGCCCCTGTGGTTAGAGGATCCCCATGGGTAACCTGCCCCTGTGGTTAGAGGATCCCTATGGGTAACCTACCCCTGTGGTTAGATGATCCCTATGGGTAACCTACCCCTGTGGTCAGCTGATCCCTATGGGTAACCTGTCCCTGGGGTTAGCTGATCCCTATGGGAAACCTGCCCCTGGGGTTAGCTGATCCCTATGGGTAACCTGCCCCTGGGGTTAGCTGATCCCTACGGGTAACCTGCCCCTGTGGTTAGCTGATCCCTACGGGTAACCTGCCCCTGGGGTTAGCTGATCCCTACGGGTAACCTGCCCCTGGGGTTAGCTGATCCCTACGGGTAACCTGCCCCTGGGGTTAGCTGATCCCTACGGGTAACCTGCCCCTGGGGTTAGCTGATCCCTACGGGTAACCTGCCCCTGGGGTTAGCTGATCCCTACGGGTAACCTGCCCCTGGGGTTAGTTGATCCCTACGGGTAACCTGCCCCTGGGGTTAGCTGATCCCTACAGGTAACCTGCCCCTGGGGTTAGCTGATCCCTATGTGGTTAGCTGATACCTATGGGTAACCTGCCCCTGGGATTAGCTGATCCCTATGGGTAACCTGCCCCTGTGGTTAGATGATCCCTATGGGTAACCTGCCCCTGTGGTTAGCTGATCCCTATGGGTAACCTGCCCCTAGGGTTAGCTGATCCCTATGGGTAACCTGCCCTCTGGGGTTAGCTGATCCCTATGGGTAACCTGCCCCTGGGGTTAGCTGATCCCTATGGGTAGCCTGCCCCTGTGGTTAGCTGATCCCTATGTGGTTAGCTGATCCCTATGTGGTTAGAGGATCCCTATGGGTAACCTGCCCCTGGGGTTAGCTGATCCCTATGGGTAACCTACCCCTGTGGTTAGATGATCCCTATGGGTAACCTGCCCCTGTGGTTAGCTGATCCCAATGTGGTTAGCTGATCCCTATGGGTAACCTGCCCCTGGGGTTAGCTGATCCCTATGGGTAACCTGCCCCTGTGGTTAGAGGATCCCTATGGGTAACCTGCCCCTGTGGTTAGAGGATCCCTATGTGGTTAGAGGATCCCAGGTGATTTTATGATAACAGCCATTGTTAAAGTGTCAGATGAGCAGCCTGTCCCCTCCATAGGAGACACACAGGGCTGTCACATGGAGACCTGATAGCATGCTGATACCATGGACTACATCTCCCGGCATGCCTTGCGGCAGCCCCGCTAGCTATGCATGCTGGGTCATGGAGCGCTCGCTCACCGTGGTACTCGGCCCAGCCGTAACCGCGCACGATGTCTCGGTAATCCTCGGAGCCGTGCTTCACGTGGACCCGGATTAACACGTATTTAAACACGCCGTCCGGGTCAATATCCACCTCAGGGATCTTGGACAAACCCTCCACCGCCGCCATATTGTCTCAGTCAGAGAACTGGCAACCGGACCGCCCTCTTCCTGCCACTGGCCAATCACATTCAGCATACACAGACTTCCAGCCTATCACAGCGAAGAAAGGACTGGCGTCAAAACGAGGCTTGCAACGCACCATCCAACAACAGCGCCCCTTTAGGATCAACGAGGAATTGCATGGAGGGGGAGCTATATAATAATCATCATATAATAATAATAATATAATAACCTCCAATAATCCCACCCTATAATAATAATAATATAATAATAACCTCCAATAATCCAACCCTATAATAATAATATAATAACCTCCAATAATTCAACCCTATAATAATAATAATATAATAACCTCCAATAATCCCACCCTATAATAATAATAATATAATAATAACCTCCAATAATCCAACCCTATAATAATAATAATATAATAACCTCCAATAATCCCACCCTATAATAATAATATAATAACCTCCAATAATCCAACCCTGTAATAATAATAATAATATAATAATAACCTCCAATAATCCAACCCTATAATAATAATAATAATAATAATAATATAATAACCTCCAATAATCCAACCCTATAATAATAATAATATAATAATAACCTCCAATAATCCAACCCTATAATAATAATAATAATAATAATAATAATATAATAACCTCCAATAATCCAACCCTATAATAATAATAATATAATAACCTCCAATAATCCAACCCTATAATAATAATAATAATAATATAACCTCCAATAATAATAATATAATAACCTCCAATAATCCAACCCTATAATAACAATAATATAATAATAACCTCCAATAATCCAACCCTATAATAATAATAATAATAATATAACCTCCAATAATAATAATAATAATAATAATAATATAATAACCTCCAATAATCCAACCCTATAATAATAATAATATAATAACCTCCAATAATCCAACCCTATAATAATAATAATAATAATATAACCTCCAATAATAATAATATAATAACCTCCAATAATCCAACCCTATAATAACAATAATATAATAATAACCTCCAATAATCCAACCCTATAATAATAATAATAATAATATAACCTCCAATAATAATAATAATAATAATAATAATATAATAACCTCCAATAATCCAACCCTATAATAATAATAATATAATAACCTCCAATAATCCAACCCTATAATAATAATAATATAACCTCCAATAATCCAACCCAATAATCATATAATAACATCCAATAATCCAACCCTATAATAATAATAATATAACCTCCAATAATCCAACCCAATAATCATATAATAACATCCAATAATCCAACCCTATAATAATAATAATATAACCTCCAATAATCCAACCCAATAATCATATAATAACATCCAATAATCCAACCCTATAATAATAATAATAATAATAATAATATAACCTCCAATAATAATAATATAATAACCTCCAATAATCCAACCCTATAATAATAATAATAATAATAATATAACCTCCAATAATAATAATATAATAACCTCCAATAATCCAACCCTATAATAATAATAATATAACCTCCAATAATCCAACCCAATAATAATATAATAACCTCCAATAATCCAACCCTATAATAATAATAATAATAATAATATAATAACCTCCAATAATAATATAATAACCTCCAATAATCCAACCCTATAATAATAATATAACCTCCAATAATAATATAATAACCTCCAATAATCCAACCCTATAATAATAATATAACCTCCAATAATCCAACCCTATAATAATATAATAACCTCCAATAATAATAATATAATAATCTCCAATAATCCAACCCTATAATAATAATAATAATAATATAATAACCTCCAATAATCCAATCCTATAATAATCATATAATAATAATAATAATAATATAATAACCTCCAATAATCCAACCCTATAATAATAATAATAATAATATAATAACCTCCAATAATCCAATCCTATAATAATCATATAATAATAATAATAATAACCTCCAATAATCCAACCCTATAATAATAATATAATAACCTCCAATAATTATAATAATATAATAACCTCCAATAATACAACCCTATAATAATAATAATAATAATAATATAATAACCTCCAATAATAATAATATAATAACCTCCAATAATACAACCCTATAATAATAATAATATAATAACCTCCAATAATAATAATAATAATAATATAATAATCTCCAATAATCCAACCCTATAATAATAATAATATAATAACCTCCAATAATCCAACCCTATAATAATAATAATAATAATAATAACCTCCAATAATCCAACCCTATAATAATAATAATAATATAACCTCCAATAATAATAATAATATAATAACCTCCAATAATCCAACCCTATAATAATATAATAACCTCCAATAATAATAATAATAATATAATAACCTCCAATAATCCAACCCTATAATAATAATAATAATAATATAATAACCTCCAATAATAATATAACAACCTCCAATAATCCAACCCTATAATAATAATAATAATATAATAACCTCCAATAATAATATAACAAC